ATGTCATTGAATATTTCACTTTTTCTCAATTTAATAAACTTTCAAAGAATTTTCTTTTTGTTTTATATTGCTTTATCAATTTAATTTAATTCGCATCTCATTGATAAAAAATCGCAAAATTTCCCATTTAACACTTTCTTGTGTTTAAAAACGTCTCTCCGTAAAGACGCTTCACTTTTGATGCTTCTGGCTAGAAGCCAGTGCAAGCTTTTTTTCAGCAACAGTATGGGCTATTATAACAGAAATGCGGCATCCAACTTTTTACCAAGTGATTAGTTTCATTAGCCTCAAACATTTTTCAAACCCTTATGTTTCACTTTCTCGTAATAATCGGTATTTTTGGCTTACTACTAGGGCGACATCGCTCCACCACAAGGTCAATACATTCCAGTAGATTTTGAACATCACCCAGATTTCATCTTCACTGACAGGTTTAGCACAAAATTAAGATCGAATCAATGATGACTTGCCTTCTTCGAAACAACGCACCATTTATCCACTTATTTGCATTTCCATCGAATTCCACTGATGCGGCAATATCGAGTAAAATGAATCATCTCTATCATTTTAATTTTGAGGTTACATGTAGAAATGACTTAAAAAGAATGATTGGCTGTCCACTTATAGTTTTATAGTTGGTCTGAGGTACACTTTTCCTTTTTTTGTCGGAAATATTTGCTTCCGATCTCGAAAAAAATTTATGCGCGATCCTTTTTTGTGCAATTTTTTGGAGAAAAATACATGAAAAATGTTACGATACGAAAGATTTCATCATTGGTTTGCTTATTTGCTTCGAACCTTATTGTAGCCTTTTAAATGAAAAAAATAGTTAAATAATATTTAAAGAATAAGAAATTCTTCAAATGGGTGAAGGCTACATCGGGAAAAAATCTTGAAGAAAGTATAAACCACCGTTCATAATGCATAAAATTACCTTGAACCATTTATTCAAAATTTTCAAATCAATCCGCATAAATGACAAATAATAGAAGAAAATGGCTGAGGGGAGGAGGAGGGGGGGGGGGGGGGGGGGGGGGGGGGGGTGAATGAACAATTGCTGTTATCATACAACATATGCAACATGTCTTAGTCACTTCAAAGTGTTTTCTCCATTATAAGTGTTATAAGCCATTTTCAGCGTTTTCACCAAATTTACAAATTTTTACAATTCCATTATTTGTCATTATTTGAAATGTTTTGAAGAATATCAATGTTTTCAACATTTATGATGCATTCATTAGAGTTTAGCCTACTGGAAACCGCAAAAATCTATTTAATAATACCCTCTTTTAGAACACCAAGTATTCATTCTTAATACTTCCCACGATGTACACCATTTCCCATTTAGCTTGCTTCGTTGCCTACTAGAAACCCTGATTTCTAACCCCTGAAATTTAAAAAAAAATTCTTCATTCTTGGTTTATCCCAATAGCCGAGTTTTGCTCTGATGACTATATTTTAAATCCAATCCTATCCCTGTATTTCTATATTAAATCCTATATTTTAAGTGGTGCCATTTTTGTTCGATTTAACATTATCCCAGTGGCTTTTGACTTAATTTAAGGCTTGAGAACTGGGAGTAGATGGCTCAGTGGGTTGGTTCTAAATTCAGAGTGCCGGTGCTGAGGTTCTATTCCGCGCAGAAGAAAACCTGTCCAAAAATCCGGGCTGTTCTGGCAACTCACCTGTGTTTCTATCGCCAGGTGACTTCCTGGTACATTTATGCAATGAGACAAGCCAGCGGAGCGAGTTTAACCAGTAATGGTGAGGAATTTAAAAAAAAAAATTTGAGTAGTGCTAATATTAGTCAATACTGTATAGATTCGTAAAATAGTTGTGAAACAGTGGAAATAGTTTTCTAAATTTCGTTCCTTCATTATTCTACGTTTCCTACATTGATCATTCTTTTAATATTTTGCATTTCGTTGCGATAATGCCCTATGAACTTCATTTGAATTTCTGCACCATCATCGCCATGGTACGCATAGATTTTATTATTAATAGTTATAGCTATAGCCATATTCGCCATGAATATTATTAATCCTTAACTTTCAACAAATATAATAATTTACAATAATAATTTTTGAATGATCTATTGCTGGGCTCGCAGGCTTATCGGATTGGCCAGGGGATCCCTTACAGGAATACAGATGAGTCACAGCTTCATCCGGTTTTTAGACAAGTTCACTCCTGCAATAATGATAAATATAATTTATTTTTAAGATTTATTCATTTTGCTTGATACTTATATATTGTATACTTACATTGGCCGTAAAATTCTTTAATATTCATGCTATATTCCGTTAAATCAATTTCACTGTGTACGCAAAATATCAGAATTTTTCTACATTGAAACGATAATTCAAGCGGAACAATTTAAAAAGTAAAAAGTAATTAATACAGTTTTAACTATAATATAAATTTTTTATATTCTTGTCAACCTTGTACAAATCAGTCTTTTTAATGGCTTAAAAATAATAAAATTGCGATTAATTGGAAGGTTAACTGCAAAGCCATAGTTTTTATCGTTGATTTGTCGATGCGTGCACTGCTATTGCATTTATCGCAGTTTCACTTACTGTTTATTGAGTTCGTTACATTTTTATGGCTGAAATTATTTATATGTACACAAGTTTGTCAGACTATCATATATATGAATATACGGCAAAAAGACGTTTCTTCTATCGCCTCTAAAATTACCATTAATTTACGAGTGGAAATCAACTTTCACTATAAAAAGCGAACGGCTATTCGCATTACACCATTCATTTGTCTATAAATTTCGGTGACCATTACCAACCACAACCAACTCTGCTGTTCTCACCGAGTTATTTTAAATTTAAGCCAATTTGCAACGGTTGTAAATCGATGGAGGCAAACAAATTCTTTTTTGCTCAACTTGGCTTTTGGCATCATTCGACTTTATTTTTTTTTTCTGATGGCTATATGACATTCATTTATCCTCAGATGGCTCATTTATTAAATGATTTTATCCAAGTAGTTAATGAAGGTAACCAGAATGGAGTATATTATTAGAAGTTTTAAAGACTCTAAATTCTAAGTTCTAAGATGGGTTAGCAAAAATATCCAATTTAAAATAAGTATTGATAATGCTTAAATTTCTTAGCTATTTTGGCCAAAATTGCCAGAATAGGCCACAGTTTTGTGGCCAAAAAGTGTTTAAAAAGTGTCAGTTATAGTTAGGATGGATGCTTACATCCATTTTTTCCATTTCTACGCTTTTTTTATTTCTTGCATTCATTTTTATAATCAATTTACTGCATTTGATGAATGATGATTATTGACGAATCGAAAATATTTCTTTACCATGAAATGCTATTAATAACTGACCGACAACGATTGTATTGTTACGTTGTGGCCTCCGTGATATCTCAAAAAAACTAAGAAATTTTTCTATTCGGAAAAATTTCTCACTCGAGTATTCTGAATAGTTTTTTATGACATTTCTGACTTTTTTCTAAAAATTAAAAGATTAATACTTTTTCAAAAGCAATGACTTGCATTCATGGGAATTTGATTTTCAGAGGTGCGAAGCATTTCGACAATGCGTTTTAAGTAATTTTTTAGCAATTGAATTGAAAGGCTAATTTTTATTTCCTATTCTATTTATATTCCTTCGCCATCTTCTCGAATTTGAATTGCCTGAAAAGTTGGGAAATGGCTTAGATAATTTTTTGTCGTCAGATATTAAAATAATTTCACCGAATCCCCTTCAAAAACTCTCCATTCCAAAGAATTTCTCTCAAAGGAGCATAGAATTTAATAATTTAAAAATTGAATCTTTTCTGGTTAAAACGTATATAACTTTTATTTTTTAATTTAAAATAATTTCGGTTTGTTTATAAAATAAAATACATTATAATAATTCCCCAGATTATCGGAATTTTTTCCCGGATTTGAGAAGTCAGTAGAGATTTGGCTGAAGTATGAACATAGCACTTGAATCTTCCATAGACCTATAACTCTAAGTTTGATTTTTTAAGAATAAGAGGAGAGATATTTAGCAATGTTGGTTTAAAGTACAATAAATGTTTTAATGTTCTAATGTCTCAAATTTAGTTTAAATTTAAATTTGAATGCGACAGGAAAACTGAATTAAAAATGTTATAAAAAACGAAACTGGGACCCTATAACTTTTGTATTCATACTAATTTAAACGGATTAATTTCTGACATTCTCGCTTCATTTTTGCTTTAAGACAAGTTTTAAGATATAATTATTCGTTTTTTATTTATATTTTTATTTTATCTTTTATTTTTATATTTATTTTTTAAGCCCATTGCTTCTAATAAATATATAAAATTTGTAATAAATATCATTATAATGTGTGAATTATTTTTCATTTATTTCTCATTAATTTTGGCAATTGTCTGGAAATATTAAAATTCTCAACATAATATTATCTCAAGGTTGCTGCCATAACGAAACTGATCTATTTAAAAATGCCCTTAAGTGCAATAAATATTTAAATTTATGGAATGAAATGACTTTTTATCAACCTCACTTATATGTCCTTCAATCGCTAGTAATTCTAATGTGTTAAAGATGTTACTATGGCCGTCAATAGAGAACGAAATCCTAGAATTTAATTCCTACAGATTTCAGTTCTTCGACTTTATATTTATTTTCATACTGTATATTTTTTGAATTATTATCACTGTTTGTAAAGTTATTAATATGTGATCCGCAAAAATAATAGAAACAATAGAAATCTACATGTATTAAAGGTTAAATAAGTTTTAGTTCCTCCTTTTGATGAAAATAAATTTATTATTAAAATCCAGCTGTATACTCATTCCCTTCCTCTATCTCCTAGTGATTTTCAAGAAGTTTTTCAAGTGATCAGCTATATCAAAGACGCGCGTTATTAGAAGAAACGATTTTTTCATCGAAAGATTGCTTCGACTCGATTTACAATTTGTAGAAATATTTTTGTTGATTTATGAATAATTTAAGAATAGGGAAAATTTTCTGCCACGATGGGTATCCAGATATTTGCTCAAGTGGTTTTCATCGTTCTCATAACAAGGAAATCTGAAAGTGTAACGAAAAATTTTGTGAATAATTCTATGCCTGAAATGAGGCCGACATTTGTTGTTAATTTTGATATGAGTACTGTTATTTGCCAACATTCGAACGATCCAAGCGATTTACATTTACATCGTATGTCAATACTTTGTGATGGCAAATCGGATTGTTACATAAATCCAGCAATGCATGATGAAAGTTTTCCATATTGTGGTAATATCTTTCTTTTATAATTCTTTTATTTATTTGAAAATCTAATTGAGCGCGCCGCATTAAATTCATTTTCTTTATAAAGGCCAAATGTCCGCTTAAATTTCTAATAAACTTGTCAAAATCTTATCAAAAAATTTAAAATATTTCATTATTCGTTTTATGAATCATTGCAAATATAATAATAAGAAGAATAGAAAAGTTTTCATATGCTAATGATAAATCACAATAAAACTTATGCATCTAATTTTTCTATTAGATTTAATTACAGAAGGGTATTGTAATTCAACTTGTAATGGTCGTGGTGCCTGTTTATTCGATGGTTCAAGAGGTCAATGCTATTGCAATGCGGGATTTCATGGACCCGAATGCGAATTTACCGGTTATATATATATATATTTTTATATTTTTTCAAGTTGCATCATAGAATCACGAATAATTGTTATAAATACTAGAAAAATATTTTTAAATAATGAATTTCATAATAAAATAAATATTAAAATCTAATGTAATACAATAATCTAATAATTGAATAACAAATGCATTATCCCTTATAGTTTGCAAAATTTCAAACTTATAAAATATAACTTTAATTTACAATAAACAATAATTGTTGCAATTTTGCAAACCGAAAGCTTCCAAATAGGACAAACAAATACTACTGCTTTCGAAATTTAGAATTTATTTTATTTATTTAAATTTGGTTTTTTATTAAACGAATTAAATGAAAAAACTTAGCAAAGTTTATTGAGGTTTATTTCGAAATTTTGTATTTGTTAAAGGAAAGTTTTGAGATTTATATTTTTTATATTTAATTTTATTAATTGTAACTGTTTTATGAATAAATTTATAGATTAATTTCAGAAATTGAAATATATTTTTTAATGATAGTCGTATAATAAAATATTTGTGTTTTTCCAAAAAATTTTGCATAATTTTTTTATTTAATTGTTGAGTGATTTTTATTGTTTTGCATATCTTATCATATCATAATTCTATTATATTAGTCAAAAAAAAGTCAAAATATTTATTTTTATATAAATTTAATTGAATTGGAAAAATTAATAAAATTAATTAAAATAAATTCGCTGCTTTTTTATAGACAGCAATGAATGTGAAGAAAAGCCATGTCACTGGTTAGCGCATTGCCAAAATACGTTTGGTTCCTACTATTGTACTTGTTTTCCAGGATTCCATGGGAATGGATATGAATGTTCAGGTAACTTCAAGTTTGTTTTTGTATAACCAGCTTACATAACCGTCAGCCAAATAGTTGTATTCATATTATTGCTTTAAGCACCCACCAAGAACCGGAATTATTTCCTACGGAGTGAATTCATATATTATTCCGGGTGACGAATGGTAACAACTTTCATTTTTATTATTAAGTGGCTTTCTAGATTTTCTCACCGCACTAACAGTCTCTATAGCCGGCCTATTCAAAAATTGATTATCGTTAATTATTTATTCGCTCTTTATTTATCTATTAGTTTAAAACGATTATGATTTATTGACAACTGATAACCGTGATAAAACTACTGTCAACATCACTTGATTTATGCTCTATTGACTAATATTATTCTTAGAGAAATAATTTCGCAAAGAAATTGAAAATCTAAATTCTCTCTCTCCTTTCGTCTCCTATAAATCTTTTTCACTTTAAACAGTTATATGCAAGGTCACTAAGGGTCAAATGTTTTTCACTATTTCAATGATAATTGCAGTTCTAGAAATTCCAATAAAATTTAACCCTTAATCGTTGACAAATTAATGAAATATAATTGCGAAACTCTCAACCTATCGTCTTACATAAGTGAAAAATTGACGATTCTCTGGTTCTCACTTGCTCCTATTTCACCAAAGTTTCCCTTCGATGCAAATTTTTGCAATAGTTTTTTAACGCTCACTAATAAAAAACACTAAGATGATTTGGTTTTTTCAAATTTACGCAAATCCACATATCCGCTAATAGTAAAAAATTTCCGCTGGCAGATATTTAGCGATTTTACAAAAATTTTGGAAGAATTAAAGGTAAGAAAGTGCAGCAGGATTTAGAGATGGTGTAATAATAGTGTAACAACAGAGTTTAAATATGTAAAACAATAAAATCCTGGAGATCCTGATTTCACAATTTTTTACATTCCTTTTCTGGGAAAAAATACTCAAATGATATGGTTTATACCTAGCAACAAGATTTAGTTCCTTGCACCTTCGCAAGAGTGGCTGCGGTGGACTATATTCCATTTTAACAGCAATCTTTGGAAGCAAACCAATATACGTTATTATAAAGAATGAAGGGACCTTTCTTTCTAAACAGAAATGCCATATATAAGTCATTTAGCGTAGTGACATAAATACTATCTATTATTTGAGCCAACGATAATCGCATAGGGATATATTAAGTTATTGGGAAAAGATGCAAATAAATATACTAAAAGAGCATAAAGCTAGTGCAAGGCAGTTATTGGTGGTAATACTATAGGTAATAATGTTAATGTTAAATAATTAACCTTCCTGCAAATTTAATACCTGAGATCTGAGGTTCGATTTCCCACAGGAGTAAAATGTACGAAAATCGAGGTGATGCTGGCGACTCATCTATATTTCTATCGCCAAGGGACTCCCTGGCATATTGCCCAATGCGACAAACCAGCGGAGCGAGTTTAACCAGTAATGGTGAGGACTCTTTAAAAAAAAATATCCTATCTCTGGTAGAATAAACTTGCAAATAAATCTAGGTGATTATTCCTTGGAACGAGTTTTCACCGCACTAATAATAACCAGTGAGGCGAGCGCATCCAGAAATGATAAGAGCTGACCATCTATACTCATTTTTTACTACATTCGAGTTCACTAATTATGGAGATATGTTAATTGTACAAACTGAAATTTTATATAAAACGTTTAAGACAGTTTAGATGAGAAATTTGAAATATTACCGGCAATTAAATTTAGCGGAAAAATTTCGGGGTAAAATATGTACTATTATTGTCCAAGTTATTACTCTTTAGTCTTTTAAAGGTCAGTAATGCCCGAATTCAATTAATATAACACGAATTTCTAAGAGAGTTAATTGCATGAAATTCTCATCATAAAACTTCCGAACCATTTTAAAATTTACACACCGGAATTTTATAAAAATCTACAATTATAAAAATAAGAAATAAAAAATATGAAAGAAGAATGAATGTGAAAATGAAAGAAATAAGAAAAAAAGCACAAATAAGAATTATGAGAATTCAATTACAAATTATGTTTTACGAGTTTCGTTGGGGGGAGGGGGGGGGGGAGAGATGTAAGTCAGATTAAAGTACCAAATTTGGTACCCTTAAATGCAAGTTCTGTTCATCTATAAATTTGCGGTTATTATGATTGAATAAAAGAGTTCAGATTTACTATAAATGCCAATGAAATGCCATTGTTATTTGTTCTTTTTATATTAAAGATGAAAGAAAAGGAAAGAAATTTGGAACAATCAGCTAATACCTCGCAATTGTAGCATTAGGAACAACTCCATTACTGATAAAAAATAAGAAATAAGTTAAAATGAAATCTTTTCAGACATCGATGAATGTGAAAATGGATTAGCTAAATGTCCACTGTATTCCACTTGTGTCAACCTTCCTGGAACTTATTTTTGCAATTGCACAGAAGGGTTTCAACCGCTAGGTCTACCCGTCGAAAGATGCGCTGGTACGTCTATCATCTTACTCGCTTTTTTCAGCTTCGTGAATCTGACTGCAAATTATAATGATAAAATAATCGTTTTCTGTAGCAGAAATATTTAGATATCGATGAATGTGAACAAAATCTCCATAATTGCGTCGACGATGCGAAATGCCAAAATCAGGTTTTTTCATTAGAATTTTCTCGTGGATTATTATTAAAAAAAGATTTATAAAAAAGCTTTAATCGTTTGTTATAAAAATTAAAATTAATTAATTTTATAAAAATTAATTAATCGTTTGTTATAAAAATTAATTTGTAGGTTTTAATTTATGTCCATGCACTGACTATTCACTGGGCACTTGGCTCATTTTATATTTCTATTTTTTGCTGCACAAAAAGACGAAAAAATGCCATTTTCCGTAGGCAATCCATTTTGCGAAAAACTCTCAATTTCTTCCACATTTATTCAAAATTGGTGACATTTAACCGAACCGAACCGACCGAAAATTTAGTTTTATCACTAATTTAGTTTTATCACAGATTGGAAGCTATAAATGTGTCCAGAATTGTGAAGAAGGTTATCGGGAAGTAAATGGATCCTGCATCGACATTGATGAATGTGCTGAAAAAAGCGCATTATGCGACAAAAGAGCAAGCTGTTTTAATACAGTTGGTGGTTACAATTGCACCTGTGAAGATGGATTTGCTGGCGACGGTCGCAGTTGTTCTCGTAAGTAGTATCATACAAATGGAATTTAGCAGAGTAGTTTTCGCAGAAATGCATTTCATAGCTAATGGCCAGTTGGTATAAACAAGTTGAGAAGGCTTAAAAGTCAATGATAAGAAACAAATGAGGGACAAAGAGAAAAAAATCAATCTTATATGGAATAATCGCAACGTGGATGGGTAATTTGCGTAATATTGCACTGAGTTGCAAAAAATTGTAACAAACATGGAGTTTCTTAAAATTTCAGCACTAAATGACTGCAGTCAACAGGAAGGCATTTGTGATCGTCATGCATTTTGCATTGGATCGTTTAAAAAGTGCATTTGCCAGGCAGGTTATGTCGGTGATGGTCTTTCTTGCTATGGTAATTGCTTTATAATTTTTGAAAAGCATATCACTGATATTCCGCGTAGTCTTGGATTTGATTCATACAAGCGACGATCCGAGAATCGTACGATGTACAAGCTTAGCGAGCGAGTAACACTGCTATTGTTACTCATTGTCCTATATAAATGGATTAACAGATTTTTTTCCAAAAAATTGGGACGAATTCTCCAATTCGATGCTTATTGGTGGAATCTAAGTTGAATACTTTTAAATCATTGAAGTTTCTGTAAAATTTGGCTTTGTTATAAGAATTATAATTGCCGCTACAATTAAAACAATTAAAATTAAAAAGAAAATTTATTAAATTGGAACTAATTTATGAAAAAATTACGAAAATTACGATATTTATGTGAGGACAAGATGGCTGAGTGCTATGCCGAGTACTTTAAACTAAATTCAAGCTAAGCGTGAATTAAACCTACCACTTAAAGTGAAATACCAGTTACTTATCTGTACTTCGATCCTTCTAACAATAGGATTGGAGCCAGATCCGCTCTGCTTTTCAGTAGAGTCAACTAAGCTAGAAATATCAGAAGATTAAAAAACTACTGAACAAGAAAGAAATTTTACAAGGGCTTTAAAAACTATTTACTGAATGAAAAATGAAATAAATATAAATTTTTGAAATTTTTTAAAAACAAATTTAACCCTTCAAAAATTTAAAAAAATGAGATTCAGCGAGTAGCATTGACTCGATTTTCCATACCATTAAATTCTGAAATTGCAATGATTTCATAGATGTGGATGAATGCGAAGCAAAAACAAATCCTTGTTCAGAGGAGCAAGGAAATCGTTGTGTTAATATTGAGGGTGGCTATATATGCTGCCGTAATGAAATTGACGACGAACGCTGCATACGAGGTATTTTTATGGTCATTTGTTGATTTGTTTTCCTGAACCTAAAGCAAAATAAAAATTTCTTCATGTTATAATTTGGTAAGATCCAAGAGCAGCGGGTAGTTGAAGCTTAATTTTTATGGAAATTTGCATGCAATGTTTCATAAACTATATTTTTGTGCATCAGCAGCTATAGCATTTAAATGTTGAATTACCATTTCAATAAGCAAATTATTAGGACCGATTTCATAATAATAAAAAATTCAAAGTTAGCTTCAAATTTCTTCTGAATTTTTAGAAAACGGAGCATTCTGTTCGGGCGGATGTGGTGATAATGCTGTTTGTTACAACGAAACTTGCCAATGCATTGTTGGGTTCAGTGGTGATCCTCGCATTAAATGTTTTGGTAGTTTTTTAAGTTATTTTGAAAATCTGGGAGAAGGCTCAGTCTTAATTAATTGAATTCCAAGAACAAATTATTTAAATCCCCTAAATTTTTTGAAATGCAACGGTTTAGCATTTTTCCATATTTAAGGAAAAATGAATAGTTTATTGAGGTTTTGTTGAGGAGAGTTTTGTCTAGTTGTTATCCGTAATATTTTCATGGATATTGATTGAAGATTCGAAGAATATAGCAAAATAAAGCGAAAGGATCAGTGGAGTCGGTCAATCCAAAAATATGACTACTGTTAAAAAAGAAGAAGAATTTGGAATGGAAATAGTTTATAGAATGGAAATGAAAAACATGAATTTAGTAATTTTAGAGTAAAGCTTGACAATTTTAGACACAAATGAATGCGAAAACGATAAACAGTGTCCAGGAATAGGTGAATGGTGTGTTAATTTGATCGGTGGGTTTATATGTTGCAACAAAGATTCCACGCAGACTGCATGCAATTTGAATAAAAAGCATTACAGTGGAATTTTAATCAGTGAACCGAATTTGACCAAAATAGATGTGAAAGGTTCTCCTCGTTTAAATGTGCCTTTAAGTTTTCTCTCCGTGAACTACAAACAGAAGACTTTAAATTATCGACCGAATTTAACGATATAAATAGTTTTATATTAGTTCATTCAGAATCACTGAAACCTTTCAGAAAGGTCAATAGTCTTTTCCAGAGTGAATTTTTGTCCTCCATTTGATTACCATATTTTGCGGATTAAGATTACAAAATTTTAGCAATTTTGACAATCACTTATCACTTTATTTACAACTTAATCTTTCTAATATAATTGCAATTATTTTTCAATTTTCTAATTGATGTAATTTATTTTACTTGTTTTCTAGAGTTCATTGGAACAAAAATTTAAGCTAAGAATTTGGAAACTAGTATTTAGTCGATTAAAACCATTTTCATTTGCAGTGAACCAGTTTTAAATTAGTTTTCATTTGCAACAAATGAGCCAGTTTTTTTAGTTTAAGGCCTCGTAGACGATCGTACCTGCTTTAAAAATGCCTTGAGTTATAAATTTGATCAAAATAATTGACAAAATTTTAAAATATTAAGGAGATAAAATCACGCATCACATTGGATATGAGGAACAGAAATCATCAGGAAATTTGATTAACATCAATGGCATTAGTAACGAGGAAATTATTATCCTTTGTGGAGCAGGTTGTCCACAAAATTCGCATTGTTACAACAATACTTGCATTTGTGATTCTGGTTTCACTCTTGATGGAACTGATGGTTGTGTTGGTGAGTTCATCTCATTTTCTGCACTTTTCTGCACTTAAAAATAAGATATGACTGTGAATATGTTCTTTTCACTGAATAAAATAAAAAACAATTGAATGAGGGTAAAGAGGGAGGAAAAAAGATTCCGTATTTTTATGCCGGTCAATTTACGAGAAAATGATACGAACATTCCGGATGATAAGCCTTTAGAAGACTCAAATTACTGAAAATACTCTCAAGCAGCAGTAACACTGAAAAAAGATTTTAAAAGCTTTTGACTGATGGAGGAACTATTTTTGCTTATCCACTGCCAATCCTATCGAAAGTTTATTATAGATATCGATGAGTGCAAAAGTAATCCTTGCACACAACCACAGTCATGGTGTGTCAATTTGTATGGAAGTTTCCAGTGTTGCACACCTGAATCGAATGTCAATGAATGTATTGGCTTGGAAATTACTGGAGATAGTTCCACAATGGTTAGCATGAGTCACCAAAAACCCACAAAATTTGCACCTTTTAGGAGTGAAATTAAGCCAGAAGAATTAATAAAGTCTTCATTGGGGGAATGGAAGCTGGAACAGTTCGGTGAGTGGCGCAATTTCTCTGCTGGTTCCATAATAATTGGCCGAGGGCGAATAGATAGCAGAAAAGGTGGCACGGCTGAGAAAGAAAACATCAGCTCGAAACATGAAACAAACCACGGAAAGCATGAATCACATGGAAAATCTGCAACATTAAAAAGTGAATATTCTTGAGCATCTTTTTATTCTTTGCCTTGCACCAAGGATTCAGAATTTTCTAGAAACATTTTCTACTGGATGTAATGTTCTGGATTTTAGTGGAAAATGTCACGTTCGGTGTCAAGCATTAATTCATGTTTCAATTCAATTTTCAACTTGTACATCATTTTTGTTTGAATAAAAATGTTTCTAGAAAATTCTGAAAAATGAAAACAACTGAGGGTCCTCTTAAAAGAATTTTCCAGATTTCCCAGATACATGCAGTGAACAATTATAGCATAAATCCATTTCCAAAAAAATTTTAAAATCTTAAAAATCGTAAATTTTATGTTATATATGTTCCATATGATTGACTTTGGCATTTCTTGACTCTAAATACCGTTTCTAATAGTTCATTTCAGCTAATATCATCGATGAATCGGTAAAGAGCACAATATTTCCAAGTATTCCCACAGACCTGAAATCAACCGTATTATTTTCAAACGCTTCTTCAATTGTCACCCAACCAGTTGATGTATCAGAAGAAACTGATGGAATCAAAACCTCCACACAGTACACAGAATCGCCAGTCCTTCGTTCAAGTGTTCGCGCATACAAAGAATTAATGGCTACTGAAAAAGAAGAAAAACACGAAATTACTAAAATTTCTGTTAAAACTGAATCGTCAACTGAGACCACGTCAAGAACCAAAGAATCATCAACAAAATCACCGACAACTTCATCAAGTTTTATAATTTTTAGCACATCTGATAGCGCTGAAAAGCAAGAAGAAGTACCGTCAACATTGGCAGATCATAGTTCAACTAGTACATCCAAGAAAGCCGAAGAAGCTCAACAGTCAGCGAAATCATCCACATGGTTTACAACTGCTCAAACGACTTCTAGCGATTCTAGAAAAATAACCCATGGAGAGAAAGAAACGGATCGAAAATCAGATAAAATAACCAAGACTTCAGAAGTTGTGATCATAAGAAATATGTCTTCCACTTTCCTCAATAATTCACAACAAAGTGAAGAAAATAACGTTGAAAATCAAAATATACATTTGAAATACAGCTCAGTGCATCCACGAAAAGGAAAAACAACGCATCAAATGAAACTGCTATCACTCAAAGCAAGTTCATCTATAGGTGATATAGAAACCACCTACACCCCAATTTCATCAGTAGATTATAGCAGTTTAAGAATTACTGGAACTACAGTCCCACCTTTAGTAGCCAATGTAACATCCACATCGAACTTGGATAGCGAAGAGCACCTGAGATCGACGTTTACTTTTTCAAGCGATGGAAAAAAATTCACGAATGTTAACTCTGAGCCTTCAAAAGAAGCAAAAATCAGCACCTTACAATCTTCAAAAGAATTAAGCACTAGCACCTTGCAACCATCAGAAGAAGGAAGCAGTAGCACTGTGGTTCAACCAATTACGAAATTACAGGTGAGTGTTTCTGCAAAAAACGTGGTCGACGTGTTAACTAAATCTGAAGCAGGCGTTAAAACATCAGTTTCTCCACTTATTCCTAAATTTGCTGAAACAACTACACTTTCAACAGAAACATCGAAGATTACTGAACCTCTAAGTACTAAAGCAAATATTGATACAAGGTCAACGTTACAGTTCAAAATACCGGAAAAAGAAGACGATGAAACGACCTATTCCTTTACAGATATAAAAAGTTCAAATAGTTTCAGTACCGATTCGGAAGTTACATCAACAAAGAGAACTGCACTATCGAAAGACGCTGGTGATAAAATTATTAGGACAATAGCGCCAACAAATTTTGAGAGTACTTCATCGACGGAATCTCAAGAATTAATAATTCAGCTTACAAGCACTACTACAGATCATAACAGAAGAAAACCGACAATATTTGCAACCTTGCCGAAAAAAATACCAGAAAACAGCGACTTTTTAACGAAATATTCTGTTGAAATAGGAAAAACCACTGGAAAGGCTGTCAGCAAAGCAAAAATTGGTGATAATATTTCAACGAACATAATAACTACGGCAACTCACACAGTTGAAGAAAAACTTTCTACAAAGACGATAACTGAGAGAAGCAGCACAATTGATATAAATCCACAAACATTGCAAACTACTACAGAAAAAACTGAAAAAAGCGATATAAGTCAACGAACGTTGGAAATTGCTACAGAAAGTAGTACGGCGAAAACCTCATCAACAAGTGATGAATTCGATCTTGAATTTGTTCGTGTAACTCCACCGGTACCATTCACATCAAAAATCGACGAATTAACTGGAACTGAACCCAGTGTAGTTGATATAACTGGTGAGAAAATTACTTTCACAACCATATCAAAGCCAAAAGTTACTGTCACTTCAGTAGCAGAATTATCATCATTGAATCAAACTGCCAACGCTGATAAAATCAGAACTACTGAAAAACTCGATAGTATTGTTACATCCACAAGTGCTGTTTTTTCGAATAGTTCAACGAAAACAACAAACCAGTTAGAATTAGAGCAATCAAAACGACCAACAATTTCGATACAAAGTAGCATTGAAGAAGAAACCATTACCTCTATCGTCACTACAACATTAGAACCTGGAAAAGGCACCAAGCATTCGGAATCTTCGACAGTTATTCCGACAACGCATAGCAGTGATATAAGAAGTACGGGTGAAACAGAAAAGGACATACAAGAAATTCACAAATCGTCTACGATCAGCACAACTAGCAAAACTTGGTCAAAGGTGCCGCAGAGTTCATTGTCAAGTACAACTCACGAAAAAATACCGTACATAGAACAAGATCGAACTGGAGCAACTACTGCAAAAAAAATATATTTGTCTTCTGATACTTTAGAATCAACTACTACTGAGCTTCCGAGCACAGGTACTTCTACTTTTATAGCTTCTAAAAGTAGAATATCGCTAGTGAAAGGAACTGAAGAAAAAATAAGTTCAAGTTCAACGACTATAAGACTTTCAGATGAGACGGCGGTATTCTCGACTGAAATTGATTCAGCTGAAAACTCTCAAACTCTTGCTACAGTAACTGAACCAGTTCAGCTTTCTTTGCCTTTTACTACCATTTCCTCTAAGAAAATGGTCTCAAAGCAAAGTTCTTCGACAGCAATGGATCTATCAGCGAAAAAAACGACTGTAAATGATATGGAAGTTCTAAAATTGATAAAAAACAATGAAACATCGACGAAAGAACCAGCAGTTTATCTGTTTTCAAGTTCCCCAGGTGAATTAACAACGATCACTAAAACATTTTCCACAGTAACAACGCCAGAACATAAAATAAAGACTACTCAAGAGATTACTGAATCAATTTTTTCAACCTCAAAAGCACCTTCATCAACTAAAGTGGGCTTAGAGATCTCTAATAGTGGGGAGTCTAAAAAATTTGACAATTCAACAGAGCTAGGTTTGGAAATTATTCAAGTTCTTAATCAAACAACAACTAATACTCTGAGCTCGATGAAAGACTTTGGTAGTAATGAGCTAAATTTTGAGTCAAACCTTACAACAATCGCATTACATATATCGCCATCATCTTTTACAAGAGAAGTGACACATGACCAGACAGAGTCGAGTTTAAGCACAAAAAAACAGGCAACGGATGGAGAGAATGGATCGGCAAGTTCCATATCATTTGCAACATCTACAAAACAATCTATTCCACCAAAACAAGTTACAAGTGAAACAGAAGCTCCAAGTAAAGAACCAGGAGCCATTATCTCTAAGGAAAGCACATTATCGTCTACAATCAAAAGTGATAAACAATCGAGCACAGCAGAGCCAGAAGTATTGTACACAAATCATTTAACAAGCACAAAGCATGAAGAAGACTCTAAAACAACCATAGATAACAAATCCGAAACATATTTCCGCTTTAGCACTATTTTGCCCAAAGCACATAGAAAAACCTCAAGTACTGTTTCTACTCAAGGCTCTGATTCTTCTTTAACCACTGCAGCGCTAGAAGCATCATCGATTAGAAGCGGTAAAATTGTTGAAAAGCATTCAACTACCGCAGAAAATCCAACCTACACAGTTGGCCAATCAACAGTTGAATTGACATTTGATGAACAAGCACAGATAACTTACAAACCAAATGAAAAACTGAGTTCAACATCACTTCCATCAAAATCTCGAGGATTAGCTGGAAAAGGTTCGAGTAAAAAATTAATGCTGTCAGTCGTTGAACCAACTTTACCGCAGGAAACTGGTGCAACTGGGAATGGTACCTCTTTGACAGTATCAGATGATTTGGTCTTAGTTCCTGTTGAAGTAAGCATTCTACTTTGTTTTATCTATCGTTTTAATTCCTGAATATATATGAGCTTATATGATTAAGAATAAGTCAGATGAATGACACATTTATCAATTTTCCTACAATATTCTTTAAATATGTGCTGTTAGCATAAAAAGGCCGCTAAAAGGATTGTTTAAATTTCTTCTAATTTAAAATATTAATTTCGATTTGTAATTTGTTGTTGTGTAATCATTTGATTATAGAAATTCAGAATTTTCTTCTTAATTTTTTATGCAAATTTCTTACAGAATATTACGCCGACGACCGCTGATTACGAAAATTTTACGAAAGAAATATTTAACTTAACAACGCCTGTACCATCATTCGTCAAATATCGCTGTCGAAGTCGCGACGACTGTGGAAATGATGCTTACTGTGAACGCTTATCAGGAGCTTGTCGTTGTTCACCTGGTTTTATCGGTGAACCACCAGTAACGCCATGCATCGGTACTACTTTTTTGTTTTTTACGCATCGAAAAGTTTTCGAAAATTTATTTACTATGGCATTTGCTAGCCTTATTTTCAGTGAGTGTTGATACAGAACCCAATCACTCCGAGTATAATATAAAATACACTCCGAGTCATTTCTAGGAAGTGAACTTATCTTCATTCCTAAAAGATTTTATATTAAAAGTACCTCAGTTTATTAATCTATGGAGTCAGCCAGATGAGAAATTGTTGTTCTGTTAGAGAAGAAAGAAAAATTAGAACTGAAGATTCAGTCAAAACAAAAGTAATATGAAGGAAATAAATGATGGTTCACTGCAGATGTAAATGAATGCGATCTTTATTTGGACGATTGTCATGAAACATCTCATTGTTCGAATTTTATTGGTGGCTATACTTGTCTATGTGAGACGGGGTATAGGAAAGACGCTGATGGATTATGTGTAGATATTGACGAATGCCAGGAGAGAGGAGAAGGAGGAGTATGCAGTCGAAATGCTATTTGTACGAACTTACAGGGATCGTACAGTTGCCAGTGCAAACTCGGATATACTGGTAGGCATAATATTTTATGATTATTTGGACAAAATGTAGATATTAGTAGAAAATTTAAATATTTTTATTTGCATGCAATCTTTGCTTTTCGAGATTTTTAATAGAAATAAAATATTATTTTCAAAAAAGAAAAGGTACAGAATTCGTATTAAAAGGTGGGAGTAAAATTCAATCAATTTAATCAAAGCAAATTTCATGAATTTTATATAATTATAATTTCAATATTTTAACAAAATAAATGATGGTTCACTGCAGAATTTGTTTCTGCCAGGTTATTTATAAAGAAAAAGAGAAGAATGGTTCTTTAGAAATTTGAACAATGCTTGAAAACGTCGATTTTTTCTTTTTTGTGGTCAACTGCAAGAACCTAAAATTATGACTTAGAAATTTATGATGGTTAACATTTAATGTTAAGGTGACGGTTATACTTGTATACCAGTTGAGAAAAGGCATTGTACACCAGAAGAATGGAACAAAATGGATTGCGGTCGGAATCACCTTTGTTTAGTAGATGCTTATGGCAAAAAAGATTGTGATACTTGTAAAAGTGGATATAGGAAAAAGAAAGGAGTTTGCTCTGGTACATTTCTATTGTAGAATTTGATAGCCTCATACCTGTAAAAATATTAATTTCTATAAAATCGCTCCAGATATCAACGAATGTGAAGAACGAAATGTATGCCATACGAATGCCTTTTGCAAGAATCTAATGGGTTCTTACGAATGTCAGTGTCAACCAGGATTTAAGGGAGATGGTTTCCAATGCTCAGGTGATAGCCTTGGATTGAGAATTATTGCTTCTATGCGATTAATTAATACTGTTGCATTAAATATAAGAAATTAGCTTCAATTCGGACTTTTTTTTTAATATTTCAGACATTTCAGATTATATCGGCCTATTATGTTTGAGATTGATATTCATCTGAGACTGAGCTAAGGACTCAAAGTTTTTGTAATATGTAGGATCAACAATAGATGTTTTTTTCAGATATTGATGAATGCCAGCATAGCCCGTGTCATCCACAGGCCATATGTATAAATTTTCCCGGATCATATTCTTGCAGGTGTCATGAGGGTTGGGCTGGTGACGGTGTGCATGAATGTATCAATTCTCTCGATACCTCTTGTCTTGTAAAGTTTCATTTATTTTTATAAAATAGAATTTTCTTATATTTCTCTTTTCTTCGATGCTTATTATACGAGCCTTCAGGATAGGTACTCATTTTGCACTCACGGTAATCACTCGGCTTGTTTATCGGTTCGAACTGATACTCTCCAATCAGTCTGTGAATGTGAAGTCGATTATCGTTATAATTCGTCCACGGGTCTTTGCGAAGGTGATTTGCATTGCAATACTTTCCAGAAGAAAATTATTTTTAACTTCATCATTTTAACAAAAAATCCATTTTGAAGTAACACCTATCCAATTATTTGAAAAAATTCCAGATGTTGACGAATGTCGTGAGAATAGACACAGTTGCGATCCGTCGACTTCAATTTGTATTAATAAAGACGGCGGCTATTCATGCAAATGTTCTCCTGGCTACGAAGGAGTTGGAGGCATATGCACTGGTAAAATTTCAAGATATTTTATGGTTTCTTCCTGAAATTTATGGCTTCATTAATTACTGGTCTTTGATAACAACTAACGGTTTTCGGTATTCCTTTTAGAGATGCATTTTTTAATTATACGCATTTGTTGTAGATATAAATGAGTGCGAACGTGGTTTTGCTGGATGCAGTGTCTTTGCTGAATGCGAGAATCACATTGGTAGCTATGGATGCAAGTGCATAGCTGGTTTCAGCGGTGATGGCATTAACTGTATTGGTAATAATTAAAGCTTAAATAACTTCTATAATAGTGAACATTACTTTATATTATTTGTTCGATAAATATTATTTGGAGCCAATTTTAGCTATTGATGGCGAAAATTCGAAATCAAACGCTTGCGATGAGAAATGGCGAATACAGTGCCGATCACAAAACAAGACTTGTCACGTCGATGACGAAGATGTAGTGCAGTGTGGTTCTTGTCTTTTTGGATATCAACCTATCGATGGGAAGTGCTTACGTATGTATATATTGTTTACAATTGAAAAGCAGATCCCAGTCGAAGTCCGATTTATCTCTAATTTCTTATCAAAAGAGTTTTCCACACAATTTGGATTTGTCTAATTTTTACATAATAACTTTAAGCAAAAATTTGCAAGCACTATGAAATATGCCGCAAATGTACGAAATTATATGGTTAAAGCCTCTAATATACTTTGCTTCCTTTTTGACTTATTTATATCAAATTTCAAAAATAAATTATCCAAACTCCCATCAGATTATCCGACGAATTAGACATAATTCTCTTGAAAACGCCATTAATTTTTCAGCTATTCATGCAGCTGGCGAATGCGCCGATCCAAAGAAAAATGACTGCGACGTAAATGCAGATTGTATAGACGTTTATCCTAGCCGTCATTTTTGCACTTGTAAAGTTGGCTTCATCGGTGATGGTCGTCGATGTGATGGTAAAAATTTTCGCTTTTCTTCGATTTACTTAAACGTGTTGAAGCGTGGTTAGTGCTGAAACTAAGAATAAATTTGATGGGATTTACCAAGTCATTTCTTATTTATTTATTTTAACAATTTAAGCAATGCAGTAACCACATTTTTTTATTAATAATTTCAAAATATTATTTATAAATAATCCAACAAATTAATAAATGTTGCATATAAAAAAAGCCATTCTCATTGAATATTTTAAATATATTTGGTGTATTTGGTGAATTTATTCAAAAAATGAGGATTTATTTCATTGCAATAAATATTATGGAATGAATACAAATAGCTGGAAATTTCTGGCGGTCGTTGGTACCAAGTGGCATCTCTTTCTGAGTATTTAATAGTGTGGAATATTAGCCAAAGGGAGTTCGCCGAAGTAAAGGGATTCTTGGTGAAATTCAAAATCCAGCTATGTTGTAATTCGCGTACTTTTCTAGATGTGGATGAATGCACAGTACCTGGAATATGTGATGCAGCAGCACAATGTCACAACACGAATGGCTCATTCTCTTGCGTTTGTAAAACTGGTTATGTTGGTAACGGATTCAAATGTATGGTCAACACCAATATAAAAGGAGGTGAGCTTCATTCGAAAATTTACACTTGCTATCTTTCATTTGATCCATTTATACCTTAAATTTATGCTTTAATAACGTTTCTGCCATCATTTAATCCATTTTGCAGGACCGAATTGCCATTTGAATGAATCGATATGCCATAAGAATGCCAAGTGTGACTTTGATGGAACTTGCGTGTGTTTAACAGGTTATGAAGGAGATGGAGTAAACGTTTGCGAAGGTTGCATTTCTTTAGTTTCTCCTCGGTTCTTTTTCTGAAAACTGCTTTCAAATTGATTCAAATTGGTCTTTCAGATCACTTTTCATCCACTTTTTCAATTTCAACGACAATATCGCCATTTAAATTAACAACCTCGAGCAGCAAATTTTTGATGAACGATACTGAAAATAATGTCATTCAAAAATGCTCCATCGATGATTTATCACCGTGTCACGATTTCGCTCGATGCGATTTCAAAAGTGGCCTCTGTGAATGTAAATCCGATTACTATGGTGACGGTTATCGACACTGCAGGTGCCTTTCATCAGTTTTTCATGTTGCAATTCGCCATTGGAATAACATATTTGTAGTGCTATTCAATGCATTTATTATATATTTGAGTCCGGACTTTTGATTCCAAATCGAAATTGAGTCAAACTTAATTTTAACAAAACGCAGGCACAATTAAAATGCTAATTTCTTATCAATTTTTTCATTTTTTGCAGAAAAAAACGCCTGGATTGTGTTGCCGATACGACATTATGTGGTGATAGAGCAATCTGTGATGTGGAAAGCAGAAATTGTAAATGTCTTCAGGGTTATACTGGCGATGGAACAAACTGTATTCCAGATATTATGGTACTGTTAAGATTTAATCGTCAATTGTTGGTTAAATAATTATTAAAGCATCCCGTGAAGTATCCCATCTTGTGTTGTATATTGAACCGCACTTTCTTTCGAAATCCATCGTTATGGTGTATAGAATAAAATTAACAATAAAACCGATGCAAATAATTTAGATAGAAATTTTCAGGATTGTGCGTTGCGTGAGAATATTTGCAGCAAATACGCCACTTGTGTTAACAGAAGGTGTACTTGCAATAAAGGATATGTAGGTCAGATTATTATTATTATTATTATTTATTGTTATTATTGCTTGGCAGATTTACTCGAATCTTTATAATTATTGCCAATTTTATGGTCATAAAGTCTTTCTTACAGGTGACGGTTCTGTCTGTGTCACAAGTGAGCCGATCAAAAATTGTTCTAAGTGTCACCCAAAAGCCGAATGTATCGATGATATTTGCCGTTGCAAAGTGGTAATTCTTCATTCTCTACTTTTTTATATCTTTTCAATATGGTTCGGTTATTTCTAAACATTATTTTTGCCATTGTTCCACCTACTTCGGAATATCATTGAAATTGTTTTTCTGCCTAAGCGAACTCAACATTTCGAATTAGATCGTTCTGAAAATGCGATATGTAAAGCGCATCTTCTGCTTCTATTGGTACTTTCTTTTTCAGCTGGCTCCACTGCCTACATGTTGCCAGAGAAGGTACCCACAAATTTGTCTTTAGTGCCACTCCGACGTCGTTTCTAGTGATAGTTTGTTGGGTAGGAATCGAACTCATGTTACCTGACCTTCAATTAATACCACTCCATTATCCTATCATCCCCCTAGGACAAATTGCCCATTTCTATCAACACATCTATTCATTCTTTGTTTATTTCATGAATAAGATTTTCTTTGAGGAGTTCGTGAGCTTCATCTTTTGGCGAATTCCATTTTTTACCAAATTCCATTTTTCCGATTCCATTAAAACAGCGATCGAATTCTAGGGCTATTTTGGAAATGGCGGTTCATGCATTGTTGATCCGAAGGACTGTGTCCATCAGCCAGCTATCTGCAATGTCGATGCTGTATGTAATCAAGAGCAGAGACGTTGTACTTGTATGGAAGGTGAAAGTTTCGAGCTACTAATTAGTGTTCTCCATCTAAATATTTATAATTATAAATTATGGATAGATTTATAAATGCTTATAAATTTAAATGCTTTTCTTTTCTGTTGCTAACAAAATATTTAGCTTTTAATTTCCCATGAAATACCAGTTCTACCGTTCTATAATACCAAATATTCATTTCTTTTTATTAATGAAGTAAATAGAATTCAAGTAAAATATAGACAGCCCCAGTTGATGGAAACATTAAAACCCTAATAATTTTTAATGATTAATGATAACTTATCGTTCAGGATTTACGGGCGATGAAAATGACTGCTCGCAGGAGAAAAATTGCAACTCATTTGAGAATGTTTGCCATGAGAATGCGACTTGCTTATCACATGGAGTGTGTCAATGCAAGAAAGGATTTATGGGGAATGGAATATCCTGCAACCCTAGTAAAACTTTTTTGCATAAAAATTCGAATGTTTTATATATTTTAGCTTTTTCGTTTTAATTTTAGAATTTACGTTTGGATTTTTTGGGCAAATAATTTTTAATTTCAGTTGGTTTTATAGCAAATATTTTTGAGCACTTTACTGATTTGTCCTAATTTCGATTAATAGATTTTTTATTTGTATGCATATTAATCTCCACAGATATAGCTTTGAGCAGTTAACTGGCTAAAGGGGAAGGGGAAAGGTGATAAGGGGATTATTTTTATAATTACCTTCAACAGCGTTAATAAAGGACTATTTTCTTGGAGAGATAATCTTATTTTTTTGTTTTAGTAATTTTAATCGAAAAAAAAGGAAGAAAAGCTGCAGAAAACGAAATCTCCACATGTGAACCGAAATGTAAATCGTATGAAGAGTGCTTAAATGGAAGTTGCATATGCTTCCACGGATATAGCAAAGGCGATGACAATGTTTGCAAAGGTAAAAAGGCTCAAAAGGCTTTTAACGGTTGCTTTATGAAATTTGGCTAAATAATTAGAAATTTAAAATTTATTTCCAAATTATACAAAAATGGACTATTTTGAAGATGTGGATGAGTGTTTATTGCCAAATGTTTGCGATCCTGTTGCGAATTGCACGAACTTTCCTGGATCCTATAAATGCTCGTGCCCGGCTGGTTTTAAAGGCGATGGGAAATTTTGCCAAAAATATCAAAGCATCGACAGTACAGTGGTCGGCAATATGACAGGTTGGAACTGATTTAAATATTCAACTTTTTGATAATACCATTAATTTCATGTGGTACCGACCTGAATTATATTGTGAGAAAATTGAAAAAGCTTTTGAGTTTTTATTTTCGATATTCAGCTATTCAAAATGGTTAGATAATAATTAATCGCAAACTTCAGTCGACTGTGAATTAAATGATATGACACTTATATTGACGAAAAACCTCGACTTCTTTGATGGAAGAATATTTGTTCGTGGACAAACCGAAAATCCGTTTTGCTCGAAAAAATTCAAAACCTTGGAATACGATGAATTTAGCTATCGTTTTACTATTCCTTATTCGCATTGCAACGTGCGGTTTGAAGAACCAGTAAAATTTTTTTGTCCATTTCCGCTTTTTGGATTTTTCTTACCGTTGCTTAATAATAACAAATGGCTGATGTCGGATAATTTCTCCTATTTTATAGGATACGATGGCCGTTACTGTTGTCATACAACGCCATCCGACGTTTATCACGCAATCTGCAGATGCTTACGATCTCCGCTGTACATATCGAACTGGTGTGCGGCAAGTAGGTTTTTTTCGAGTAAAACGAAGTAGAACAAAGTTGGAGTCAATAAACTAAATTATCTTCTTTCAGGTGATGAGCCATGTTAACGTATCGGAAATAACGACGAGCAATACCATTGTAGAGACGGGAAATGGACCAGCATGTCAATTGACAGTCACCAACGATCACAACGAGTGGGTTGACGTTGCGACTGTTGGCCAAGTGCTAAGGCTGGCTTTGACAGTTTCTCCAAATGGTGAGTGTGTAGATTTTTTTTCATTTATGCGATAAACAGCCGATAAAAGTTCACTATTCATACCTATTTTTGTTGAATTGCGGAAAACATTACTGCAAAAGATTTAAAAAAACGTACATTTCAGATACTTATGCTATACTACCGCGAAACTGTTTCGCGATTAATCTGGAAACAGGTGAACGTTATTCGCTAACAGATAAAGCCGGTTGCGCCATAGATACACAACTTTTCCCAGAGTGGTCTTTTACTTCGCCATCTCTCGCAACGGCAACTTTTCGTACATTCAAATGGCCCGATAGCTCGATGATAAGATTCCAGTGCGATTGTTCTGCATGCTTAGAATCTTGCCCAAAGGTATAATAAATCTTAAATTCTACGCTTCACACTCTTTCCCAAAACATTGGAACCCATTCTGTTTCACTTTTTAGGTGAACTGCGATCGACGTCGTGAAGCTATGCGATTGCGAAGATTACGTTTCACGCGTGAAGTTTCTTATGACGAGGTGATCGATGGTAATACTGCCAAAGTTCTTGTGAAAAATACCAGCCAAATAGCTTATTCACCTTCTTTATATATTGAAGAGAAGGAAGAAACGCAAAGGGCGCAACAAGAGTTGGATCAATGGAAATACCGAGGCAAGTTTCCTCTTCTAACATCGTACGATATTTCTCTACCTACCTGATTGGTTCCCTTTGGTAAAGGGAGAAAGTGCCCACAAGCATTTCGAAGGCCTTTTCAGTCTGCAAAATATATTAAGGCATTATTAATGTATTTCTGGTAAATTAGCCAAGGATTAGAATTACTTACATGTGTTGTTGTTTAACTGCTTCGACCAAAAGGCAATCACGAAGAAAAGAATGTTGCTCGGTGAAATTCTCTACCGTTTATGAATCAAACGTTATAAATTAAGATCGAAAATAAATTTAAAAAACGACTTTTGAAAATTTGGCGTTTTTTGGAAAGCAACTAATTTCAGAGTTATCGAAATTGGAACCATTCGAGGGGATTTTAGAAATTGGCCGTGTATGCATCAAAAAGCTTTGGATAGGTCTCTTTCTGCTGCCATTATTAGTGCTCATTCCATTTTCAATAACGACAATGATCTTTTGGAAAAGGCGAGATAGATTTTCTGTTAAAGCGACCGAATCGTCGATTTATCCAACTACACCAGCGTGTTTGCAGTTGTGACGGCAGCAATGTATTTATTTATTTTTTTGCGAATAATTTCCAAGTTTTCTCACAATTTCTCAATTTCGTCTGAAAAACTCTATCAAATGCTTTTTCCGAAAAAAAAGACCATTTCTTTGCAACGAATCTATTTTAAGCCACTAATCCATTCCACTTTCAACATTGATGTTTGCCCCGCGGAAAAGAAAGCAGCTAAGTCCTTTCTCCAAAAGTCCTATCCACTAATTAATTAACAAGCCCATTCAATAAGAGAGTCACTTGAGAAGAGAGGTGGATTCCCAGCGGCCACATAAACCTCCCTATAGAGAAAGGAGAAGTCAAATCATTGCTGTTTGCTCTCAACCGAAGAATCTGCGATCAGCCCACAGCCAGCTTTGCTATCGCACGTTTTTTGCTCAATAACTCTTTCTACCGCTTTTCTCTCAGTGACCTTCAGTGAATTTGAGCATAGAAAATGAGTCTTTCCTTGAGTCTTAGGCTTTTTGTATGTTTGGATGTTTGATTGTTCAATACTTTAATTTTCCTCATAAAATTTGGCAAAAATGCGGCAGTCGAAGGAAATTTTGCTCATTGCGATTTCCTTAGAATTCACGCCAGTTTTGTTGTTAAGAAATCCTTGCGCAATTCTCAAAAATATTTTACACGTTGTCGCGTATGCAATTCAAATCGCAGAAATAGAAATCATGGAAACATTCCACTGTTTATTTTTCTTATTTTTTAATACCATTATTTACCTTATTTTGAAACGCTATTTACTTTACGCATTTTTTAAAAAATTTTGTATGTTTGCCTTCTCGTAAATATTCGGGTTTCGCCATATTGTGTTGCCGATTAATTTTATTAAATATTTAAGTTTTTCTTTCCGAGTTTGGCATTTCATTTTAAAGTAAATTAAAGCTTCCAATATGACCAAAGATTATATTTTATATTATAATAAGCAATTTTGTATTTGCGGCCATTCTACCACACGTTAATTCCTGCTTATTTTCACAATTACGGCCATACTGCGTTAAAAACACGATCGCGCCCATCCCAGGTAAGCAGTGTCCACCACTAAATAATCAGAAACCATCTGCTAAATAATCAGCCAAAAAATTCATTCATCGATGGATGCCAGTTTTAACGATTTTTTTCCCTTTTGAGAAGACGCAGTTAATTAAATAAAATGAAAGAAATTAGGGGCACCAATTTAATCTTGTTTGTAATATTATATAATACTTCGCCAGGAAATATGTGGCTATTCAAGCCATAGGTAAAGCATATATGCAGGTAAAAATTCAACTGCTATGACTAAATTATAAACCTCTCAGGTATCGTTATCAATATCCAAAAAATATAATGTTAAACTGCTGCCAAGCGCACCAGCCAAAATATAGTACCATTATCCATTTTCTAACACATTTTCTTAAGTTTTCAAGCAAAATTTAAATTTTTAATGTAATTTTGCAAAATTGTTGGGGTAATATATTCGTCGTTTTTGTTTTCTCACTGTCTATTACTTCTCGACAAAAATACTTAAGCGCACACAGATAGAATTATATAATTCATGAAATATAAGATAAACCATAAAATAAAATTGTACTATTTGGTTTAAACTTCAGAGGTGACCCATTATGCAGTTGAGTATTTCAAAAATATTGCAATGACATAATAACCGGTATGAAATAGCAAAAAAATAAATAACTAAAAGTAAGAAAATAATTACTTAGAGAGCATAAGTGAATAAAAATGAGAACAAAAGAAGATCCATGCATATATAGTAGAATGACTATGCCCCGTCAAAAGATTTCTTGAATTTGAGCACACCAACCTTTAAATAAAAAAAATAAGTTATTTGGAATGAAAAAAACAAAATATCTAAATTCCATCAGAAACTTCTTTTTACAAATACATATATAATGAATTCCACATTTTTTTGATGAGAAAATCGAAAATGCAACAAATTGTGCATAAGATAAGCAATATACGAAATAGAGAATTTTACTCGTATATATATATATCGTATATATAAATTCGTAAATTTGACCAAATTATCCGAGAAAAACGGTTTTCTCATTCTTTTGATCGCACTTTTTCCAATAAGATTTTAATAAGGTTTTCACTAATAAGGTTTTTTGAAATGTTTTAAATCAATAAAAAACTTACATAAAATTGTCCAACGGTGCGGCAAGCAGGTGGAATTGCATGGGATGAAACCAAAAGAATTTCAATCAATTTCAAACAGCATCCAAGAGGAATTTCAACGATACCTACACTTGAATCTTCACCATTCGCACGTGGATCGGTTAATGCATTTTCTTCATCGAAGAGCTGAGTGCAAAAACTAATATAATAAAAATAAAACAAATAAAAATATTCTAAAAAAATAAAAATAGTAAAAAACAAAAAAAATTGGTATTAATCGGTATAAATAAAAATCCTAACGAAAAGAAAAAAATACCTTATATAATACTTTGAGAACTGGAAAAGAAGGAAAACCATCGTTTATTTCTTCACCATTTTCTCGATCTGACTTCAAAACACCGACTGTAAGAATGGAATAGGAATCCAACAGCCAAATCTGCAAAATTTTAAATACCATTTCACTAAGCTCAATATTTTTGCTAAAGGTGCAAGCAAATTTACTTCATTTGCATAAAAATCAAGTATTCGCCTTTTTAAGAATGGTCTCATCGTTTCCTCCAGGAAATCGTTTAACGTCGTCAACTATGTTAACTATTAAATACCTCTCTCTTGAACTTCAGAAATAAACCATCCTTGTTCTTTCTTACATCACTGGAAAAGGCTGATTATATACTAAAAATTATAGTAGTCTCAAAAAATGTCAGAATAAAAAAATCCTCTTTTCCAAAATTTGGATTGAAAGATATAATAAAAATATAAAACTAGCTGGAATTTCTTATTTAATGCGGCAGATTTCTGCTTCTATGGATCAGATGTTTATACTACCTGTTATTCTGCTGTTCGCTTTTCGAATCTTAAAACTTATAGTGCTTTCCAACCTCGGATCCTGGGAATCTAATCTTTTTGCGCAATATCTTAACTGCTCCTAAAACTAATAAATTTCTGGATAGATCTCTATTGTAGCTCTGTTGTTAAAATCTGATGGAGATTTTTCTAACTTAGGGGCCAAGGCCCCAAAGGCTCCTAACATCACTGGGATCATTTTGGCTTTCATTTCCTCAATCCGCTTTAAATCTTCCTTTATTTCTCTTCTAACTTTTCATATTCCTTCTTCCTATATTCTTGTCATTGCTGTTTTCTGATTCTTGTCTATTACCATTGATGTCTATTGATTGAACAGTACTTTTGTGTCTGGAAAGTCTCGAGAAGTCTTGTTATTCATCATGGTTTTCTATCGAATCTCCCATCAAGACTTGAGATTTATCTCATATATTGTGCAGATATTTCTATAGAACATAGTCCCACTATATTCCTTCACTGTTCCACAAAAATCAACTTACAATTTTATTAAATTATGGTTAAGGAAGTGCTCGACTTCATTGGCCGACTTTAAATATCTTGGATCCACTCCTAATCCTAAATGGCCAAGCAAAGAATGAAATTGCAATCCGGATAACGACAGCTGGAAATATGTTTTTCCGGTTGATGAAACTTTTATGGAAGCGTTGCAAAATCATCATAAAAACGAAAATTCGCGTCCATATAGCTGCAATTCGCTCGATTCGCTCGATATGCCTGCGAAAACATGGCCAATGAGAGTGGAAAATATTAAGAAGCTATCAGCCTTTGACCACTCGTGCCTGAGAGGTACGTTACCGAACCGTCGAGCGGATAAATCGCATCCATCGCATCACGAATCGCATCATGAGCATGATTGTATCCATTTTCGCTCAAATTTCACCTATATTATGTTATCATAATGTTATCATAAAGCGTCGCCTTCGCTAATTAGGGCAAGTTCTCCGTCGTCCACCACAGGGTTTTTTTTCAGTTGATCAAATTTATTGTTTTTCTTTCCTAAATTTTTTAAATCAGAAGAAAACACAAGTTCATTTAAATTCTCTCTTTCAATTATTTGAATAATTAACTCTTCCAAAATCCATCTTTTTTATTTTTTAAATCCATTTACAATAATAGCTAAGCCAGTTGACTTTACTGCCATGAAAATTAAATTGATTCAATTAATTAAATAACTGTGGATTGAAACAAAAGTATGAGGAAAATTCTTCGCAATAATTAAGTAATAATTTTGAGTAATAATAATAATAATTATTTAATTAAATTAATCCCTATCCCCCTTTATTACGGATGGGATTTCAAACATCTATTTAATATTTAGTATTTAATATCTGAAAACCCAGAAACAGTCTTAAAATCTTAAAATCTTATTTTTGTTATTAAACTGGTTGTTATATTTCGTTGAACGGCACAGCCAACTGCCTACTTTTCCTAAATTTTTTTTTACCACATATATTTTTTTCAGTCAATTACATGTAGATTTTTTCTCCATTCATGGCTCAATATAGTAAAAAGAAAGAAAGCTGGAAATTCCTTCTAAGACCCTAAAGAAATGACGCAAAAATCATGGAAAACTAGCTGCAATCAATCTTTGATATGGATTACCAAAACTCATTGGAGAAGTGCCACTAAACAAAATATTTGAGGATATAGCTCTCAAAAGAATTTCCTATTACCACTTTAACAGAGCCCAATTGGTATAATCCACAGTCGCTATAATCCATGAAGATACTTGACCACAAAATCGAGAAAAATAGCAGTACATGCCATCCCTGGATGAAAATGAATAGAACCAATGTACATCCGAGGAAAATAGTCAGCTAGTAGAACTACACAAAGGTGTCGAGATCAAGGGTAGAACTGGATAATGGGAAAACACACGAATTATGAAATCTATCAGAAATCAAAGAGATTACTAAATAGAGAAAACACTGGTCACCAGTCTCAGGAGATAGAAAAGAAAAGAAATAAAATCAAGAAGTATCCAGAATAGCGTAGTGATAAAAATAGACAAAATACCGTAAGGAATCCTCAGATTACCTTAAAGCCAGACATCATAAAGAACATAAAATTTTTTTAAAGCACTCATATAATAGGAATCTTTCAAGGAGACTTGAAAAATTCACAACAAATTTTGAATAAATACAGAAAAGTTAAAAAAGAATATTAAGAATCATTCAGAAACGATTTTTTAAAATTTTTTACTCCATATTTCAAAATTAAATATGATTGACTAACACTCAATGTTTTTGGTTAAACTCGCACCACTATTAGAAAAATTATTCCCAAGGAACATTTGGGAATAAAAATATATATGGATTGACATCCAACACCACCTAAGATTTTTTGACGACAAATTTTCCAGTTCAATTTTCAATTCGAAATTAGTCAAAAAAGGATTTTCAAGATCAGATGCAAAGTCTTGATAATCGGAACAATAACCACTCAACTGTTATTTTACTCTGCATAATTAACAAGAGTAAAATAATTTTTTTTTCTCACCATTTCAAGACTCACTTGGCTGGTTTGTCGGACCAGACAAATTTTATCAAAGAGTTACTAGGCGATATAAGCACAGGTGAGACACCATGATTTACATCTGCAGGAAATAGAAGTGGAACCTCAGCATCAGGTGTTTCAAAATAAAACCATTCTATCCTGACAATAATATTATGAAATAAGAGTCTTCAATGTTTGAATTTGAAATTAACCAAAAAAAGATTTTCAAGATTATATACTCACTAATAAGCGTGGTCTTTTGTCGAGAGAACGAAGAATTAATTTTGACGATGTTTTGTCTTCACAATTGGTTAATACCATGAATGCGAAGAAATGTTCCAGGCAACCAAATCTAAAATATTCATTCGAAAACGGAATAATAATTGGGGTAACTCAATAAACTATCAGTTCTTTCTAGATATATACACTTATTAAGGCGAATTCCTTACTGGTCGTTTTACCACTATGGCAAAAGAACTGAATAAGTGGTGGGGATTTCGCACTATAGTGAAGCAATATAGTTAAAATAGTGACAAAAAATATTAAAGAAATAGAAGAAAACCATTTTCTTAAATTATTACCTTGTATTTATATAAGAAGTATGGCCAGAAATTAATGAAACTGATGTATGATGAAACTGATAAACATTTTGAGCCCCTTGAAAGTTAAATAATGAAATTACTTTAAAGTCCAAAATAATTAGTCATAAAGAATTCACAATTCACAAGTCGTAAACAAGAATAAAAGAAAGTTTTAATTAAAAATTATAGAAAAGAATAAACTTTTATTGATGGATCCCAGTTCATCATTACATTTTGCACATCGAATAGAACAATCATTTGAGATAATCGCGCTCTGTGGAATCATCTACAAGCAAAAGAATTGAATTCAATAATAAGCTAAATAAATCTGATAATGTAAAAATATTTTTAAGCTCCTAGAATATTATTAGAGCCAACCAGCTCCTTCCCCACTTATGGATGAGAATTATCTAAAAATTCTATTTTCTCCTTAATATATATCTCGAAAGTGTTGTGTAATTCTAGCATGCCTCTTTGAAGCTTGTTTTTTTCACTCCAAAAAGGCGATTAATTCTCTCCCACTTTTTAAAATTATAACTGTGGCTGTAATTCAGTGTATTTCGAGATTAGACAGCATGTTAAAAGAAGAAAAGGGGTACGGATGCTATTAAGGAGACATAACTGGATCAGCATAGATGAAATAATAGAGGGTTTAAAATGGTGCTAACGACGGAGTATGGTAAAAGAATGCAGCAAATCGAATTTTGAGGAATATCAAAGGTTTCATTACGGTGAGTCGCAGGCATTATAATGCGTTTGTATAGAGTATTAGCTAGTTGCGAAAAACGAAAAGGCACAAAGGGGTTTGTCAATACATCAATGGAATATATAGAGGCCTAAGCATTATAACGAGTTCAAAAAAATGTTTCTTTAATGCCTTAAAAAGATGTTTGACACGAAGTTAAAAAGGATTAAGGGAGTTGAGGAAATGAGAGAATGGGGAACTGTGAACTGAAAACAAGTTCTGAAGTTATTAAGGAGATATGATAAAATGTGAAAGGTGATTATAAGGCCTCCAGGTGGAAGTTACTAATGGAATATGGCAAAAGAGAGAAAATTGGAAATAACTGGAGAATTGGAAGAAAATGAGATTTCTATGAATATCACAAGATGGTTAATATAGAATGTAGCGTTTTAAAAAAATTTAAAAATGTTGCTTTGAAAGGCAAGAATTATTATGTAAATTTTTGAAAATAATCACAAAAATATGCAAAGCTATTTGAATCCATTTACCTTATTATGTACTAAAAGAAACAAGTCTGACATGAAAATTTGCTTTTCAGATGGATAAAAATGATTTCCTGATGATAAGTTGGATATATTGTGAATAGATCCATTGCAAGATCCAGAACACGAACAGTCGCAAAAATACTCAAAGTTTTGCGAAAAATCTGGCCAATCATCCTTTACACATTGCACCGCAAACGAACTGAAGCTGTATAGTAATACAAATTGAAATAAGGACTATTACCAACAAAGAAAAATTAGAAAAATTATAGATAGGAAATATCTTCAGTCGTATTATTAATAATAAAAGAGATAAATCAAACCCTTCTGATGATTGATGGAGTACACTAAAGCAAGTTGAACATTTAAGTGATGAAGATGGTCCCAAATGTTGAATAAAATTAGATAAAGTCTGTCCTGAGCAGGAATCATTCATAAGTCGATAAATGGTTTTAGGCACTGAAATTTTAAATAAACTAAACTAATAACTAAAATAAAATAAACTAATGATTAACACTCGTCATTTGATGGATAGAAGCCATAGATAAAATTAATTAGAAAGATAGATCCACAGTGATCATCATCAATCTCATTTTCAATGATAGATTCAATTCTATCAAAGAACTAGAATCGAACGAATGTAGTTTGCCATCAGCAATAAATAAAAGCAATAGAATTTTTAAAAATACAAAAGGACAAACCCAAATTATGAGATAAATTTGCTTGGATTTTGCACATAAAAAGCCTACGATTATCTGCCCATGTAGCTGCATGTAAAGTATTTGGCCGAAGTAGAATATTTTTAAAGTGTGCCGTATATAGGACACTGTAATCACTCTTATCACCACTTTGTTCACCAGAGTGTTCATAAAACAGTTCGGCGGTAGAGCGACGAAGTTCAATCGAATTTTCATTTAATATAATATTTTCATTAGTAGACTCACTGAAAAATTCACTGTTCTTCCTCTCTTCTGAATAACTGAAAGAGATCATAATTTTCGAAGAGCCTTTCTTGTAAAAAAATTTTTCGTGAACGGCAAAAACGTAAAACATGATGAATTTCTTTAAAGCACTGCAATAACAATCGCCAAAAGAATTCAAAGCAATAACACGGTTTTACACGATTTACAAAAAAGCTGCTTTTTATACTTGCGAATAAATAAATTTCTAATGTTGATTCTTAATTGTTGTAAATATAAAGAAAAAAATTCACATGTCATAAATGGTAAAATAAACTTGAAAATGCCAAAAAAACATCCTTCAAATCATCAAACATCAAACATAAATCAACACGAAAATTTTCACCAAACTTAATCAAAATTTAATAAGAAAGCAACCAGGTTTCAATTTAATTCTACCTAAAATTGTCTACTAATGCTATATTTTAACAATAAAGGAAACCAAAACCAACTTACTTTTGCAATTCAACAGGAGGGCAATCGATGAAGACCGATGCATAATCCGCACGGGGCTTAATTTCGATAAAAAATGAGCGAATCTGCCATTTTCCAAAAGACATATAAATTATCACAAATAAAAACACCGAAATCTGCAACGAAAAGAAACACCAAAAGCTAAAAATTATATTTACAGAATTATAGAATTACACTGAACCAAAGTATATTTAATTCGGTCAACCCTAACGACATCCATACTTCTATAACCAATTGAATGCCCCGCAGAAATATACAGAGGAGCCAGGGAAATCAAAAATGGAAGTTTGAAAAAAAATGACTTAGACCAATTACAAAAGTAGTACTCTTCATCGACTTTTATGCCTCAATTTACAGTAGCAGAGCTTGGCTTCATTGCTATTTCTAACATTACTCATCACTTCTCCTTGGCTATCCCTGAAAATCCGGCTCCTAAAATTAAGGCGCAGATGGGTTCTTATCAACTAATTTAATTTCGCTTTAAATAACCTTTATTCCTGAACAGGAATTAATACTGTTTGACCTTACGCTGCGAATTACCGAATATCACTCTTATAAAATTGCTACCTTCTACTGATTCAAGGACAACAAAAACAATTGACATTTTAATCGATTTTAAGTAACAATTAATTAATAAAATCTTTGAAGCAATTAATTCCCTTTTTAAAAAAACTCAAAACGGATTTATTCTTGTTCACTTGGATATCTTGTTGCAATGAAAGGATACAAATCAAAAAATATCTGAGAGCTACTAATCTGACTTAAATCTTCAAAGACAATAAATGCAATTATTTAATTTAAAAAAATTCAAATACAAATAAAAAAATATTTAACATTTAATATTTAAAAAAAATTTAAGAAAAGACAATATCATATATTCGGCCACGAAAAGATCGTACGGTATTAACACCATTAAAAACTGGCAATCGACTTCCTCTTTTTCCATTACGACGAAATGCTCGATTCGTTATCTCATCTTTCCTATCTAATTCTTCAAGCTCAGAGGCAGCACGACAATGTGCTGAAAAGCAATTCTATGAACTAAATTGTTCTTCAAAATAATAAAAAATAAAGATGCTATAAGAATATTAATTCGTCTACCTGGATATTGCTCTAAAAAAACAACAATTATATTGTCGATCGTTACGTCCTGTGCAATATCATTAACATCATTAATATGATTTCGACACTGAAACAAAATAAATAATTGGAGAATTACTTAAAATTAATATGCATCGAATCATAAATCCATCAACGAAGAAGAAACGATTCATAGAAATGTATTTCATGAACATTTCAAGAATTTTTCAAAAATTTCACGGCAAAAATAATGGTAAAGAACATAAAAATAAAGATTTCAAATTCAATTCCGTTAAAATTTCCGTTATAAATTTTAAAACGCAACAAAAAAATTCTAAAGAATTATTAAATAATTTAAAAACATACTTTTGGACATGACTTTCTCATTTTTATCCAATCTGATAAACAACCAGCGCAAAATTTATGCAAACACGGAAAAATGCTGGAAAATACTATATTAAATGATTATTAAATTCAATTAAACTAAAAATCTATACCGTATAATCACCAATCATGCAATATATGAATTTACATTAATTCAAAAGTTTAAAAACGAATTTAAAAAATAAAAAATCAATTTGAATCTGATTTGAAATAATTTGAAATAACGATAAACTGAAAATATGCATTATTTTTCGAAAGCATTAAAATGCACCTGACGCATTTGTGGATTATTTCCAAACAAATACTACAAGTTAAATTGTCGCAGATCTTATTCAATTTCAATTTGTCATCCGCCAATCCTAATGTATTACCATTCGGGTTATCCATTATCTAAAAATAGGCTTATTTGTTATATTTATTATGAAATAAATATATATCATTTGTACTGCTAATGAGCAGTTGTTATTATTTGGTTTTAACCTATTTATATTAATTCACCAATAATGTATTTTTCATTAAATAAAATTAAAAATAAGACCAGTTAAAAATAAAGAAATCTTTCTTATTGAAATAAAATATGTAATATTCAACCAGATATCACAAATCCAATCATGTCACTGAGTACTTTCGTCAGAATCCTGACTCCATTAACTATAAGGCAAAATTGAAACTAAAACTATGCTTACACTCATCAGAAGTGAGGATTAAATAAGACTTGACGTTAATAAATATTTTATAAAGAATTTGATACTGTTATGTTGATCTGTACTACTGTACAACTGTGCTAAGTATTATAATCTTAGTCTGAACTTAAAAAGCCTAAGGCTTAATTACTCAAAATTACCAAAGCTTATTTAGAGAACTAAGTTGAGAACCCACAGTCTTTATTCCCTCATCCGCACTTTTAATTAATGAAATGAATTAGTTGAAGATGTGATCTAAACGCCTACGTGTCTATGCATAACGTTAAGAGGCTCATACATGATTCATATACTCATATATTCATTCCTGCATAATTTTAAGAGAAAACTAAACAAAGATACAGAGGGTACTACATAATTTTTATCACAAAGAATGTAAAAAAGTTTTCATCTCAAAGTTTTCAAAGGAAATTTTCCAAAGAAATTCCGTATTCAAACATTAAGAATATTAAGAATAAAAATTAACTGATAATAAAGGTATGTTTAAGAAAAAAAAACCTGAATATCATTAGAGCAATCAACGCAATTATCTGAATCAGGAGATAGACCTATTACAATTGGGTAATTTTCAGTTCCAAGATTCATGATACGCTTTTTTCGTTTAGCAATAGGTGCATCAGCTATAACTCCACCAATCGCTTGTCTTCTAATAGATGAACTTGTTGCTTCAAGAATCTGCAAAATCCAGTATTATAAAAAAATCACCAAGTTATTAAAGGAAGTGGAAAAGGAAGTGGAGTTGACTTCTGCTATATATTCTGCTATATTTCAATGAAAAAAACAATCGCTAGATCCCTTATACTTTGTGGTTGTTCAGCCTGCACGCCATGGGGAAAATTTAACCAAGAGGAAAAAAATAGAAATTTTATGTTTTATTGCTACATAATAAATTTTCGTCAAATTTCTAAAAAAATTTATTTTTATAAACTAGTAAGTTTATAAAAGTTTATTCTAAAAATGCCTTTTAAAAATTTAGCAATAACCCGAAAATCTCTTTCAAGGAACAAGAGAACTATAAAATATTATTAAATGAAATCGCTAACTTCCATCGGATCATAACTGATTTCTTGAGGCCGCTGACCTCGTCTCGAAATTTGATTTCCAACCGATTCTTGCTGTTCTCTTAAATTTTAAATTAAATTAATTTTAAATAAGAAAACGTAGAAAAAAATTAAAAATTGCTATAAAAATGAAAATTTCACATCATCGGAAATTCCGTAAGAAAATAGGTTTGGTGAAACTTTAATCATTTAAATTTAAATAATTTTTTAATTTGGATAAAATATATTTGATGGAAATTTAAATAAATTTAAATAATTTTAAATGAAAAAACCTATTCCTCTTCATTGAACGAGTGAATACCATTCTAATTTATCGAAAATAACTAAAAAAAAATATTAAAAGATTATAATTATACAAGCAAGTTGAGCCATTCAACCATTTCGAAAATGTCAAAAAAAATATAGCACAAAGACGAAAATAAAGAATATAAATTGTGAAAATAAACTTTTATTTAAAACAAATTATTTTGCCCGTGATCTTGAATAAATTTTTTTCCAAGACAGGTCAAAAGTAGTGATTAAATTCCCTCCGCTGGCTTGTCGGACTAGATGAATTTTGCCGGGAAACCACATGGTGACACACAAGTGAGTTACTGCGGCAAATTAAAAATTGCACAACGCGACATATCGTGGACTAATAAAAGTAACAGGAATTAGAAGGTAGTTAGGGAAGAGAAACGGGACGGGTGCAAGGAACACCAGTGTGGCGTCCAAGGGACCTCCGAGGTGAAGTCAAAGCCAAGGCTGAAAGATCTTTCCAACTCGGTGGGATAGGCCTTTTAACCAGTTTTATAATAAAGATTTTACACCAATGGCAATAATTTATTCTTAAAGCAAATGGAATCGCACTTTTAAAATCATAAAAAATTCATTCATAATTTGAAATCGAAAATTCCTTTACAGTTAAATTATAAAATTACAAATTATAATTAAAGAATTATTTTTATTGGATATTTTAAAGACTGAAAACGATAGAAAATTTGCTTTTACTAGCAAAAATCGACAATTCTCTCGATGAATAAAAAAACTAAAAGAATATACTAACGAACACCGAAAAAATAAAGCCCTAATTAACCTTAAAACGAACCGCAAAAAACAAAAGTTTAAATTAAGAAGGAAAGGACGTTACAGTATGCTAAAATTCCGTCCAATAACCAAACTGAATTTAAAATTCAAACCATTCTCAGTGACAAATACTAGCGGAGACCTTTGAATTTAAGCTATTTCAGGTGGTTAAAAATAATTTACTCGAGGAAAATGGAACATGCAAACATAGATATTTTCCCGGAAGATTTTATTCTGATAAATAATAATGAAAGATAAAATTACAATCATGTCGAATCATTCGATTTACAATAATTTCAATTTACAATAAATATAGACGAAAAATTTCTATCAACTATATACAATAAATTATTGCTATATTAATGCAAAGCAACAAAGTATTGGTAACAATGGTGCGTAAAGAACAGTGGTGAACGAAAAGTGAAGAACCATTACAAAAAGGATCATTCACATTACTGCAAACCTTCTACAAATAATGTAACATTTATTGTTCATAAAAATAGCAATACTGTCAAGTAGTATTGTTTATAAAAATAAAAGCAGAAAAATGAAACTGAAATCATGAAAAATTTAAAATGATTTAAATTTAAAATATAAAATGAATTTATGTGTTGTTTAATAATACGAAATAATAAAATTAAATAAATTCCTAAAAAAAAGAAAAATGAAAGGCGTGAAAACGCGAGCCATAGAACCCCCATATAAGTAATAAAAGGCGCGAAATGTTGAAGGAAGAATAGAATAAAAAAGCAACAAGTCGCTTGCATTATACAATCTAATTCAATTTAAAATTTCAATTTCTAAAAATTTTAAATAAAAATAAAACATTAAATAAATAATTGAAATTAAAATATCAGAAAAACATTAAAATACAAAAAAAACAAAAAATCTGCTTAACGAGCCAGAAAAATATTTGAAATAGCTAACATTTACATTGTTTATTAGTTAAAACATTTAGGGGAAAAAATGCCAAAATTCATTGTTTATCGATTCTATCGTAATAAATATCTGCAATTACATTTACGTTTAATTCACCATTTAATCCCTCGATGATTTTGGATAAAATATTTCCATCGAAACCATATTCATAAACCAATATTTCATAAAGTTTTTCTTTCTCTCTTTTCATCTAAATTTATTTTAGCATATATTTTACAAATAACTCGGTAATAATATTAACAGCAAGAAAACTGTGCCGCACAAAAGAAAAAGGCTCTTTACAAATTGGTTCTTTTTCAATTCTTTTTTTAAGAAATATCTGTCTTTAGTGAAATAATCTTATCCTAGGGGAGACGATCAAGGCGAATACGTTGAAAGTGGCGTTAAATGATAAGATGCAATTGAAAGAAAGGAATAAAAAGTATGCAAGTGTACAAGTATGCAGTGAAGCATGTGACCTTACATTTATTTGTTCCGATTCAGCCTTCTGTCGACATTTCGAAAATCGTATATGGTTCTGCATTGCCTTTTCAAGTCTTACCATTTTTTCGTATGAATTTAGATTGAATGGTATTCTAAAAAATTTACTCAATTCATGATCGTCAGGTAATTTACGTCCTGAAATTAAATTATGCATTTGATTCATATTTTTTAAATAAGATTTAATACGTTTTTTTTTTTAATTTAACGTTTAAGCGTTATCATTAATTGATGCCCATAGAAATTTATCCAAACTACGATAATTAGAAAAATAGAAAAATACTTCAATAAACTAAATTAAAGTCTATAACCTTCAGCAATCAATGTTTTCGCTTCTGCTATTGCGAAAATAATATCAATTTTTTTAAGTATTGTTTTCGAATAATCTATAGACCATTCTTCATCCTTTACAAAATTATAATCTTCGTCAGAAGGGTAACTGTAGAATTGACCTGAAATATTTCCCAAGATAAATTCTGCAAACTAGCAAAAACAACGATTAAATATAATATAAATATAGAAACATAATATATAACGTTGAGCAAAACCATTAACATTCAAAAAATGGTTTCCATTTATTCAATAGTTCAATATTAATAGTTCAATAATTAATAAAAAACACCACTTTCTACAAAATCCACGATTTCGAAATCTCGTTTATAATATTTATCGCCTTGAGAGTTCGCAACAAATATTGAATCAAATGATGTCGAGAATTCTAATGAAATATTTCGTGCACATAGTTCGTGAAGATACGGAAAAAATTTTCTATGATCGCGAAATTTATCCTAAACATTAAAGATGGTGAAAACTGTAGGAAACTTACCACAATACAAAAAAGGTGCCAAGCTTATAATGTCAAAAAAGACCGCCATGAAGATTTTTTACGTATTATGGGTTTCAAAGGACATAACGAAATTTGCCAGCATGCTAGCGCGACCACAGCGCGGTCTCATGGATTTGATAGAAAAGGATCTGGTCCATTTTGGAGGATGCAGATGAATTTTTTACAGATACACTGGATATACATATTAAATGCAATGTTCAGCCGAACTGAAAAAAATATCTTTTTTTCCGCCAGCTGCAAATAATTGTTGAAAACTTACCTTTGATACGACTGATCCACAAGCATCGCGAGCAATAGATAAAGCAAGGAGGTCATCGCTTATTTTATATGGAGAAATGGAAAGCATCTTTAGTTCTTTAAGATCCTACAACTTTTTTTTAAAAAGAAAAGGATTAAAAATGATTGAAAAAGACTATCCCTGGATTACCTGTTTATAGCAAAATAAGATTCTGGTGATGCCTCATCCTAATAACCAGTAGAACGCCAAACCAGAAATATGAATGTTGTCAAAAGGAAAATCATGAAAGGAAAATTATAATAAATACTCAAATATCATTTGAAAGTTGAGGAAAGGAAACGCATGGTTTGCAAGGGCTGTTTAGCGTTATAGGGATACCATAACTTCCAGAACACTAAATTACATCGAAATCTTACCTGCCAAATTTGGTAATTGAGATAATTGCGCTTATTAAATATTGAGCGCGGTATTACTATTTCAACAGCAAATCCACGTCTAACAAAAAATCGAATTATCGGCAAAATCATTAGGCAATCCAAATATTGTTTCCTGGAAAAAAATTATAAAAATTTATCAAAAAAAAATCCAAAAAGAATTTAAAAACTCAACAATATGAAAAAAGGAAAATAATTATTGTACTTAATCTTTTTTAAATCATTCGACACTGCTGAATGCAATAAATTCATTGCATCAATAACAAGGAGCCTTCTGGCAAAATTTGATTCGGAAACGATAGAGCAAAGTTTTTCACTCAAATTAATCGAATCTAATCGATCTGCAAATAAAATCTAATAAAAATTAAAAATATTAAATTTAAAACAAAATAAGTTAATATAAAGTTAATATAAAGTCGATTAAAAGGTTAGAATAAGAGTATTACAAGTGAGAATCATAAACATCCAATAAAAATTAAAAATATTAAAATTAAAATAAGTTAATATAAAGTCATTAAAAATATAAAGTTTAATTTTCCAAGTGAGAATCGTTATAAATATTTAAAATTGAAATTATTATAAATAAAATTAAAATATTAAAATATAAAATTAATTAGTCTATTACTAATTCCAAAAAACTGGAGAAATCTCATAATCCTGAAATTCAATCCACAAAAGCAAAAGGGAAAAAGAACCAACTTGACGAAGCCTCAGTTAGCTGGAACTGCGTGGAAATGTCGTAAACGAGCATATTCATCGCACTCGATCGAAATATTTTCGCCTCTTTCTAATTACATTGTTCATCAAATTATTCCTAAATAAATTACTATCATTGCGGATAAATATCGAAATTTACAGCAAAAAAACAGGAATCTTAATTACGTGGGATTCTCCAGACAAAAAATTAGAATGATTAAATTTCGATCAATCATCGGTGGCAGAATATCGTATAGTCGCTCATATCGCGAAGCCGAAATAGTTAGACCTTCTGGATCAGACCGCACTAAAGCTACAGCCCTGATAAAAATCCGGATAGGCGCACAACGCAGAGGTGGCATGATGTCCTCCTAAACTATCTCAAAAGTAAAAGGTCTAAAGGCAAAAGAACTTTAAACATCATGTCACCTCTAGAACTGGGAATGAACATTGGTCCCAACTGAAATCTTGCCTCCAGCAATTGGCCAAATCTACCCCAGAATACTATTCGGAGTCTGCGAGTTTGTAAGAAAAATAAAAAATAAAGGAGAATGAATTGAATTAATGGTTCCACTTCTGCTCAGCTGAGTAATAACAATTTCCTTTAACATATCATTTATTCTTACAAATTAAAATGGCAGGAACAACAGCTGCTTCCCACCAAAAACTTTTCATTTCTGTTAGTAATTCCAAAAAACGGGAGAAATCTCATAATCCTGAAATTAGGCTAACTAAGCTTGGAAAATAGATAAATTTCCCAGAATATCCATTATTATTTCCATAATTTATTATTTCTATTATTAATCTTTTCATCTTCAGTCACAACTTCTTCTTGCAATATTTCTCATCATTACTCGTTAGATTGGCTCCGCTGGCTACAAGAGTAGCTCTTCAAGCTATTCGATCAGATGCCATAGTCAATTGACTAATAAATAAAATAAAATTCACCATTCTTTTTCCATCCTCTAAGTCCATATATCGATCCACCTATACATTCAAAATCCTTCTTGATTGTATCAGTCTAACTCTTAAAAAATATGCCTCACATAGGTAAATTTTCGATGAAAAATAATATTAAAAAAATATTACAGCAAAAAAGGTGATACCTTTACAATATTGACATGAAATTGGCCTGAACAAATAAAAATTTTATTGAATGTACTATTGAAAATTATAGGAAAAAAGAAAACGATAAAAATTCCTAGAATTATCAATGTACAAATAATCAATCAAGGTGAAAATTATTTGTATGATATTTCGTTCTGATAACCGATATAAACTGATATAAAAAATCACCTGAAAAAAGAAAGAAAGCCGAAAATAAAATATCAATCAAACGAATAGCTAATTTTTCGATTTCACCTAATTGCTATTCCCTTTTTAAAAAATTAAAATATTCGAAAAAAATAGATATCTAAAATCAACAAATCATCATTGTTCTTTGCTAAATCAGATGCTAATTGAAATTCCATAGCAATCCGAAATTCATCTGTTTAAACAACTCTTTTTTACCGACTTTATGTGAATAGACCATAACTTCTACGCTCATGAGCCACAACAACAACGTTGAAATTCCAGAAGCTTTGGTTAAAGTGAATATTAATCGTTGTATCTTCAGAAAGCCTCGCTGGATATTTCACCAAATTAGTCGCTTATTTTCATACGGATGTGTCGACGAAGGATCTGATCCTTGGTATAAGATAAATGCTCTACTCCATTCCTAAACCAGACCGAACGAGATATTGAGATGGCAATTAACGATGAACTTAGTGACTAAGCAACACCGTAATTGAGCATCAAATCAGTCAAAGGCTATGTTATAAGTACTAATCATCACTCAAAAAATAATTAGACGATAATAATTTACTTTTTGTTAACGTTAATGATTTCAAATGGATCAGATAAGCCTTGAATAGAGTTTTTCTTGATACTAAAATAAGCAAGGCGATACTTTCCTGCAGTTAGCATTGGGAATTCTGCAAGAGCCATTTTTTCATTGTCGATACTGTCGCATGTAACCACATAAATCCAGTGAATAGGTTCAAAATAATTTTCAAATTCAGCGGAATAAACGCCTATCCAATCACGATACGAACCATTTACTTTCCAGAAATCATTAAGAAAAATAAAATTGCATGAAAAAGGAATGGCGTCAATCCAACCAGAAACAGGATGGAACACAATATTCCATGAATGAAGTGTCTTGTTCGATATAGAAGATAATAAAAATTCGGCAAAAACGGGAAAATGATCTGCAATAGTAATCAGCTGATACGATTCATAACGTTTACAAGACAGCGAATCCCCCTTGAACAGAATACGATCACACCACGATGGAACCCGCAATAAATCATATTTCGTGGAGCCAACCTGCGGATTAAACAACATTTCTTTCGTATTAAAAAAAGCAAAGATTTAATAATGAAAATCTGATTCTGCAGAATCCTAAAACATAGAAATGTGTTTTCAAGAAATTTCTTGTCACAAAAGATTTCACATAGTGTTACAATAGATTTTCTTATTTCTTGAATAAATGATACACTTACTAATATACGATATGTTGGAGGAAAAGAAATTGGTGCTTCACTGAAATCACTGAATGCTTCTCGCTTTCGTCTTGCTTTATTCAACTGATCAAAATTATTAAGCAATTCCTTAATTTTACCCATCGAAATCTTCCTAAAATAAATATATGTTTGATAAATATAAATACCTGAAATTGTTTTAACATCTGAATTTTCGATCATAATATAATAAAATCAGTCATAAATAATAAAATAAAAAACAATCAACTGCTCACGTCTATTCGCAACTGACTAATTGGCGAAAAAGCCTCACAGTAGTAATCAGTGGAGTCAGATGTATATGAAACAATATGGAGATAGAAGGAAAATATTTCTTTTTCATTAGTAAATCCCATAAAAGTAAAATCAATAAATACTGCAACGGAGAAAGTTTTTCACAAATTTGAGGAAATAAATGTTGGTAGATGCATGCACGACTAGAAGTATAGGTGAGTGTCGACTTACTCGATCGTTTCATCAACTGATAATCCATCGACACGAAAATTAAAATCACCAAGCCATATTATATTTTGTTTAACTGAATTATTTTCATCATCATCAAAAGTGCATAATCTACTATTTTTAAACTGTTCACATCGTTCAGCATAATTGTCTGCCGATGGCAAAAAATGAGACGTGATTAACACCAAAGACTGATATTCCTCCAATAAAAATAATGCAGTAATAATATAATCATTTTCTGATCATCAAAAAATTAAAAATCCATTATTAGCCAGGGGATGCTCAAAATTATTTTCAACATCTGCAAGAAGTTTGCCAACTAAGCCAGTATTCACTATTCAGCAATGCAAAAGATATTCGCTTTAGTAGAAGGGTATGGCTAATGCTGAAAAATAAAAAAATGTTAATTTCTTCGAAATCAAAAAAAAAAAATTCATTTGTGCTTTATTCTCTGATAAAATCCTCGATTTCGACCAAAATGATGGAAATTCTACAGTTACAGTTATATCTCTGATGACATTGAACTAGAGCAAATGAAAACAGAACTCTTTCATTTATTGAAAGGACAAACCTTGAAGCGAATTCTTAACGAAATAGTGCCCTTATGACCAGTTAGGCCACCAAAAGATGTTTTTGCATTCCTATAATGGATTTCATCGACGAAACTGAATAGTTCTATACGAGCAAAAACCAGTAAAAGATTCCATGCAAGCGATGCTTTCGATAATAATGATCTTTTATGTGCTTTCATCCAGGAAGAAAATATTTTTAGCCATGTAATATCCGCCGCAACCGTTCCAAATATTTCAGAATGCGATAATTCCTGAAAATCTCTCGTTCGGCACTCCATTAAATAACCTTCATTTAAAAGTAACTATAAGTTTTTTCTTCTTTCCAAGTTTATTTTTCCTTTAATTTTCGGCGTCCACGTCCTCCGGCGCGGATGATACTCTCAGTCCCCTGGTGCATGCGATAAGTATACAATAAGGGCATAAAACGACCCCAAGATTTGTGAATTTGTGAATAAAGACATACTCGCCAGTCACGGTAATTGCTCAAAATCTATTATGGGAACGGCTCTCTGCACGCTGAACGAGATGTTAGCAGCGTGGAACATTGCAAACCAAGCGATCAATGTCCTTCTAATATCATGTGGATATCGCCTGCCTCGGAGGTTTATCTTCCCCACTTCGGGTGGTCTCGAGTAATTACTAAACCTAGCTCAGAGCAGAAGTATTGGCTATATCATTGTGGTGTTTCGGATAATTCGGGGCGAAATAGCGATTTTCATGTCTGAAAAAGCCTATTCCGCTTTGATTAAGTGGAAACCGATAAACGGACACATTATCTATGCCCCCTATTAAGTTCTGAAATATCTCGATCATTAGTGTATATGCTTCAACTTTAAGCGCGATGACAGCGATAAAAATAAGTTCTATGCAAAACTTCAACTACTAACAGCCGAAAAGTAACATGGTCATAACCGCAGAAGAATGGAATGCACACGTAATTCACGATGATAAATCGGCAATCGGCATCGGAATACGCTGTGCCAATGGTAAGTGTCTTCTTCATTTTGCCCAACAGTATGAACTTTTTGTTACTAATACATCGCTTCGACATCGCAGAAGACATCTAGTCACGTGGAATTTCCTGGATAACCAAAACTCCAATGAAATTAATCTTAATCAGTCATCACTGGAAGAATTCCCCACTAGATAATTGTTCCTACCGCAGCGCTAAAATGATCATCATATTTATTCGAACGATAAATGACCAAGCAAAAGACGAAATTGTTATTCGGATAACGTAAAAAATATGTAGAAATACGTTATTCCCGTTGACGAAATTTTTGTGGAATTGTAGCGAAATCACCATAAAATGAAATGGCGTCAAAAGCGAGGTAAGCCAATCAAGACCTGGACAGATACAATCAGGAAAAATTTTGAATATATAAGTGGACCAACAATGTATGGACTTATACAGTGAAAGAAGGAATAACCTCTATTAATATCAGCAGTGAAACCAGATCACGGAGCTTGGAAACCCTTACAGATATAGCCAGCAATACCAGCCTATCAAGAAATGGTAAAAGTTATTAGAAGAAGATTTAAAGGCAATTCTAAAAACAGCAATATTTCATTTCTTTAAAATGAATCTAAAACGTAGTAGCGAACTGAGACAAATAGCAAAATTTGGGATCGGCTACCTCAGCAGAACTCAAAACACTACTATTCACAACTATTAAATGAGATCGCTATTCCTCTGCTCTGCCTTTTCATATTATTTGCTTAAATAATTGTTTATAAAAGCTAAGCAAACCTGTATGCCAATAACGACTAAATCGGCTTTAAAAATATCCCAGTGATCAAGCATTTGATAAATCTGATCACAATCCGTTTTACGACCATTGATATTATATGTGATACATGCTATATGCAACTTATCATTCCTATCCATCATTAACAATAGTTGGTTGAAACGATTCGATCCAAAATACTTCTAAAAAATTTAAAAATTAAAAATTGACTACGTCGAGAAATCACGAATAAAAATATTAAATGTTTTTAGCCTTACTTTTTTCCATTTATTTTTTAAAATCACTTTCGAATTTTCAACCTACGATTTAAATAATTACAGGCCGGAAGACAACTCAAACTCACTCTGCCGCTCTTAATTGAAAAGACAATCCACCTTCCGACGGAACGTAGGATCTGCACACTTTATTCCGCACCTCAACATTCAAAAACTATCACTGGGATATCCCTTTTAGCAGATTTATTGTCGCGAGAATCCAACCTGAGAATCTATTAGGTTCAACAGATGCAGACAACCCAATCACAATGTTTACCTCAACCATACGAGAAAATTCAGTCAAAATTTCAAATACAATTTTCATTTTTTAATCAAAAGAATGAATGCATTTACAAATAACCTTGCGCAAAATTTTTTTCATCAATTTATCATATGCAAATTTTAGGAAAAAAAATATGCAAATCGTATTTCTATTTTTACGAATAGAACATCAGCACTATAAAATGTTAAAATAATACAATAATTTTTACAAAAAATAAAGAGCAGTGGACATATTGTAATTACTGAACCAATGTCAGCCAATGAAAAAAAAATAACTTTACAAAATTTAACAAAAAATTTTATTATCTTCGCTCTAATAAGTGAAAACAATAAATAATCAAAATATCCTTTATTTTTATAAATTTTCCATTTTCTAAAATTTTCTAGAAAGAAACAAATTTAAATTTACCATTCCAAATATTATGAATTTAGATTTACCATTTTTCTGCCCCAATCAGTCAGTTAATAATTTAAAAAATTTTAAATGAAATCAATGATAAAAACAAAAAATAAAAATAAAATTACAATCAAGTTTCAAAAAAAATGAAGATGGAGAAATAATGAAACCAATGCAAATGTTTCCTGAAAACTATAGAAACCAAAAAATAAAAATTGCGGAATCTAAATCTTCCCGGTTCATTACCCATGCTGCGACCGTACAAAATAATATACAAATACAATAATTCATTTCGTTCTCCTAACACGTTTGCGAAGTTGTGTTCGAGTATCGTTACTTCCCGAACTTGAAGAACTATTTTCCTCGCTATTGCAATAACTGTAATCGCTTGTTCCAGGCGATGCCTCACCTGACAATACGGATTCTAAAAGATCATTCGCCAATTCATATCTTTCTTTCTTCATTTGTTTCCATTCAGATGAACGCAGAACATCACGGTGATGCATCATCATATATCGTGTACAAGCCTACATTGAATAAAAGCAAAGGATAAAAATTATTTGACAAAAGTTCTCGATTAAAAATTCTCTCGAAAAAAAATTTAACTAACTAATAATAATTTATTTAAATTTAAATTTAAAACTAAAATTTACCCATAGTGAAAAATTTGAGCAACTGAATAAAAAATGTCTATAAGAATAAACATAAGCTATATAAAACAAATTACCTGTTTTAAAATTGATGCAGAATATGTATCTGCAAAAATGGCTGTTGAAGAAACATTTTTAGCATTAAGTGTACCGGAAAGATATCTCTCACACTGTTCCTTAAGTGGTAATATGGCATATTTATCTGCTATTGCAAGTACATCCTCTGCATAACCTTCAACGGATTCGGTTGATCCAGTATATATATAATCAACCATAGCTCGAACCTTGAAATAAAATTTTCACTTTTCGTTCAAAAAATTATTCAATACCGATTCGAACCATCAAATCATTAGGAAAAATTTAGTACCAGTTCGAGTTCGCCACTTCTTAATAAACTATTATTAAATCTTTTATTAAAATCTTTTAATTTATTGAAATCTTTAAACATTGAAAGAAAAAGGTTTATAAAGACATTTTTTTCCATTATTATACTCTTCCATTTGATTAATAAAATATCTCAAAATGTTTCGAAATTTCAAATCAAATAATTACTGGTTCAAATCTACAATCCTGAATATCAATAATTCCTTTTTGAGCTTCTAACATCGATTCTTGGGCGAACATTGATCGGAACACTTCACTGTGCTGCCCAAGTATACAACGATGTGCTTTTAGAGTTTTATTTCCAACCTCAAAAGAAAAAATCCTTTAAAATATATGTAAATATATATAAATCGCCTCAAAAAAACTGATTAATCAAGACTATGTCTAAAACTTAAAATTTTTTTTAAGTTTTAACAGAAATTAAATTTAATAAATTTAAATAAATTTTTTAACAGAAATTAAATTTAAGCAAACAACAAAACCTTTATAGTACAATCTGCGAAAAGTTCAGTTTCGAGCATTTCCCTTAATGAATCTCTAATTGAAACTTCGCTTTTTTCTTCGAAATCATCCAATAAATCAGGTTCATTAGCTTGCTCAACACTTATTTTTGATCCCGGAGGGAAATATTCGACTTCACAGATGAGTAATAAAGCACCATCAGCTTTTAATGCCGCGCTCATTTTTTCTCGAGAGACCTGAGAGAATTTATAAAAATTACGCTCGTATACTTAGCTCAAATTTAATTCGGTAGGAACAGTACCATTTTTACAAAATTAGAAGTAAGAATATAATACAACTTAAATATCATAAAATGAAAAGTTAAAATAATAAAATAAGACCTGAAATTTACCGCGACCTTGTTGATTAGTAAAATCCTTAGTATCTCTACAAACGCTGACCCGCATATTGTTTGCATCAAGCGCATAAATTTGAAACTCAGTCATTATAGGATCTTCGCCACGCTAAGAATGAAAATAAGAATAAAATTGATATTATATAAAGTAGATTATTTAAAACTATACACAGATCATAAATTTATCCGACGAATAAAAAACCATTTACAATAAGAACCGTTTTGAAAAATCAAATGCTGTTTCGAAAAATCTGTGGGAATTGTTAAGTCTCAAATTAAGACGAATTAACTGTCAAACTGTCAAAACTGTCAAACCTGTAAACCAACTTGACGAAGAAAAAATGAAACATTGCCCACATCTTCTTCACGCTTGCCATTAGGATATACATGAAGTTCCCATGTGACAGTTGGAGCCTGTGGACAGCCGAATTGTTTACTGATGAGATTATGGCCATTTTTGAATAATTTCATTAATTTCTCGAACTTAAAATAATTTTAGATGAGAAATGTCGACTTTTAAAATTAATTGCCAAAGTTACCATTTTTATCAAATCTGATAAATGATAAATCTGATAATAATTATGATAACTACTCAATAAAACACCAAAAACCCAAGCAAAGAAAAAGGATCTTAGGAACCTTTTCTGTCCACATAGCTAAAAAATTGAAAGTCGGCATTTGAAAGGTGAAACAAAAGTTTTGAAGGCCAAGTTTTCAAGTAAACCTATCTAAGAAGAAAAATTTCTCTCTGACAGCAACAAAACATTTCAATTTCTAAGTTCAATTTAAAAGTTTTTACTTGATCAATTTTCCATTCTAGTCGCGTAGAAATAGCAAATACTTTTGTCGCCTGTTTTGAAACAACTTCAACGCGACATGCTGGCGGCAAAATTGGCTCTTCCTCTAAAATTCGAGAAAAAATTGAAAATTTTGATAAAAATAAATATCAAAATAAAAATAACTTTATTTTTTGGAAAATAAAATATAAACGGAGAAACAACTATAAGAGATTTCCGAAAAAGTTGAAAAAATTTCTAAGAAAAAAATTTGATGAAAAATAAAGAAATTGACTACAAATTTTTAGTTTTGTCAGCTCTTTGAACCGAAAAACTTAAAAAAAAGAAAAACTTGCGACGAATGCCCGATGCACGCATTACAGGAATTGATGAACCAGGACTTAGCCGATTTCCATTAGACATTCTTTACACCGCTTTAAAAGGAATTGTATCTATTAATATAATATGTTTTGCAACTTATCCTAAATAATTAATAAAATTTATTTCAAGATTTAAAGGATTTCTGTTCATAATTTAACACTGCTAAAGGCGAATACTACCAAATTTCTGTTCATAATTTAACACTGCTAAAGGCGAATATTACCAAATTATTTGCACAAAACTTATGAAACAAAAAATATATAATTTCAGTTTTTTTCACAAAATTTGCATAATTTTTATACAAATGTTAATTAATTAACATTAAACCAAAACCAATTCATGGAATATAAAAAATAAAATTCCATAAATTTACTGAAATAAAAAATTGAAAATGCCCCGAATAAATCCGCGAATATCCCTCCCCCCCCCCCCCCCCGAATAAATCCGCGGATAATCTTCTCAAATGTGCCAAATGACGAACGGAAATAGCGAAATCAGCGAATTTAGAAATCGATTCATTTAAAATAATAATTAGAAAAGATTTTTGCTATAAAATTCCCCTTTTTGACAGAAAAACGTTTCAAAATTTTTAGCAAAATTTAAATAAAAACTTTCGCTGAACTTTTAATCTTACAACAAATATTTAGCATAAATGAATGAATGAATGAATGACCATAAAGTAAACGAAAATCGATTAGCGCTAACAAGAAGGGAGAGATTTACGGCCGCGGCAGAGCTAAACGCAGCCGCACCCCCTTCAGATTGTGGAACACGTGTTTGCTTGAGTGCTTGTGCGAAGAACCACCGAGGGGTGTTGATGAAGTGGTGGTTTGCGGTCATTCTCTGAGTTTTCACCGGATCCCACTGTAGTGGTACTTTAGTCTTATCTGGCACACTTGTCTGCTGTTTTCTCCTCTGCTGTACTTCTTTCCCATCTCATTGCTCTCCCTCGTTTCCCTTCTTCTGCCAGCCTTCTTCACCAGTTCCGCGATCTTGGTCTTCTACCAACCAAAATACTAGGAATACTGCTGGCTTGCGACCTCACTCCGAGGAGGAAGCGAGTTCGCTTCGGTTGTTTCCTCTCGTTGGGATGGAGAAATAGGCAATGTCAAACATACTGCCGACTGCGACTGTTCGTTTATCCGCACTCCTCTTTATGGCATTTCTTACGACTTCTCTTCCTTATTTGCAATAAAGAATAGTAATTTTGATGGTCGAAGTGCTCTTTTAATATTTTTATTTTCATTCAACGACGAGCATTATTAATATTTAATTTTATAATAAATCCGAATAGATTAATGAAGCAAATTGCAATGAGAACAAATCTGATTTTATTTGTCTAATAATGAATTACAAATTATGAAGAAAAGATAAGCAAAAGCAGATGAAAAGTGGTGCGAAATTCAAGAATAATTCTAATAACACTAAGCCAAGCGGTGTGTTACTCTTTTCAACGTTAAGGCCTCCACTCGGCCTTCGAAACAAATCGTTAAAAGTCCGGACGGCGCTGGACACTCACCCATATTTCTACAACTTTCCCTAGGCAACTCTCAGCATAATCACCAGTGGAACTTGTTCTAATATTGCTCGGTGGTTCCACTGACCAGCAAGAAACCGAAAAGTGATTACTATGAAAAAAAGAAAAAAAATGAGAATTTGGAAATGATAAAAACAGTTTTTTTTGAATTTCTCTCTTTTCCATCAAATCAGAAAATGGAATCCCGAAAAAAAATAAAATAACAAAAAATACTACAAAAAATATCCGTGAAATTACCAAAATATGCAAAAAAACAATGAAAGAATTTATGAACGTACGAGAAAGACAAACTGTTTTTAAGAAGTATTTCTTTTCGAATACACCAAATTGCCTCGTTTAAATACATATTTAATGAGTGAGCCATGAAAACCAACATGGAATATTATATGTTCCCATTTAGGCGCATCTGGAAAACAAAACATTAGATTGCCATACAGGGTAAAACAGTTAGGAATAAATAAATAGATCGTTCGAATCAACTCAAAATACCTTTATCAACTTTTTTTCATTTGATTTGATTTGAGTATATGTCTAAATTTTAACTAAGGAAAGAAATGAAATGGCGACCTAAGACAACAATATCTGCAAAACGTCCACAGCTTAATGCTCCATGAGTTTTCCCACGATTTATTGAATAAGCTGCATTAATAGTCGACGCGACCAAAGCTTCAGCCATCGAAAGGCGCATCTGTGTACAAGCCAGATACATAACAATTGGCATTGATAAACAATAAGCATTTGGGTTAAAATCGGAACCCAAAGCAACTGAAAATAGTAATGTGAACAGTGAAAATACAAAAATAAAGCTAACAGCAAGTATGAATCCATCATTTTGGGACAAGCAGTTACAAGCAGTTTCGATGTCCATAATAGATTTTAGTTACAATCACAAGACAAGAATAAATTAAAAAAGTTCGAACCGATGACTCCCTTAGATATCATATCACGCGCTGGTGGATGACGAAGTCGTAACGTTAATGCAGTGGTTGGGAGAAGTATAGCAACTGTTCCAGATTCAGCCATTGCATCAATTCCATTCGAGCTTATAGCTTCAAGATGGCTCATGGCTCTAGCCTGAAAAAAATTTATTTCCTCTAAGAAATGAATTTTCGAGTGATTATTTCCAAAATAAATTCTTCCATTATCTTAATTGGAATATTTATCGCTATTGAAGAAATTTATACAGAAAAGAATATGATTAATCAATCCATTTTGAAGATTTCCATATTTTAAAATATGGCTTATTACGAAAATAATATGGAATAATAAAAAAAAAGATAATAAAAAACCTTGAGATTTGCTCCCATTTCAGCGCTTCCTAATTGTTTCAATTCTTCTGCATGAAAATTCGCTTTTAATCCGATCTTTTTTCCAGCTTCTAAGATTTTCCTACTGAAAAATGAGGTTTAGTAGGTTTCGTGAAAAGTGGGGAATCGAGAGGCTTCAAAAATTCAGCCAACCAGTCAGAAGAACATTACAGAACATTTAATCAGAAAAAGATGTTCAATTTAAACAACCATAGGATATGGAAAAAAAATTCAAAGGATTTATTGAAACGTGTTGAACAAAAAACTTAGGAATTATCCTTATAATTCTTTGAAAAAATTTTAACAACATTTCAAATGCTAAATCACTGTGTTGAAAATGAAGGAATAAAATGAGGAAACCTCGATTCGACTTCAAAAACACCTTTTTCACAGAAAACATCGATATTCTCAATCGATTCCAAATGAAAATCCGATTTTTCCTTTTCAATTAACGGTATCATTTCATTGATAATTTTTTCAGCTTGTTCTTGTTCAGTGCTACCTTGAGGAATGGCATGTGCACCCAGAAAGGTTCCAGATATTTCCAGTGGCAAAAACTGAGCACCCATATCAATAATTCTCAATAATTTTAATTCAGTCTCCGTATCAAGACCTTAAAATATTCCTTAATGGAAATATTCATATGTACAGTAATGAATTTTTTAACAATATATTTTCGCCCGATATTCACTTATTAGTTTTAATGAAAACGAACTAACTAAATTCAAAAATATCCGAAAGAGTTAGATAGCATATTAATTGTTTGGCCTCATAAATAAATTCAGTTCTGTTGGTTTCGGGTAAATTATACGACAGCAATTTAACTATTAAATTTATTTTTAATCTTCATAAATATATTTAAAATTTCCATTTGATTACGTAAAAGTTATAATTGGAATTTTACGTTATAAAAAATACCTTTGATATCGTCAAATTAATACGTTTGAATCTAACTTAATAAACAGAACACACCATAGCCGCTTTTTGCTTCAATTGTCGTCGTTCCACATTGAATCATTTCCATAGCGACACTTTCGAAAGATGATAATAACTGATCTTCAGATGTTTCCCTGCATTTCTCAACTGTATATAAAATTCCACCTCCAGCCTTTTGTATCTTAATTAGATTGATTTTAATTTTTTAACTAAAATTCTAACTATTAACAAATTTGCTTATGAGCAAGTGAACGACTTAAATGAAACAAACCTCCATATAGGTAGCCCCAGCTAATTTCATGGAGAATTCATGAACTCGATCACCAGCAAAGACTGGATGCGTATGTGCATCGACAAAACCTGGAAGTAGAACACCTCCATCCACCGAAAGTTGACAGGCACAACCATCCATTGCAGCCAAGTAACTCAGCTGAAAGTAAGTTAAATTATTAAACAAATTAACAAAACATAAGAAGAAATGATAAATTCGAAAAGAAAAATAATGACCTCATCAATAGTTCCAATTTTTGCAATTTTACCACTGCTATCAACAAGCATAGCGAGATTAGACGAATCACTCTGAAGAACCTGAAATTTCTGTTGAATACGTGAAGCTAACTAATATTTTAAAAGAATCAATCTTGTAATTTTAATCTTGTTTCACTTAACACCACTCCTGGTTTCCCACTGTCCCACTGGCTATTAGAGTGAAGCCATTTCCCGAGTTATTGGGGACAGAGGTGAACCCACAGTACCAACAAAATTTCAATTACTTGCTCTCGACAATTAAATTCGTGAGCATCTTCTCTAACAATAATTTCCTTCAATCTTCAATTCAAATACTTAAATATTTATGGCATACATATTGAATATAAAATTAGTACTTTTACCCAAATTTTTAATAGATATATCAAAATGTTGGACATTTCACAATTGTTTCACATCTAACCATATTTTCACTCCTTTTTGATATATTTATTAATAACTTTTATTTATCACTTATAAATCCATAAGCATAGAACATTAACAACGAAATTACCGAACTACATGTATAAGGCCTATAATTTAAACGAACAAAATTAGTCTCTTACTATTCACTTAAGAGGTTATTTTTTTTCAATTAGTATTTTCGTTATCGCTATCAATATTATTAACATTACATAATTTAGTAAGATAAACCTTAAACAAAAAACCAAATGATAAACCTTTATAATTATATTATAAAATAAACAATATAATAATATAATAATAATATCTTTGAAGCCTCAGTAATAATGTCTCAACAATGTCTCAGCAGTAAACCTTTCATGTCAAAAATACGGATGGTTGCTGGGGATACATTTGTAACTCTATCATTCCCAAATGAATCTATGGTAAAAGGGTGAAATATTCTTGGTACAGCGTCCGCTTCTGACGCGCATAATACTCTCAGCCCGGTGGTACATGCGATAAATATACAATCCGAATGTAAAGCGATCCCAAGACTAATAAATAAAATGTGTTCGCAAGCCAGAGTAATTTCTCGAAATCTATCAATGGGAAGAACCCTCTGCATGCGCAGTGAGAGTATGCACAGTAACAGCGTGAAGCCGTAACTGCGTGGAATGTCAAAACACTTATGGACATTGCAAGCCATGCGATCACTGTCCACAATCATTCTAAATATCGTGTGGATGTCGCTGCTTGTCGGAGGTCTCTCTCACTTCGGGTCTCGAGTAATTAATAATTCATAATTAATAAGCCTGGCTCCTAGCAGATACTGGCTATATCACTGTGGTGCTTCGGAAAAGTTGGGGCGAAATGGCGTAGCGACTATCATATCTGACAAGGCTCATTCTGTTTTGATTGAGTGGAAATCGGTAAGTGACCATATGGTCTATGCCCATTTTAAAGGTAAGTTCTGCAATATCTCGGTGATCAGTGTCTATGCTCCAACTCTGTTAGCAGATCAAAGTGATAAATATAAGTTCTATGCAGAACTTTAACTGCTGACAAAGTCTTTACCGAAACATGAACGCGGTAATAATGCCGCTGCGATGACCCTGACAATTGGTAAACATAGCCGGAGACCGGTGCGCCAATGGGAAACATCTTCTTCACTATGCCGAAGAACATGGACTTTTTGTTGCTAATACCCCAGGCATCGTAAAAATATCTAGTCACATGGAATTCCCCGGATAATGAACACTTCAAGATTGGTTTCATCTTAGCCAGTCACCGGTGGAACAGTTCCGTACTAGATAGTCGTTTCTATCGTGGCGGTACAGGACGGGCAAACTTCATGGATCTGACCATGTTATGGTTCGGGCCAAGATTCCGCATAAAGTCGACAACTCGCAGAAAGTAGCATTTTCTAAGACAATCTCAAGCTAAAAAATTCGGAGACAGTGAATGCATTTCAAACTGAATTATTGAACATCTCAAGGATGAGGATCAAATATCAATGATTTTTCTGAAAGGGGCAAACTTAACCATGAAGGGCCATTTCTTGGCCTTGACACAGCTGAATACTGGTCCAAACTAACGAAATGTTTCCAAAAGTCAGCCACTTTCACCTTAGGGCATACTAGTAGGAAGTGTGCTAGTTGGGTATCGAAAGCAACTGTCTGAAAAAGCCGCCAAAGCACGAATATCAGGAAATCCTATCGGGTGCTTCGAAGAATTATACGACAGCGGCACGGCGGGACAGAAATCACTATTGGAGTGACATGATCTTGAGAATGGAGACGGCGGCTCGATTAGGCGATAATAGAAAACTATTCCGCCTTCTTCATAAAGCAACTATGACTCGGGAAGTGAAATGGTAAGGGACAATGGAGTGCCGATCAAGAGTATTAAGGTCAGCCTCATAAGATGGAAAGTATTCTTTGAGGCCAAACTTCACCATGAACTGCCATCTCTTGCCCTTGACATACCTGATACGTTCACCGAACCATACGCTTGCAATTGCGAGCCTCCAACAGAAGAAGAAATAATCTCCGTTACCCATAAGCTTAAGGTCAATGAGATTCCGGGAGAAGATATTTTTCGGACTGAACTCTTCAAATGTTGTCCATCGTAAATGTTGTCATTCATAACGCACCTTCAACAAATATACTCTCTAGTATGGAAAAAAGAAATATTACCAGATGACTGGAGTAAAGAAATTCTGCTCCAGAGAAAATCATTCGATTCTCATAAAGCCATTTTATGAGCGCACGTCGGCACAGGTCTGTGTATATGAGGAACTGACAGATTCTTTCGAAATATGAACTGAGTCCGTCCGTCTGTGTCCTTTCTTCAATAATATTCAACTATGCGATAGATTGGATAATGGACATCGCTTGTCGGCATTCAAGAGGTGCCCAAATCAGTCCAGAGCATAATTCGTATCACAGATCTTAAATACGCTTACGATGTCCTTTTTGCTGATAGTTTGCTAACGAAATGAAAGTAATAATGCTAAATAGTGTCAGAAATTGCAGCAAGAATCGGACTCAGGATCAATGTGAACAAAATGAAAGTATTTTCGTCTTATGTGCAAGAAGCTGATAAAATACCTCTTATTGTAATTCATTGCCGGTTGAAGAAGTGCCCGATTTCAAATACCTTGAGTCCACTCTAATAGCAAATGGACAGGCAAAAGATGATTACAATTCGGATCACGGCAGCTAGAAATGCGTCTTCCGGAACGAAACCTTTATGGAGCTGTCGTGAAATCACCATGAAAACGAAAGTCTGCACATATAGCTGTGATTCGTCCGATCTTGCTGTATGGCTTTGATACATGACCAATGAGAGTGGAGGATATTAAGAAGTTATCTGTCTTTGCCCACTCTTGTCTAAGGTACATTTTACGAGTCCGTTGAGCGGATAAAAATATCATATGATCGCATCCACCTTCGTTCAAATACCACTTGCAATTATCACAGAGCACTGCGCTCGGTGGTCAGAACAAGTCGTCTACCCCAAGAGTTGACGCATATTTCGCTGCTTTCTAAACCGTGTGATGGTTGGTGTCAGAAGCGAGAAAGGCCAATCAAGATCTGTACTGATACGGTGTCAGAAACGATTTTGATATAGGTGGACCAGCAATAAATGGACTTAGACGATGGAAAAAGGAATGGCTTCTATAACTGTCAACGATGACATCAGACCGCGTCGCTTGGAGGCGTCTTATCCTTGTAGCCAGCGCAGCCAGCCTAACAGTAATGGCGAGTGCTGTTAGAAGAAGAAGAAGATAAACCTTTATATTATGCATATCCGGCCCACGAAGAAATTCGATCTCAGTTGAGTCGGTGATTTGAACAATCTGATGCGCCCCGTATAACAACAGCTGATAACGTACCATCTTTGGTCTTTTTCAATGTTTAAAGTATTACTGCAAAATAAAGAAATCTTTATTATTAAAAAATAAAATACTAAAAAATAAAAATGAAGTGACGATTTCACAAGAAAAACGATAATTTCCGTTCGGAAAAAATCACAAAATGAAAATTTTTACCAACAAAAAAATTATTATCGTTTTGCTATATGACAACAGATTTGGTTTTTTTATGTAATTTGCGGGAAAAATAAAAGGGAAAAATTTATTAAAATCTCTAAACCGGTAATTCGACGCTGCAACAACGCCAACGGCATCTTCGATAGCTTTCAGTAATGCAACAAAACGAACCTAACAAACTGCAAATTATAAATTTATATCAACGAGAAATGCCAAAAATAAATTTAACACTCGCAGCTTTCGATGGTGATTCCCCGTTTGCAGCGAAACTCTGCTGGATTTCCGATGGATCGCCTTGTCAGTATATTACATTATTTTTAGTCGATCCTTATCTATTAACTAATTAAAATGCTGAAGTGAAATCAATTCGCCAGAGAGCCGCTTGAAGATAAAAATGCGGACCTTATCAATTAACCAAATAAAACCGGTATTAGTTAGTCTTCACATTAGTACGTTAAGTTAAAAAGCCACTGATATGACCATTAATTTCCAAATATGCACTCGTTTCACATAAGAAACTGCGTATAGGCACCGCTTTTAACGGTGCCACCGATTGCTCAAACAAATAATCCGTTTTTTCAGCGATAAATCTTATTAGGTGGTTCAGCGCGACTTATAATCCCTCGCTCTGCCTACTGCTATAGCAATACTGCCAAGTAGTGTCACTGAATAATTAACTCGCGCCATAGGGGAAGCCGCTGCTTACCGGTGATTATAATTACTATCAGTAATAACTGCTAAAAAGTGGATTAACTTTATAATAGCCGTCTGCACTGGCCGTCAGCTCGAACTTCAAACCCGCCAGGAGAAGCGGCGTCAAGCAATTTGGGCGAAGCTTGAGATCGACCAGTTCTCCAACCTCCAACTACCTCCGCCAGAACTCTCTCATCCAACTTCTTTCCAATTATTATCGCTTATTTTGATTATTTCCGAACAAATAACGAGTAAATTGTTCCATTGTCGAACCATTAAAAGTAATTTTTAAAAAAAGAGTTCACTCGTCAAAGCAAGAATTTATAAAAAGTAAAATTGATTTTTCACGAAGAAAGTCAATTTAAAATGCTTTATTCATCGATTAATCGAACATAAATTTTTCAAAAAATGGTTTTTCTTACAAATAAATTCACAGCAGTAATTCCATTAAATCGCTGAATCGCGAATGCGAAGTGTGGCACAGCACGCTATGGCATAAATATTGCCTGCATGTGCAGCATTTATAAGTGCGTGATTTAGGCATTGTGTGCATGTGCACTAATGTGCACGCGCAATAAACTTACTATGCATGTGCATTTCGTTTATCATTTATGTGAAAATTGAAATATATTAAAAGGAAAAGAACGAAATGATAGTGGAAAAAACAATGAAGAGAAACGAGATTGCATGTTTTCATGGTAAAAACATGACAACGGATTCAAATAATATTTATTACATCGCTGAGATGCAATAAATGCCAATCAATATAATTAAATATAATTTCAAAATAAATTCTTGCATTTAAATTTAAATTTAATTACATTTAAAACACAAAACGGTTTACAAGTTAGCGCCCACTATTCCACTTTGGTCTGGTTAGTGTTAGGAAATTTAGAAAATTTCGTCAGAGAATCACATAGAAGTCACAACTGGACCACCACACCGTCCAATTTGCTCATACAAATTTCCTTTAAACGTAAAACAAAACACCGTTTGGCACTAAACTACTATGTAAGATTTTTTGATTTGATAAGTTGATTTTATAATAAAGTGGAATAAAAGTGTACAAACCATTGTCAAATCAAATTCAGTCAAAAAAAGCACAACAATAGGAAATCCTTTACAATTCAAATATCTTTGTCGCTTTAACTCGCAATTCGACAAATCTATTCATCAGCTGTTGATGTTAATTATTCAGTTGTTTCTACAGATTTCAATTAGCGTAATTTAAAATTTAAAATGAAAAATGATATGATAAAAAGGAAATAAAAAAAAAAAAAGGAAATGAGGAAATTATTGAAGATAAAACTACACAAAATTAGAAGTTTAAGCAATAAAATTTTTAGCAAATTAAAACCGCAAAAGCCAAAACAATTCAAAAAATTCTTTAAATAAATCCGGTGCTGCATTATCAAAGAATGATTCAATTAATAAATATATCCCTTCGTAAAAGTTTCAACGAACCTCAACAAACAGAAAAAAGAAATTTAAACAATTACCCTTCTATCGTTGAGAGATATGATCAATATATTTGGTTAAAATTGCTTAAAATTACTATTAAAAGCTATAAAAAGATCGACTTTCAAAATTATGAAAAGTTCAACAATTTTCCAAGATAAAATTAAAACAATTTTCCCAAAAAAATAAAAAGAAAATAGAAATACCAGAACCACCATTTCAACAAAATCTTCAAACATTTTCGGCAAAATTTCTCACAAATTAGGGTCAATTTCAAAAAAAAACAAACTTTTTTTTTCTTCCATCCAATAAAACGAATGCTAAATTAAGATAAAATTTACAGAAAATAAAAAGACTGTTTAAAATATCTAAAATTTTGGCTAAAATACATACGAATCTCCTTCCTTATTCACAAAAAAAACCTTTTTTGAAATATTTAAAAGAAATACTGAACGATAAGATAACAACAGAGAAAAAACAAGAGAAGCTACCAAATCAACCAGTAATGAATTAAAGTTTTAACGATAACAATAAAAATAAAATATAATACAACAGGAGATACTATATCACAGTGTTCTTGCCTTAACAATCGAAAGCTTTCCTCTTATAACGCCTTTTTTTGATTTATCCTTAAAATTTTACACCTTTAGAAAATGCTAATATGAAAATAAAGATAAAAACGATATAAAATGCATTACTGATTTAAATTTATTCAAAACAAATACCTTCTTTGAATAAGTACTAGATTTAGATTTTATTTTTCTCTGCTGATATTTGATTGACGGTCTATTAGGCAGCTTTTTCACTTTATATATACGAACAAGCCAGTTTTCAGAAGTATAGGCTTCTTCCAGATGTTCGAGCACAATATCTCTCTTACCAATAACATAACCCCTTGTGCGATCAAAACCAGCTGGTTGCTGGTGCCCAAGAGAGAACTATTAAAATAAGAATGTAATGAATAAATTCGATGGAAAAAAATGAGAAAAAATTTTCACTGTTTTCAGTAAATCATCATTTCAATTTTTAAGAAAATTATATAAAAAAAATTAAAAATTGTATGAAAAAATCATTAAAAACTAAAAAAATTATGATCAGCAAGAAAATTAGAAAAATATTTAAGATGAAAATAAAATATTTAAAAAATACCCTGATATCTCCGAAACGGTAATAACTCATCTTATACATAAGACAATTAAGCATGATATTCGAGGCTTGTTCACCCACAGAATAATCACCTGATTCGGTGAAATAATTGCTCTCGCGTATATCCTTAGGATGTTCGCCCTCAGCAATGCGAACCATCCACAAAAACTTATTAATATCATCACCTAAAAAATTTTTACATCTGCAAGATTCAGATAAAATGCATTAAAAACAAAACATGCTGTTATAAACATGCTTAATTCTAAACTAAAAAAAATATTGAAACCTCTAAATTCTTCAAATTTTTAAAATCACTAATTTTAAAGAAAATACCCGAAAACCCAATAATTCCGCCAAAAATCACTAATTTTAAATAAAATACCAGAAAACCCAATAACTCCGCCAAAAATGACCAGTACATAATCAACATCCAATTCATTCATAATTTCAAATGCTGCTGATTCGTTCGATGACATTGCTTTACCAACCTGAAAATTAATAAATTATATGATGAAATACAATAAATGGAATAAGAAAAGGAATAATGGAGAGAAAAATCAATAATATGAACAGACCTTAATTCTAATATTATCCCCTTCCAACTCATTATGTGGTTATTTTGCAGCATTAGTTTCAACTTATTGCCAATTTTTTTATTTTTTCGATATCTAATTATTTTCTTTATGTTGATTATTTTGATAAGATCAAATAATGTCTTTCCGTGTTTGATTTTTTTTTTATATGAACAAATTAATGAGTAAATGAGTGATCAAAGAAGAGCAGGAAAAAATTCATCTCGAAATTACGTTCCGTTTATGTCATAAAAATTATTATTTTAGATAAACATTATTGTGAATTCCGAAACTAACCAGAGCAATGTGTGAATTGTTCCATGTATTATTATCCACGAGTGTGGTTCGATTAGCCATTCCAGCTATTTGATATCCATAATCCCACCAACTCATAATTCTCGCATTATCGTCTGTATTTTTACGCAGCCAATAGTAAGCTTCACGAAAATCATCCATAATCACACGACCACTAAACAAGAAGTTAAAGTTAAAATGTTTAAAGTTTAAATTGCCACATTGTTACGGGAACTGGTTTAATGTGTTTAATTGGAAACCAAAAATGAAAGCTGAAAAGAAATGGAAGAAACAAAAAGACTAACCCATCAGATGTATGCGATTGTAGTACGACGGAAGGATGTGAATATGCATTACTTGTAACATAAGTACAATGAACTACGAACATCAACAACATAAGGACAAGGACTACAGATACAACTGAGCGAGCATTCATACCTATTGACCCATTATCACTTTCAGTAGTAGCTTGATTTACCCAAGATCCACCTTTACGACCTTTTCCGGCTTTGTCGTACAAATGTTTACTTTCTTCTTCATCCATACCACTAAAAATCGAAAAAACAACGATTAAAGGATTAGGAAATTCTATAATAGTTAAATATAATTATAATTTATAAATCAAGGCAAGTGCCAATGAAATACCTTTTCGGTTCCTCGCTCTCATCAACCAGGAACTTCTCATAGGTATATGAAAATGCAATTCCAGAAAGTACGCAGACGACAGGTGTAAGCGTCAGCATAAGGCGAACCATTACACCAGCAAAATACACGGCGGTGACAGCGTACAAGATAACTGAAATAGACTAGAGCAAATTTTAAAAGTTTGAAAATTTTCAGAAATTAAAAGATTTTGCGAAAAATTTCATTTAAAAAGACTGAAAAAATGAAAAAACGAATGAAAATTAGTTGAGGAAATTTCAGCGCAACTTACTAAAAACTCGTTCATCATTAATGTTCTTAACGCAGTACCAAAGACCAACAGGGAAAACTGCAGCTGTAATATGGAGATCAAAAAAGAATGAAACCCAAGTGGTTGGTTGGTGCTCCGAAACTGAGGCTATAATTGGAATGTGAATTTTTGCATATCCAGTATCCCACAGTGAATAAAAACGACCTGACCAAGGAGCAATGTAACCTGAAAAGAAAAAATAAGAAAACCCAATGTATTCGACAAAAAAACTGAAAATTTTCAACATTTTCGTACGGATAATCCTTTGAAATATCTAAAAAACAAATTGTAATAAATAAAGAGTAAAATGTATAAAAATTACCTGCATAGGTAAGGAAAACAACAGCAGTAAATCCAACAATTACTACTGTCGATATGCCACCAACAAATAATGTCATAAACTGATTTCGAGTAATACGTCTCTGCGCATATTTAAGAAGAGCTATAACCTAAAATAGATCTTAAATAAATGAAAAACAATATAACCCTTTTCCAAAAATTTTTTGGAAGGCTGAAGGCTGAAGAAAAAAATTTTTTCTCCAACTAAAAAAATGAAGTAGCAAAATGAAAATTAAAACAAAGAAATCTAGCTTTGAAAAAAAATGTAATAGTAATTAGTAAAATGTAATTAATAAAAACCTGAAGCAGACCGAATACGCCTGCTGCTGCCATATGCTCAGATGTTTTAACTGGCTGAAAACCAACAAATGGGACTTGCATTGCCATAACTTGGCCCAATATATAAAAGGTACTATAAGCTAAAAAAATCACATAAATCTATAAAAAAAATTAAATTTCGATTCAATTAATTTTAATTTTAATCACTCAAATCTTAATTAAATTTTGATTAAAATTAATGAAATTTTAATTAAGCGGAAAAATAGATGAACAGAGAAAAATTTAAAATCTTACCAACATAAAGCTTTGATGTATAGCGACCTATAAGAATCAAAACAAATGTATGCAATGGAACAAGATTAATTATAAAAACATAACCACCCCATGCCGACACCATATAAAAATAAGAAAGCGCTGTAAGTGATGCCCAAAAAACAGAACCTGTCTTCACAGAACGAACCCATAAAAAATATGTGAACTGAAAATTTTTATAATTACTCGTTTAATACCTAAAAAACCTTACCACAATTCTATTTTTAAAATTTCAGCAATTTAAAAAAAGCTATTTAATGATAGATAGATGTATCAAGAGTAGGAATGACATAATAACTGCAATATAACTGAATATCTCACATAATATGATTTTTTTTATTTTTAACGAAAGAAAAAGAAGTTAAAATATATATACCTGAAGAGCAAAAATAGCGATCCCTTCATTGTCATATGACCCAGCGACTGAACGACTAGTATATCCAGGTGATATTGCAATGAAACAAGCTGCGAATAAACCTGCGCCAGTAGACCACAATTCTTTCGCTAATAAATATGTTGCAATTGCAGTTAAACCACTTAAAAATGATTAAGAAATTAGAAGATAATAAAGTCGAATCTTCTTAAAGTAATTTCGTAAAATAATATTTTATACATATGAAAATTCTAAGAGAAAATGGTTTATAGATATTTGGTAATAAAGAAATATACAAAAAACAATTGTTTTTGGCCACCAGCATTTCCAATCGGGCTAAATCTATTTTTAAATAAAGGTGACAACAAGCCTTCACCACTATGAAACGACAATATCAAAACAAAAAATGAGTCGTAGGAAAAAAACCTGAATGTTGGAGCGAGAAAAACGCATATATCACGAATATGAATTGATATATTTAATAACGAAAGTGCATAATGAATAAAACCAGATGTTAACATTAATCCTGGATACACCTGTAATTTAAAAAAAAAAACTAATCAAAGGAACGGCAAAAATATTATTTAAAAAATTTCGTGGATTATATAAAAAATTCAAATTCAATCAGTGATTTATAATAAAATAAAATACAAAAAACAAAATACAGTTCAAAACTTACAGTTAAAACAAAAATATTTTTTAAAATTTAAATTATCTAAAAAAAAATTACAAGTAATTAAAGAACGATGACTGAAATATTAAATAGTAATTAGTAGAAAAATACCGTTCCACCAACGATTCGTCCCAATGGATACCAAGCACGTTCATCGAACCAATTTAAAAATTTATAAAAACCATTTTCTACCATATAATGAGTTGCGCGAAAATTAAACCTGAAAAAAAAGCAAAAAATTAGAAAAAATTTCAAATTTCAAAGGTTTGTTTTCAATTTTCGTAATCGGAAAATTTTCAAAATATTTCCAATAATTGTAATTTATAAATATGTAAATTCCCGATATATATTCCGATATATGCATGAAATTTGCATTTACATTTACGTATTGATTTGGTAATCGACAGAATCAAAAGCTATAAACGTCAAAGAGGGAAATCGTAATGCGAAAAATCAACTCGATATTACATATAAAATCATGCAAAGATTCTCTCTGATTTGAACAACAATATAATTAAATAATTAAATAATAATTAAAAAGTAATTTAAAATCCAGAAAAAATAAAAAATTTACCATGGATCGAATTCGTGAATAATTGATTCAAAACGAACAATAGCAAATAATCTTGACGCAAAACCAACAATCCATGCTAATGATAAAATAACAAATATTAAAAGACTCGTTATAGCAATTGATTTATTCGACATTCCTCCGTTTCCTCTTTTTCTCAATGATTTTATTTACAATAAATCGTCAAATTCACCTGAAATCTCTAAATAAAATAAAAAACAGTTAAGTAAATAATATCTGCTTAACTCTTTTATATTTTTAATCAGACAGCTGGAATGATCAAGCGATACTACTTCGAATGACAACAATCGTCATAGTTTTTCACTCGATAAAGCCATGCAATGCTCTGGCAAGTCGCATTCACATTATGAATGAGACTAGCCAAATCAAAAATATGAACATAGAAGAGGAAGAAATATTTACAATATTTTCATCAATAAGAATTAGCCTTTTCTTTTCGAAAAAATTTGAAAAATGAATAAAAAATTTAAACCATTAAAATTTTCTGAAATATTTTACTTGAATTTTCATTACAGCAATGTTTATTAAGATCAACAACATTTAAATGAACCCGCCTGACCCCTCCCCAACCCAAACCAACCGAGCCCAACCCAACCCAACGACCCAAACGACTCACCTCAAACTAAATGATTTTGGAAATTGAAATGATTAACGTTATCTCAAACTATGTTGTTTTATTGTTAAGACCATATTTAGAGTTTTTGTAGCGAAATATTTATTTAAATTCTGCCATAGTGGTACTGAGCTAAATTTTAATTTGCTATTTTCTAGGCAATTTAATTTAATTTCGCTAAAAGCGAAGGGCAAAAAATCTATTTTCGCGACTATTTTACTGAATTTCATTGCTTTTCAGGCTGGGAAATTCGGCTCTGCTAGTTTATTGGGTTAGCCAAATTCTGCCAGGAAGTCATTCGGCGAAAGAAGCAATGTGAGTGGCTCGCACCGCCCACACTTTTCTCTAAGAAAGGTTGGCTCCTGCCGGGATTGAAATCGCAGCATCGGCGCTCCAAAATGAGTTCGATTCACTGAGCCATTCTGTCACTCGATATCATGCAAACTGACAAACAATGGAACAAATTAACGATGAAATAGCAATAAAGGTTGTGATAAAGGGTCATAGGTCATAGGTCATAGGTCATAGGTCATGAGTTTGCGCGAAAATTTTCCATTAGAATTTTTTTCGTTCCTTTAAAAGGATATATTCAAAATTTTTTAATTAAAGATTTAAAGATTGAAAATCGAAAGAAAGATTTTAAAACGAAATTCCCTAAGGGAAAGTTTAAGTTTTGCGAAAATATGAAAATGAAATTCCCCAACGAATATTTATATATTTCGCATTGTCGAGAATTATCAAAATTCTTTCATTGCAGAAAGGTTTTACGGTTTCTTAATTTGCGAATATTTTAAAATATTAAAATACGTTAATGCATATGATTGCTCATCTGTTTCTGCTAATTATAACGTTGGTAAGTCGGTCGAAATTTATATTTTAAACGCAAATTTTGTTGAAATAAAAGAATCAGTTGAGGTTTTATCGACAAATCGCCATCTTCGTTTCCATAAATTTTTTCATGACGAAAATTCGATATTTTCCAGAAAAACCCCGCAGTCACTTAGCAGTTTAGAATATGGAAAAAGCTATGGAGTTAGCAAAGGATAAAAAAATATAAAAATAGCGTCGTGTAACGTAAGATAGCGAACAGTTGCGAGTCCAAAGCACTAAAGGGAAGTCGCAGAAAGGAATCGGCATTCGGCATTTCTGATTTGGCTAACTCCATTCACTGCTGAGGTGAAGGAAATTCCTGAAAATACCGGCCGCTTTGTAGTGGTACACCCACCAGAGTGGTAGTGGTACACACCTTGCAAGATTAAGGGCCAGGAATCGAGCCCTTCGATCGCAGCTGAAGCAACATAACGACTTCCTGAATCGGTTTTCATCTCATAAAAGGATAAATTCTATCCAAAAAATTATGGCATTAAAGTATTTTTAATCATACAAATCGAAAACTTAAGGAAGTGGTCGTTTCGGCTGATTTTGATGAATTTAGTAAACTTTTGCACAGCGAAATATACATAAAAAAAGAAGAGCTGAGAGTATTTGGCGGAGAAAATATAAGCGATCTGAAGGAAAATTGTTCGATGTCACTTCACAGGAATTCGTGCTCGAATCCTGCTTTATTACCTTTAGAAACTATAACATGGAATACAAGAATATGTTTTCGTTGGAAATGTCTTATCGGTAATTTTTTAAGAACTTTTAGGAAGCCAAAGGAATTTTAAAATACAATCTGGGACTTATTACAAGGCTTATTTGCATTTTTAAGCACAAATTATTGGGCCATTAGCAGGTTTCCTCCGCCTGATTGGGGCTCCTTTCAGGCATTTCCCAAAATCCGATTGGGGCTCCTTTCAGGCATTTCTCTCCATCCGATTAGGACCCCTTTTGGACATTAATCGCGAAATCGCTTTTCCCCGAATATTAGCAGATCGAACGAATATTATTTATTTTACTTGGTGGAAGTTTGTTTTCTTTTATCCAATCAAATAAAAAAATATTAAATTTAGACGAACATGTGATGCGAGTGGAAAATTGCCGGTGTGGTAGCAAACACAACCCAATTTATTTGCTAACGGAAGGGTAACTCTTCGTTTTTTTTCTTTGTCTTCGGTCACCATTATTAATTAATCGGCAATTTAGTAAAAACGATCGCCACTAAAGTCCATAATTTTTTTTGAATTATCTCTCTAACTTTTCTTCGTTATATTAGATAATTTAAAATATTGGCTGATAGATTAAACAAGTGCTTCTTCATCTAATAGCGCCGACCATCTTCGCGACACTTGGTTCCACTCGCTACTGGCTATTATATTTATGCAAATAAAGGACCCTAAAACAATTTAGTGGTACCGTTAGCTGGTTTTTATCTCAATTCAATTGCAATGTTTTCATTAGAGAAAATAATAGATGTTCATCAGAGACAGCATTAATCTCTTCACCGAAATATGAACGTGGAATTCAAACTGCGACATCGCTTGGGTGGTTATCTATCCGGCAAGTCGGCTATTCATACCTTCATTTATCCTGCGATATTCGTTTATGCCATATTTGCAGCAACAATTGCTCCTCAATAACTGTAAGTTCTAAACCATCTAACACCTTCAGGCTTTTGTAAGGCCTATCAAAACGTATTCTTTAAGTCGCTATAAATATTTGCAGCCTCCGATTGCATGTTCGGATTATTCTCAAAGCTATATAAAGAATCGCGAAAATAATTTTTGGAATTCTAGTGAAAAATTTCTATCCGCTTGTCATTCGAATTATGATGAGGAAAAATTTTTATCAAATCAGTTGAATACTTCCTCGTTTTTTTTTGTTCCTTTATTGTTATTTATTTACATAACTCAATATTTTTATTTTTCATAAATTCATAAATTAAAACGAATTATTATGAAAGCAGTAATGCACTTATAACCTAAAGGCCAATGGATAATAAAAAATAATATATTTATAAGTAAAAAATCCATGTTTTCTCGTGAACTGCAATATTTGCGCAATGGTTTCACTTTTTTTTAAACATTTTGCACTCTCTCTTAGTTCTCATAAACCAAATCTTCAGTTGCAAATATTTTTAAGTCGCAGAGCGAATTTTAAGAAAATATAAGAAAATTTTCAACTTTAAGAAAATTTCATTTATTTAAGAGCAAAAATAAGAGATCTTAAAAAAAACAATACCAATTACGTAAAATTATACAAATTATAAAATTACAATATAACGAAATTATTTTAATTGTCGTTTGATGGATGCGAAGGTTTAATAGAAATTCGGCGAACTGGTACATTGTCTGATGGTACTTTCTTGGCGTTAATACTCAGTACTCCTTGGCCGGATAAATTTGATTCAATTGTATTCATTTGCACATCGCTTGGAATTTCATATTTGCGAATAAAACGATGTTGAATAGTACCATTTTCGTTGTTCCTTTCTTCATGTTTCCCTTCAACGATTAATTCGTTTTCACGAATATTCACGAAGAGTTCGCTTGGATGGAATTGCGACGCGTCGATTTCAACGGAAAACTTTTCCTTATCGTTGATTATCTAAAAGGTTTTAATTTAAAGAAATTTAAAGGAATAAATACAATTTTAATTTTAAACAGTTTTGAAAATCTGAAAATTGAAAATTAAAAAACGAAAACTTACTTTACTACTACCGTTACCAATATTACATTATTGCAACAAAGGCCGATTAAACCAATATGGAGTAATCGAGCGATTGAACAAAAGCCTTATCAAACACATGAAATAAATTTCGCTCAACTGGAGCGACACAATAGCGATGACTTGGCGATCACAGATAAGAAGTACACAAATAAATGGAAAAATGAAATCATTATCAGATCTCTCCAAGTTTTTAATGGATTATCGATTATTAGCAATAATTTTATTATAAATTTATGATTTTTTGGTTAAAAAGTGAAAAATGCAAAATAATTTCGTTCCATTTGCATTATTTGTTTTTATTTATTTTTCATTTATTTTATATTATTATTTATTATTCATTTTTTCCATTATTTTTTTCATTTTTAGAAATCAATTTTTCACATCACTTTTTTATTGTCGATTTTATTTTTCTTCTTTAGCTGTCATCTGTCATGCGATGTTGGTTTTAGTTCCATCTCCCTTAAATAATTTCACTAATTGAGGTTCATGCATTAGATTTAGATTTAAGGTTGCAGATATGAGGACAAGCCAGAGTGCTTTACCCTTTTAGCCTATTGAACTTATGACTCTTTATTCACGCTGTTATATCGAAACGAAAATGAATAAAAAAGATTGAAAAAAGCTATTGGGAAGTGAATTAAAGTGTACTCGACCAACAAATGTTCCAGGTAATAAATATAATGAAAAAATTTTAAATTTTTATAAATTAAATTATTTCATTTATTGCAAACTGGAGAAATTCGCCGAATTTTTTGGCCAAAATGAGACTTATTTTATATTTTTCTTATCAATTATTTATCAAATAAAAAGGATATTCTTCCCGTATGTCTTAGTAATCCTTTAATTCTTGTTTGTACGCGATTTATTTAAATCTCCACCACACAATTGATAACAAGAAATATGATATACAAGTCGTATGAAAATTTGAGGAATGAAATTCGTAAGGAAAAAAGCGAAAATTTTATTATTTTAAAGGTAATTTTATTCAAATATAAAACATAGATAAATATAAAGAAAGTACCACGTAAAAATATTTCGAAACAAAATCAACGTAATTTAATAAGATTGTAAGAGATACATAAAAGCAAAATATTAATTTTTGTAATTTTTGTAATTTTGTAATTTTGTAATAAATATTTTGTAATTTTTGCGTTATAAACTTATTGTAAGCCATAAAAAGAAATAATACTTTGTGAGCTCCATTAATTTAATTTAAATCTCTCCTTTGTATCATATCTCATTAAACTAAAACTGACCTAACTAACACTTTTATTATAACCAAAAAAGGCATAAAAATTTATGAACTACGATTTGATAAATAATCAGCTATTTATTACTGGGATAATTACTGGGTTAGATATTTTTTTTAGGCTGCTTAAATATGCTATTGAAAAAAAAGGCCAAGGGGATAATAGAGATATATGTCAATCCCAGTGGTTAGCGACGCAAAACATTCCCTAAACAGCGGAGGCGACGCCGTGTGACATTGTTCTGCCAGTGATATCTGAGTGAAAATGGATGCAGCCATATCAATCAGATTTAAAACTGTGAACCTCCTAATCGAAAAAATGCCCTTAGCATATCCCAAGAACGACATCTCTGCCCAGAAGAGCGCTTAGAGCGAACAGCGAAGAAGGCACAGCACAAAACCACATCGCTTCTTCCATAACAATTTTTAATGGATTATCGGTTGTTTTAACAATTGACAATAAAAAATAAAATTTCACAAGGATTTTCCAGAATTTTTTGTAAAATTTTCGCAAAATTTGCGATATGAGAAAGATGTCAATGAATTTCAATTATTTTATTTTTAGGAAAATTTTTTTAGAAATGCGGAAATCTCAGAAATTTTTATCTCGATGAAGATTTTTTTGTAAAGCCCCACCATTATAGGTTGGGCTCGTTCCACGAGCTCTTCGCATTCGACAAATATGCCAGGAAATTTTTTGGCGATAGATGAGCAGGTGATTCGCCAGCACCATCGCGATTTTTCGGCAGGTTTGCTCCTACAGGGAGTAGAACTTCAGCATTACCGCTCCGAATCAAGCAAAAACCCACTCAACCATTCTACGCCACGAAGACAATTTACCGAAGTCAATATCCTCACCATGGGTTGGGCAGTCTTTCTACGGCTCAATTCTATTCAGTTCATTCTACTGTCGCGATTACTTCTTATCACTACATGATTCTTATAAACTTGAAATTTGAACATCATTGTTGCAATTATTATTTTAATAACTTTATTTTCTATTTATTTTATTCTTGTTGCAGTAATAATTAATATTCGTTAAATGGTTCCCGGATTTGTCGCAATTTCACAATATTTCTTGGCAGATTGCACTACAAAAAATCAAGAACCATTTTTAAAAGACTGGAAGGACTTTTATAGACTTTTTTTCAATTCCAGGCAATCATCAAAACACGAATGGCAGCGATAAATATTCCAGCAATATTGCCTTTGACTAAATAGAATTTCGAAAATTTAATTAAGCCTTTTGAATGTATTCGCAATAATTTACTTAATTTTTTATTAAATTAAAAAGCATAAAAATAAAAAAAATTCTATGAGTGGTGTGGTTCATTATAATCAATTTGAATTTAAAGTTTGCCATTGCCATTTCCATTAATGTTTGTGGTTTTACCAAAAGTTCTCGTGAAATTTCTTCGAAATTTCAAATTCCTTTGCAAATAGCGACTTAAAAATCACTCATCCTTAATTTAAAATCACTAACCTCCTTTTAACTTTCAAATGCGCATTCACTTTGAAAAGTCAAAAATTTACTGAATAGAAGCTTTTCAACCGATTAGAGGCTGATGGCACAAAGAGTTCTTCAAAAATATTTCCTCCCTCATGCATTGCCCTGCATGTTCTGCCACATTTTATACAATATAAAAGAGCAAATCGAATGTTAGTTTCCCATGTCTGATATTTTTGTATTAAAATAGGTGATGTGAAGAAATCGAACAGTCCAGAAAACATGAATAGATTTGAGCTGATCAAGCTTTTTCTTTCAGCGAATCATCGAAATTGCTGCTCAAATTTGAATCCTTTTTTCAGTAGATAAATTGACAATAACCGTCAAATAAACACGGCCATGCACGTGCATGTGAAGAAACATCGCCAATATTAGTGAAATTTTTATCGCTAATTTTGCCTTTATGTAAAAAAAGAAAAAAAAGAGGAAAAAAGTGTGAATATTCCTGTAATTCATTTGTGAGACTTTGAAGAAAAACCCGTGAAAAGCGGGTTCTCTCGCAGGTATTTCTAAACCAATCATGTCGACAAAACCCTCTTAAGCTTCCGCAACCATCAATGCTGTCTGTACCTTCAACACCAGCAAAAGGTGAATAACACAGTCCACATGCATGTGGGGAAAATTCTAATTATTATTCCAGGATTATTTTATTGAGAGGTGTTCCACAAATTTCTCTCGTAAAATTCTCGCTTCTCCCTAAAATTGTCCAACTAAAAGCCTGGAAAATTGTGAGAAAAAATTGCAAAATATAAATAATGGAGTTGAAAAAGCTACGAAAGTTAAAAGAATACAATTAAATACGTTGGAAATGTTAAAAATAAAAAAAAATCATAAAGCAAAGCTGTTAGAAATCTTAGAAAAAGTCAATAGACAAAATAACATTAGGCCGAAAATATTAGTGGCAAAAGAGATTGACCGTTAGGAAGGTTAGTGCAAGAAAGCGTAGAAACTCATTTTACAAGTACCTAACCTATAGTGCATTCGCATGGTGCAGCTTATCAAATGAACTATCGAAGCATTGTCAAACAAATGTCGCTTAAATGGAACGATACGGACCGAGAAGGTTTCGGCCCTTATCCTCAACGAGAAATGAATTTGCTATCAGGAGACGCAATTTAATCGCTATCCCTGGGATCCCTGTGAATCCCTGGGAAAAATTTCCAATCTGTGGGGTAATTAGAAAAGCTGGGCGGCCAACCACTTCTTTACTTATTCTGATGAACAGTTCGAAGGAAATATTCGCTAAATAATTTTGATTTTTTTCTTTTCAGTTTATTGGCAATTTTTAAGGATTTTATAATAAAATTATAAAAGTGCAAAATTAATTTTTATTAGTTCATTAAAAATTATCCTAAAAACAAGTAAAAAATTAAAATATTGTAATTTTGCCAAGAAAATTTTCAAAGCATTAAATTTCACCAATTAATGCACTTTTTTGCATTAAATAATTAAATTAAATTTTTCGCTGACAATTTAAAGTAAATCTATTAGGGAGCAAAGTTTCAAATTTGTTCCTTCGTTTTTCGGAAGGAATAAATTTTATATTAAAAAACCTGAATGTGGGAAATATGCACTTACATTCCCGAATGAATGCCTCCCAAACACTGTCTCATTTTATTTATACCTGAAATCAGAAATGAGTTAATCAAATTAATTGCTTACTACTTTGTTGAATTCTTTCCTACTGCATTTTTGATTGGACCGTAATTCGCCAAGTATCGTCGAAGCTCTGCATACTCCATTTTTTGATATGAATTTTTCATCTTTTCCAAATCATTTATATTAAATTAATTAAATTAAATTAATGTTTATTTTCCTAAATTATTGTTTTCTCACATTTCATTCTTTAATATTTTTTTAATATTTTTAATATTTTTTTTATATTTCTTGAGCCTTCAACAAATTAATGTTTTCAAGGAAAATTTGTTTCAGTTATATTTAGAAATTTCTTCATTTCTTAGTATTTAAATATAAAAGATATTTCTTCCTGAAAAATTCAAATTAATTAAAAATAAATCAAAGTATGCAAATTTATCAATTCATATAATATTGTCCACCCTACCGTACAACCAAATAAATGTGATAAATCTTATTAAATACAATACAACTAACATAAAGAATTATGGAGAACCGAGAAACAATATCAACAAAGCATCCTTAATACGAGAAGCAAACGTGGACAATGGGTGTTGCGTTGCGAAAACTTTTTCTTTTATAAGGAATTCGAAATAAGGCAAATCCAAATAAATGCATAAAAATGAGACAAAAACACGAGGAAAAAAAAAAGCCAACAATTAAGAATCGCATTTCAAAAAAATCTTGAAGAAATTCTTTCAGCCATGAAAAAATTGTTTAGGGAAAATTTCGAGGAAAAAAATGGTATTTCTTAATTCTGAAACCAAATTTCTGAAAGATTAGAATATTTGATGTTATTTAAAATATATTAATGAGACCCGTGATGCTAAAAAATGAGAAACGTATGAAATAAACATCATAAATTATTGAAACATCATTATCAAACAATTTAGTGACAAATTTAGTGATTTAATGATAATTTAAGAAGCGCTGATAAGGTGATAATAATTATAATAAAGGCATGAAAAAAATATAAATTATACGATGTAAAACTTTAATGCTAACTAATATATCACAGATGCTTATATACATTTATACAAATAAATAAACTATAGAAAAAGTTTTGAATTTATGAATTTTCCTGGAGTAGATTTGCTCGAAATCAATTTCAAATTTGTGATCCCTAAAAGAAGATTCTAGGAAGGTGAAGAAGTTTATGAATTTTTGAAGTTTCTCATTTCTTCGCTTCATAAATAAATTATTGCAGTATCATTTATCTCGCATATCTATGATGGTGATATTGCTAGCACGACGACCTTGTGGTGTACCAGGACTATGAATCCCCATTTCGTGATACTTTATATAGTCGCTAACTTTTCCCCATGGTATATTTGAAGGTGTTAGTGATGTTTTCCATGCCAAATGCTCTTTTCCTTTTTTTCCTTGTAGGGATATACGTACAGCCTTTGAATTTTCCTGCAATTATTGTGCTTTAACAGGAAATTAGAAATAAAAAATTAGAAATATGCAGATGATTAGGAAAACAGTTGTTAGATCTTAATTAGTGCATTGGACGAACATCGCTACGAGACTGGTTTGCGGAGCCGCTTGAAGGACCGGCTTCATCACTTCTCCTTAAAAGCAATGCACTAGCTTCAGCTTTCAGTTCTTCTTCAACGATTGAAAATGTCACTCTATTTGGTGGCCTATAATTTTATGAAATTTTCAAAAATATATAATAAAGATATTGTGAATTTTTATTAATAGAACTGGTAAAATTGGAAATTGAAGAATAACTTTCAAAATTTTCATTTATCCAATTTTTCCAACAGAAATATAAGTTTTACTACCATTATTAATATATAAAAGTAGATAAATGCTTCCAGTAGAAGAATCATGAAAATTATTGAATAAATTTTATAAAGACATGTTCATTACATGTTCGAGGTGCGCCTATCAAAACTACTTTTGAAGGATTTTCGCTTTCGAATCGGTGGATCGATGATATAACCTCGTCTCTCACTTGGTCGATCACATATAAGTCTGTTACTGAAAACTTGTGGAAACAATAGATAAGCGAACGAATATTTAAAGATATTGTGAATGTGCCTAAATAAGATTTATTAGATTCCAAAACGTACTTATCATGTTTCCATTTCTTAGAATTATTAAAACTATTCAGTGGTTTTGCTACGCAAATATGCAAACTATCGGTTCGATTTGAACGCATTTGGTCGAGACGACGAGCAATTTTCAAATATGAATCGTCCGTTTGAATGATTAAATCCTAAAATTCAAAACCAATTTAATTAATTGCTTCCAAAATTAAAAAATTTATCCATATAATAGTTTAATAGTTTGCTATTTACGCTAATCCACTGGTAATATCCTCTTGAATCGCATGTAACTAACTGTTCAAATTGAACGAATATTTCAAGTAGTCCATTAAGGATGGAAGTTTATGTGAATAGCCAGCGTCATTCGAATTTTTCAACAAGTTTATCCCAACGAGGAAGAGAACCGACGCAATGCCACTTCTTGGCATTTTCCACCGAATATCTCTTTACGGTACTACTCTATATCTCTACCTCTATATCTCGATAAGACCTCCCAAAGCCGCACTAATATTCCGTCACATATTACTACCATACCTTTTCCAGTAAGGTTTTTCTCCACTGGCTTGTCGAACCAGACTAATTTTACCGGGAAATCATTTGGCAGCAGAAATTTTGACCCACCTATCAAATTTTTAAAAGGAAGAGAACCCTTTTTGGGAAGTTAAGAATCGGTACTCCGAAAAGATAGCAATACACTGAGCCATTTTATCTCTTAATTTTCGCTATATTAGTTCGTTTAACATCATAATTTATTGATGAAAACTAATTATAACTCTCTATGCTTCAAAAAGCTTTTTAAACGCCTTTGGACCACTTATTTAGAAACCAAAAGAAAAAAAACATTTTCTTAAACTTTCTACGATAATCTCGCTGTGGGTCACAACGGTTTTTGAGGAAATATCCGAAAGTGTGTCAGTGTATCTGAGGCTAACTCTGGTAGCGATTATATAATCAATTATATAATCAAGAGGCTTTAAACCTTTCGAACGATTGGCGCAAGGCTCAATTCGCTGCCATGCAACGACATGGTTGATACGGAAGATTTCAGTACTCCTTGATCGTTTCGAGCGTCGAAAAGGAAATCACTCAATTCCAGCATCGTTTGAGTTTGAACATCACAAAAAACTTTGGCATCCAAACATGGCGACCTGAAGCAATATTAGGGCAAAATATTGCCTGTGATTTAATCTCTTATGCTAAAAAGAAATTTAAAAAAAAATTAGGAAAATAGTTGAAGGCGAAGTGTACCGAAGGAATATTAGAGTTTTAGGCTCTTCTATGCTCTTCGCACCATTGCTCGTTAGGCTGACTATATCGGCAGAGAGAGTTTTTTTGTTGGCCATGCTCTTAGAATTTCGAATGAAAAATGGCCTTATAAATTGAAGAATGGGAAAAATATAAAAATTAACTGATCCAAAGAGCTTTTTCAAAATTCAATCAATCAAGAATCAATAGAAATTAAGTTGAAAAATTTATGTGTTTTTCTCCAGCGAAATGATAAGATAAGTAATGGCAAGTTTTCCTTATCGTAAATAAGCTTGAAATACCGAAGTATGACCTTTGAGTTACCTGTGGTACTCTGCCACTCAAAGATCGATAGTTAAGATAGTTTGGGAAGTTAAGAATTGCTAAGAATACTGTGTAGTATGAGCATGACTGCAAAATTATAGAAAGATCCAGAAAACTTATGAAAGAGCTGACAATAAATAAAAATTAAGCAGCAAAAATTAATACATTTTTTTCTCTGATGAACTGGGCGACGATTCTAATTTCTTGAAAGATGTCTGTGAAGCCTGTAAATAAAAAATTATTAAATGGAACCATCAGAGGAAAATTCTGCATAATCTTTGAATCTATATTCGTTTACATATCCTTTTTCTTTTACATATCCTTTTTTCGGACACTCGGAATTATTCGCGAAATCCTACTATTTTATGAACACCAACGCTTACCACATGCCTCAGCAGTTCATAATAATTGAACTGAGTCTGAACCGCTCGGCTACATTCAGGCATCTGTAGCTGTGACATCCAAGGATCTGTTTCAATTGAAGAGCTCATCAAAATACAGCCTTCTGTTCCCGTTCCTCGTTCTACCATATCGTTTTCTAATATATCCGTGCATATCGATATATCCTTAACCAATTTTTAATTCATTTTCGTGTCACCAAGACACATTGTATAAATTGTTAAAGATAAATAAAAAGAAGTGCCAATAACCCTACCTTACAACAAAAATAAACATTAGATATGTATAGCCGCTTGCGTCGAGTTGTATCGAACTTTTAGTTCCCTCTCAAAAATTTTAAGGACGTCATATGAGGGTTCTTTTTCGGGTTGTACCATTCGATATGAGAAAGTAAAACTAAGAATTTTTGAAAATATATTGCTACTTTATGTTACAGTACTATTGAAATGGTTTTAAACTATAATCTTACGAAAGTCTTAAGGGAGAGCATCCGAGGCCCTTAAACCATATATATTTTTTTAAAGAGTCCTAATCATCACTGGTTAAACTCGCTCCATTGGCTTATCACACTGGATAACGATAGAAGTGCAGATGAGTCATCCACTCGAATTTTTGGACAGGTTCATTCCTGCGGGGAATAGAGCCTCAACATCAAATTGCTCCGAATTGAGCAGTAACTCACTGAACCCTCCTATCTCTTAGACCATATTTAGGGAATCACTACTTTAACATCTGCATTACGAAAAACTAACAACGATAAGTGGCGTTATATCGTATTGCGTATATTTCGTAACTTGTTCACTATTTTCATTATCCTGAATTTCTCGTTGAATTAATGCTAAAGCAGGACGCTGGAACAGTTCAGCTGATGCACAAATGTCGCTATCCACTATTTCTGGTTGTTGTTTAATACATTCGAGCGCAAATGCTTCAAGTGAAACGTCCACAGATTGATCCTTTACTAATGGTTTATAACCAGCCTTAATGAAAATTTTAAAACACTTTTATTAAATAGTATGGAAAAATAAAGTGTTATATATATAACTTACTAAAATTTTGACTGACGAAAAAAGCAGTATATAGTCGGGATAGATGACTGACGCTCAAACTGCAAATATTCAGATCCTATTTTCCCCGATGGTACCTGCATTTCTAACTCCTTGGCAATAATTTCTCATCGTACTAATACTCAGTGGAGGAATCCTAACCGGAAATAGTATGCTGACAACCACTAGCAATTTTATATTTATTAGCTGAATGACAAGATAAAATATTTCATTATTTCGAAGATTATTTTCTAAATTTTGATTTATCACTATTCATTTATAATCATTATTATTCGTCTGAAAATTGATATGAGTTCTCACCTGGTTTTGTAATTCTTGCAACTTAAGCATTATTTCTTCCACTTGGAACTGAGCGATATCTGTTTGAACCCCACAACCATTCATGGAAAAGTTATCAGTTTGTATTCCACAGTTATCCATGGAAATGTGAAATTGTTGGCTTCGGTCTATTAAAGCCCGATCCAATTCATATTGATCGAAGCTAAAGTAGCTTACTTACATAAAAGATAGATGTTGAAGGATTTCAGATTATTGCGAAGAGTTTTAATATATGACTGCCATAAACTCACGAGAACTAAGCAACATTTCAATTTCTATTCAACGAGAGATCACTTTACTTGGTCAGATCCATAGGTATAGACGTGACTTCAGAAATAGAATCAGCATGGTCGTCAGCAAGTTGGAAGGGTTGTGTTCTGTATTCAGCGAGCATTTCGGGTGTTCGCTTCAAAAGTGTGATGCCTCTAAATTTTGCTTCTCATAAAACTATGTCTTTAATAATAAAATTTTAGATAACCCATAAATGAAATGACCTATTTTTTCTAAATAAAATTAAAAATCGGTAAAATAAAATAAATTGGAAAACTTGAGTTCGAGTTTGAATTGCTGCAATAAAAATTTCCTTTCGTACTTAAGTTTAACGAAAGAAACACAGAGTTATAAAAAGCGAAATATATCTACCAAAGGTTTTTTAAATTTATTACTCATTAAGTACTACAGGCGAAGTTTGGGCTGAAGTTTGAAGATTCTCGTCAACGAGTTCAATCGCGGTACAATAACCGTTCGTATCGCTGTTATCCTTAAATAATCCTCTAAAATAAAATGATTTCTGAAGTTTGATAAAACTCGGCAATTAATAAAAGATAAACGATTTAATCAAAATTTTTTATAGACTGAAAAGAATTTTAAAAAATTAACCAAATCATCGTCAACTTGTGCTTCCATAGATTTCTTTGAAGATGTTGGAACTTCCGTTTGAATATTTTTGTTGTTCGTATTTCTAACAGATTTTTCCAAATTTTCAACCTATGAATATGAAAATTTTATACAAAAATACGGAATCGAAATGATAATTTTTGTCAATGGCTGTGTCAATAACAATGATACGATATATTTACTTGTCGATTAAATTGTGCAGCTTGATTTTCGGAAATAAGATGTGGAACCATATTTCTCAACAACCACGGCTGTTTTTTCATCAGTTTTTGTAATATAGCTTTCCGTTCGATGGGATCGCCACATTCCAAGGCCCTTTGATATTCCTTCTAAAAAAAAAAGACGAATTTTATTATGGCCCATGATATGGAATAATGTAAACCATTCGACTACTTGGATCGATTAAAATAAAATAAAATTATATCAGTCTGAATCCCACAATCATTCATGGAAGAGTTACCGGTTCGTATTCCGTTATCCGTGAAAATATGAAATTGTAGAAAGGAGAAGATTTGCTGGTTGGCAGTAAAAAGTTTATTCTTATTTATTTCTTAACAAAATTTCTCGAATCATAAGTGAGATTATTAAAATTTCTGGCTTTAAATAGTTTCAGTTGAACTTATTCTTTGTTGCTTGGCTGTTAAGCTTATCCTCCTAACTTTCTGAGTTTGGCTGAATAACAATACCTGCATGCGAATCATTAAATTGTATAACCATTCTTCAATTTTGATCTGTATAACGCTTAATAACATCGACACAATTGATAAACCAATAATGACCAGCCAAAACATTAAAATTAACATATGTGGATGATCAGGTACAACATCACCTAAATGCAATGATTATAGAAAGATGGACTTTGTTGCGCAAAAAAAATTGATTATAGCGAATTATTGGATGATCGAGGCCAAATGATCTTTAGGATTTGATCGTAATGGTTCCTCCGAATGCTGATAACACTGATGTCTTCCTTCACATTTATGATTTGTCTCGTTTTATCAGTGGTTATCTTCATTATTTCGAAGTTCGAGCAGTAATTGTTAATTTAAAGCGAAGATGTACTACAAACAAAATGAAGCTTTAATACATGGAAATATTTAACTTCAAAAAATCTTACCAAGGCCTATCGTAGACAAGGATATAAAGAAAAAATACAACGATGTAAAATAAGACCACTGCGTTTCCCAAATGCAAAATAACCCGGCACAAAGGCAAATCCATGCAATGCATATAAGAAATGCTAACCACACAGGAATTGTCCTAAAAATTTATTATATAGTAACTTTCATTCCCCATCAAAACACAACGTAATATCACTTTATTTTTGAAGTGTTAACACTATTTTTGATATCTATGGTTTTCAATTTGTTCAGCTGTGGTAGAACGACGCTATGAGGTTTTCTTTCGTTCCTGCCATGAATTCAAGAATCATAAAGTCATCATTCCTTGCATCATGAAAGGACCATTAAAAAAATTCAAAAATTTATCTATCGCTGACGCATTATAACCCTATCTCAGTGGCTCTTTGTAGAAATCATTCTCTCCTAATGCTCAATGCTCCTAGCCAAGCCAGAAGTGTGCAAGCCATCATAAAAAGAAAAAGTTTGAGAAAAAACCGCATTTTTCTTGAAGCAAATAAATTATCTATATTTATTAATAAGTGGTGGCTTCTTTTTTCTGCGCAGTGGAGAACGTAAATTTCTTCAAATAGCAAATCATTCTGCCAATAATTGTCATTTTAATGAAAAGTTTTTATGATGAGTGATCAACTGTCTTAACTATTTCATTCCAATCCTCTCATTTTACGCATTTCAGGATGGAAGCATTAACACTTTAAAACAAATTTCAAAGATATATGTTGATTGTCGTATGTATTAATCACATTATATTTATAATAACGTTGTAAAGTGAATTTTGGATTAAACTAACCTGCTTTCAATTATTTCATCTTCATCCTTATTTTCGTCTTTATTATTTGTATTCGCACTATCCAACTGATAATGGTTATATTCGTCATTACGAAGAGGAAGCGTACCTTCTTCAAGATCGATTTGATTCCTGAACATTTTATTCCAGAACATTTTTTACGAATTTTCCATATATATATATATATATATGAGTGCAAAAAATTCGCAGAATTACCAAGAAGATTTATTGGTTGACTGGTTTAAAACTTCAAACCTGAGCAATTTATGTGGGCTCCTCCGATCTCTTGAAAAATACTCGACACCTATTTTCCCATTCTTATATTTGTTCCTCGTATAAAATTTTATAAATTCTCGATACCTTGAAATGAAATTTTTGTAAAAAGCTTATTTTTTTTCAACATTATTAGAAATGTACCGCTGACCGTTGATAACAAATGCTGTGGTGTAAATAAAAGTTAATATGGAAATTTAAGCAAATTGACCAATCTATTTAATTAGGCAAATCGCCAAAAGAAAAGGAAGGAATAAAACAAAAATAACAAAATAAAAATGAACCTTAGCCAAAGATGGCTGGCCAAGCGAGTTAAAGTTTTACCAAATTGATTCAAAATCGCTAAAACAAGTGGAATTCCAATCATAGCATAGATGATACTCAATAATTGACCGCCAGTTGTTCTTGGTGCTATATTACCATAACCTGAAATTCACAGTTATGCGAGTAAACCTAAAAGGCTATTCTCTGATTAACAAAAACTTTAAAGAGCCAACTCTATCTTATTAAAAAGAAAGTAAAAACGATTAAGAAAACTTTTTATTCGCAAAAATAATTTAAATTTAAAAAACTTTATAATTTCAGTTGAGATGCAGGAAAGGAACGAATGTAAAAAACTGTAAATATCGAAGTACGAAAGGAAATATTTAGGGAGAAATGTGATTTATTTAGGAAATATTTTGATTTCTTCTAGTAACGATAAGATAAGATATAAAAAAAATAATTAAATACGCCAAGAAAATCTCACCTATGGTAGTAAAAATTGTTCCGACATAGTATAATGCACCCCACATATCCCACTTTAGATTACTAGAAGATTTCATTCGCCCTAATTGCCTTTCATACCAAACCAAAATATCTCTGAAAATCAATGTAAGTAATTCGTATCACTATTGAAAATTTTGTAAAGGCATTATAAAATAAAGGCATTATAGAAATTAGCAAAATGATTGCAATGGCTTTTCGAAGCAGTTCTTTAACAATTATAAAGCTTATATAGAATTTAAATCTATTTCATGATTTTGGCACAAAAAATCTCAGTAAAAAATGAAAAAAAATTCATAAAAAATAACCGGGAATTATATAACTTCGTTCGTTCGCTACTAATTCCATCAGTCATAATACTTTTCAAGCGATAAAATGTTTCATTCCTCAGGCTTTCTAAGACCAATGTTTCTCTCCTTAAATTTCATTAACCCGAATAAATATCTTAAGTTGAGATTTAGCGGATTTAGTTCTTCCTAAAATATTCTAAATGCTTTTAGCTGTTCGAATTTATGGGACTAAGAAATACAAGTATTTGTAAATTGTTAATTATGGTAAAGTGGTTAGCGTTCATGATTCTTGCTTATAGTTGCTTCACTGGCCGTTAATATGGTGAGAAATTCTTTATCAAGGAGTCAGTTGGCGATAAAAGTACAATTGGTCGCCAAGCACCACCAGGCTCTTTTAATAATAGGTTTGCTGTCGGAATCAGAGGTCTGAACTCTCGCCTCTGATAATAATAATCTGAACCATTATCAACTCGGCTACCTCACCTATTCTCGGCTAACTCGGATCTTTGGTGAACAAAATTGTTTAACTCAGGCGGTTTTTTATTCTAATTGAATTGAAAATTTGATTAAAATAAAAATGATTCGTATGATACGAAATTAAATTACTAACTGATTTTCAGCGCTTTCAAGAAAAATGATTTCATCCAACTTTATTGGTTTTAAATAATTATTATTAAAAAACTTTTGTGCAATTTTTCTGCTTCATTATGCAATAAAACTTTCGGATAAAAAATCAAAAAAATTGTTCCTCGAATGAAACAATGGTTTATTGAGATTTTTACGTTTAAAATACTCGTAAATTTCTCTGCTTTCAGCTTTTTTTTCGTATAAAATTAGCAATTTATTATATAATTTGTTTTTTTGCCAACAATTGGCTAATTAAATATTTTATCATGGAAAAACCAAAGAGTGAACGTTTGAGGATAATTCACCTCGTCTATAAGACGGATGTCTCTCTTTTAAGTGCTAAATATTAAAAAATTATTTTCTCCTTCGACTAAAAAACAACTGAATAGTCGTAGTAGATTCCAAGTCTAAGCAAAGGAGATACCTGAATAATTCTTGTTCATAATCATATTCAATCCAGTAAAACACTGTTGCACCTAATAACGAATAAAGGACCAATAAAATAAAAGGAGCAATGCTTCGTAGATTGTAGAAATCATAATAATACTTCACCTATAAACATATTTATAATATTAGTAAATTTGAGGTGAAAAAAATAATTTAGTCTAATTAGACTAATTCTGTGTGAGATTTAAAGCAAAGAGTCATTTGACGTTGGATCGCCAGCACGATGTGCTCTTTTTTATTGCAGTCAGAACCGAACCAATGATTTTCGATGCGATAATCAACCACTCAGCTATCCTGTCTTCAGAATAAAAAATAAGCGAAAATGGGTTAAAAGTGAGGGGAAATAAATAAATAACGATCTTAGCTTTTAATATGAAATTTGATATGGAATTTCAACAGTGAACGAACCCGTCCAAGGAAATCATTTGGAATCTCTTTTGTTATTGGTTCATCGAAATGCAAAATATTATCAGTTTGATTTCCTATTCGCTGCAGCATCTGAAATATTTGAGATAATGATTGTCAAAATAAATTTGAAAGACTTTTAAGGTACATAGAAAAAATCTGTCATTTCATCAACATTTCATCGTTTAAAAACTATATTTTCGTGGACGTAATAATTAAACCCAGACCCAGAATTTGTGAAAGAGCCAGTTGTATTAATAAAAATATAACTGCAATAATAACGGCATAGCTTTAAAGGGAGACATGGCGATGATAGCTGAAAGGTGTTTTGACTGAAGCCAAGTATCGTGGATGAAACCTATGTAGTGTTTGCGAGAAGTAGTACTTCCATTCCAGTTGAGCATTTTATGAAGAAAGTCAGCCATAGCAGAAATAGTGAGCAATTTTGTGAAAGTGGAGAACTTCAGAGATTGATTCAGTAACAAATTCATAAAAACTCAGCATAAAACAAACCGTAGTTATTGCAAATCGCTTCAAATACTTTTTAATTGCAAATTTCAAGTCGTAAAATTAAGTTCATGATTTTATAAATCGGCCAAAAATTTGCGCAAAAAACGATTGAATGCATAAATGATCCCCGCCATACATGGATGAACTTAGAGAATGGAAAATAGAATGCATTTGAGGTATGAAATCGAATCGGCCTGGAGAAGCCTTATTTTAATAGCTAATTCAGCGAAGCGGAGTAAAAATAATGCACAATGTTAGAAGGTGATAAAATACGATTTGCCTAGAATTTTCTGATTCGATCAACCGTTTAGTTACTCATTGATATCATAAGAAATTGAGGATCTCTTATAATTTAGAGCCGATCAAATTTTACCATAGAAAATCCAAAAATCATTGTTTAGCGATCAAAATCCAAAGAATTCAACGATTTTACATTATTTTAACTCTTTTATTTTGGAAGACCATCGATTTTAGACGGCAGATTTCCTGCCTGCTTGGCTCCATCGCAATAAGGGAGTAGAGTTAGAGGGTTACTTGAGGCGATGGATCTCAAGCACCACCCAGACTTCAAGAGATTTACCCTGGTTAATAGAGAGGAGCCGAGACCTATGAGTTTGCCTTCAGTCGAAGCGACCACTCAGTCCTCTCATTCTTCAATATGGGCAAAAAGAAAGCTTAACACTGCCTATCAAACAGTTCGTTATTATTTATCATGAAACTTTTTTCTTCATCTTATTGTAATAAGGAAAAAATCGTGCAAATATAAATAAATAAATAAAAATAATACCCATAGAAAAAGAATATAGGCAGCGAATTTTTATCATATTTTTTGAATGTCAAAAAATAAATTTTTTCTTAAATTTTTTAAGAAATTTGTCTTTCTTTTCGAGTTTAAAAAGTAATTTGTTTCTGCTTTTTTTGCTAAATTTTTATCTGAAAAAATTTTTTTACTTCGACTATATTGTCGTCGATAATCGTTGATGCAATTGATAGGCGACCTTTTATAGACGAATCGAACGATCTTCGCCTGGAAAAACGATTCCTTCAATAATCCAAGGATAATAAACATAAAAACGATGCACAAATCACAATAAAATAAAAAAACTACAAATATTTTTGGGAGATTTGCAATTGGCATAAATTTCCGAATTTTGTTTTGTTTTGTTTCCTGCTCTTCGATAATAATAAATAAGTAGAACAAGTGGTCACTTGAGGATAGAAAAGCAGCGAATCACTAGTACCACACGGGTATTTTTTGATGGTAGATTTTGGTGGCAGCAGAAATCGACGCCTTTGCTCACAAGCAGAGTTCGGCTACTTTTCTTAACTATTTGAGTATTTCTATTGGAAATTATTTCTTTAAATATAAATCTTAAATTTAATAGAAAAATTTAGTAAAAATATAAGAAAAATAATCGATTTGCTAATCTCAGGAAAGAAGATAAATGAGAAAAAGAAAATTAAGTCGAGTAATTAATTGAAGTAAGAGTTTTTCTATGATTCAATTAATTCACAAATATGATAAAAGATCATTTTAACTAATAAATTTTTGTAAAAATCGCTGCTTCGGAAGATTCAAAGATTCATTCAATTCCTTCCTTCAGCCACTCCAATCATTTCTCTTTTCTTTCTTTCTTTAAGCTTAGGGCAAAAATTACAATGGAAGTGAAGCGGCGATGTCAGATAGCATTTGTAGCATTAGTAAAAAACTATTTTGATTTCAGCTACTGGCGATATTCGTTTTTGCTTCTTTCTTTTATATTTCTTCGAACATAAAATCCATTTAAATCCATCAACAATCTTTTCGCAGTTTTATGATCAGTTTTTCACTTCGTTCAGGAAAAACCAAGCAATTAATTCATCAATTATTGCTTCGCTAACATATTTTATAGTTTTTTAAAGGAAAGAATAACAATAATCATTTAAATTCACGGCGATATGATATGATAAGGGAAAGAGATTTGAAAACTGATGAGAAATTTATTAGATGTTTCTGTTTTATTAAAATAACAAATATGTTGTTTGAATAAAAGCGTCATGTGTTTTCTTTATTAGTTATGACAGCAAAATTTTCTTTGTTAATTTTTTATTTTTACCAGATTTAGCTGTTTCTTCTTATAAGCTACAGCACTTGCCTTCATTGCTAATTAGGCTCACACCGCTAGCCATAGCCATAAGGAAAAGTTTTCAGGAAAAATTTTCTAAGCTTAGCTATGTAAGCAAATTATGAGTTTGTAACCAAGTCAGCCAAGTTTTTAATGTAATGTAGCTTTGAAAAAGACCAATTGATGCGGAAAAAACAATACTCGCGAAGTATTAAGTTCATTACAACTGTGCAGAAAGTAATTTCAAATAAAGCAGATTTTTTTCAAATTTGATTTCATATTTTAGCAAAAAAAAAGATTTATGATTCCAAACGTTTCCGAAACAGAAAAATATCCTCGGAAATTCTTTTTTACTCCGTTAAATTTTACATTTCTTTGAATCTTTTTTTCCACAAAAACTTCTCGAACTTCCGATGAAAATCGCTATTAGTGGCGAGCGTAATTAGAATTTCAGCAAAACAGCTAAATCTAAATGATTATTTAAAAAGATTTAAACGATGAAATTAGAATAAAATTCTTCGCAAATTGTAAAATCTGCAAAGGAAAGAATCCGTAAAACATACGTAACGTTTTCATAACGACTCAACTGCCCATCCTCGGTGTATCCGTCAGCTAAGATTGTCGTCGATGTTGGCGAAATTGCACCTTTCATTTTTATTGAATTTTCGCCGCCACGATTAATAAATATGGCCATAATAGAGTCGCTGAATTATGGCGAAAATTTAGAACAATTTAACTGCGATAATCACATATTCAACGGTTAAAAATCCATTTTCATAGAATATTAAAACGATTTTTGTCAAAAATTGACAAAATAGTGGCAAATTTAATAAATAACAAATTTAGGATGATGAACGAAGAATTAATTATTTTTTCACTATAAAAAAATAGTTTACATTAATTTTTTGAGAAAAAAAGTGAGAAGATTGAATGGGCAAAAAAATTTGAATGAAAGGGTAAATTATAAATTAATTTGAAGAATTTGGTGGAAAAAAAGTGGTATTTGACGAATATTGTAAGAAAAATAAATAACAACGATGCTTGAGAAAGTAAAGTAAAAATTTTTCGCAAAGGTAGTAACTCGAATATTACATTTATTGAAATTGAGCAATTGCTGGAAGAAGACACGAATAACTGAAGCGAGAAGAGATCGACCAGAAATAATATAAAACGAACTGAGGCTAATTCGTTGATTGGACGTGTATCATTGATTCATTTACACTCGGCAAATTTATTCCTTTCGATTTCGATGGATTTTCTCCGATCAACGAAACATTTTATCCAAATTAGCGAATGGCGATCCAGTTTCGCTGTTTTGACCGAAAAACTGAACCGCGAAATTTCTCGCTAGTAAATTCCTAAATTTCTAATTGCCTCTTATAGTAAATATTTAAGCGTCGAAAAAGGATAAAATTTTAACACTTAAAATTATTTCTGCACTCATTTTAACCAACAAATTACTGGCATTTTTTTCGAAAGAAATGATTGTAATTTCAGCAATAATACAGCACTTTCTGTAAAATTAATGGTTTTTATATAAATAAATAAATAAATCAAAAATTCTAAATCCCATTTATATTCTTTCTTAGCTTTGTGAATTTTAACAAAACCGAAACTAAGCCATGAAAAGAATTCACCACAAAATAAGGATTAGACAAATTTTGCCATGGACTGACTTGACAGAGAGCGAGAAAATGACTGCCAGCTACCATACCACTTTACAGAGCACCCACTATTTCTGATTGGGTTCGTCCCACCGACTTGTCGAATTAGATAAATTTTGCCAGATAGTGACTTGGCGAGAAGAATTATTCCTGCCGCGCACACCTGCTTTTGTTGCTTTTATAATATCGCAGCTCGGAAATAACGCATTAACGACACATTCAGCCATTCGGTCTCTTATTATTTTATTTTATTGGTTTGTAAAAATTGTTGCATCATTAGTGGAACCAATCCTTCAATTAAATTATGCTTTCTTTTTTTTCTACTATTGCGGCGATTTTTGTCATAAAGATTTCACCTTTGTGGATAAGCTGATTCGACGCAATTCGAGCACTTCTCGAAGACGCATCCATTCAGTCGAACTCGAATTTCGCCAATACCACATTTGTGACTCTAATTTGCGAGTGCAAAGCAATGTTGTAATAATTTCTACTCGAATAAAATTTAATGAATTTGGTTAATTATTATTATAATAAAATAAGAAAAAAAATTGAAAAATTGCAAAAATCAATTTATAATTTATTTTTTTGCGAAATCCAACCAAACAAAAATAACATTGGTAATCAGCTATTATTTATTTATTTATTGGCATAAATAATGAATTATGAAAAGGAAACAAATTTTAGACCACAAACAAATGAGGGCACAACGAATGAAACAGTTGGATAATGCACCTGTTTCAGTGACGACGTTAAATAATTGGCAATGTGATAATTGCTTTCGCAAAATGAAATTTGATAGTTTTTTGAATAGATTTATGATTTCTACTCGGCTTTTTTCTTTTAAAAAACCAATTCTGTAAGTGAATAAAAGAAATGAATGTTGCAATACTTTCCAAGATGCGCTTATCACCATTTTCCTTTAATTCATTGATGTGGTAAGATCGCCAAATGGATGGCAATATCACCCACAATATTCATATTTATCAATGCACATGAAACGAACACATGATGATATGAAAAGCACCTTGGTTGAAGCAACCGGCACTCGACCTTCTGCCACGTGCTGGAATATTCAGAGAAATCATCCAAACGAAAAAAATTTAATTCAATACCTTTTAAAGAAATAATGTTACCGCTTTTTGTTTAAAAATTGGCTAAAACCGATAATGTTGAATGTTTGCGTCGACCTTCGAGCCACCGTATTTTCTGTTTAAAAAATTACATCATATAATCAACTCGTCGAGCACCAATGGCTATATTCTTTGTCATTGTCAAGAGTAATCCGTCACTGAAAAATCCGGCTGATGCTGATGAATTGCGTACTTCTATCGCTCGTTAAGTGATTCCTTATTTCTAGTCGTACAAATAATCGGCGCAGCTAGTCGAACCAAAAAATGTGAGTACCAACCCTTCACTTATTTATACAACCAACTCGACATTTCGATATCGAAAAAAAATTCCTTAAATATCCACTATGTACTTCAATAATGAACTTCTTTTATTTAATAATTCCTCGATTCTTAAAATTATTCTTATAATCCGATTATACAATATTTAGCAAACAAAAATTTTCAAATAAAAACTTCAAACAGCTGTTGTTTATTAACTAAATCGACTAATGAAATGTTTGCGAAAGTAAGGAAAATTTTTCGGTGATTTAAATAAATACTTATCGCTATCACTCCTAACAATTATAAACAAATAATCATACTAATTGGCAATAAATTATGAATGTAAAGGCGATGAGACAAATCGACTGAACAGGACGAACCTTCGCATCTAAACGCTGATAAAATGCCCGTTTTCATAAATTAAGAAAAAAGAACAAATGAATTTAAAATAAATAAATATCATCAACGTGCAGATATTGAATATCTTGTATCCACGTTCATAATAAATAACCGAGCAAAAGCGGGTTTTCACCATAACTCCCTTTTGTCTTGCAAAACCTTTGTAAAAATAATCGTGAAATCAACAACGAAATGTCCGCATACATCTAGCTGAAATAAGATATGCCGTAAATACTCACCATTTCTGGTTATAACCGCTTTACAGCTGGTGAAGAAATTCGAAATTCTTGCTGACGGTGGTGAAATTGAGAATTTTCAATGGACGATGACACAGAAAATTTTAAGTCAAACATCAAAGTTCACCAAATCATCGAATAAAAAGTGCAAAGTGCTTTTTACGAGATTTTTTTGTAAACAATAAAATTTTTCGCATTAATTTAATGATTTACATTGCGCAGTGGCTTAAAACGTGCAAATCCTTCTTTAATATCATTAATATGCACCAGAATGGCGAGCACAAGGATTTTCCGAAAGATGGGTTGGTGCACTGCTCACACCATTAAGTTTCATGAATCTTAAATTTAGTTCATGATGTTGTAACACGTGTATAGAATGGCTCAGTAGGTTGCTGGTCACATTTCTGAATGTCGATGTGAGAGGTCCACTCCCACTTAGAACAGATTTATTTGCCAAAAACCCGGGTGATGCTAACAACTCACCAGCATTTCTTCATCTTCTAACAGCTCTCACCATCATGGTTTGGTTGGCTTCACTGGCTACAAGCGTAAGACGTTCCCAGGGTTCCCAAGCGGCGCGGTCTGATGCCATCGTCGACAGTAATTGAAGCCATTCCTTTTTCCATTATCTTAGTCCATATATTGCTAGTTCACCAAAATTTTTTCTGACTATCAATCTTGATTGGCCCTCCTCGCTTTTCACGCCATCCGCATAATATACCACATGCTTCCACCTTCGTTAATACCACTTGCATTATCAGTACCATATTTAAAGTCCAGTAGTCCAGCACTTCCTCAACCGGCAATGAATTGACAAAAATAGGTACTTTATCAGCAGCATCTATATATCATGATCCGCTCAATCTTGTTATATGATTGCGAAACGTGGCCAATGATTGAAAGGTATTAAGAAGATATACTATTAGCCTTTGGCCACTCATGTCTAAGGTAGATTTTACGGATTCATCAAGCAAATAAAATTGCATATGATTATATACCCCTTCGCCCAAATACCATCTGTATTAATAATGTTATCACAGAGCGTCGCCTTCGGTAGTTAGGTCACGTTCACCACATAAGTTGACGCATATTTCGTTATTTGCTAAACTCTGTGATGGTTGGCATTATAAGTTGACAAAGGAGGGAGGGCCAGTCAAGACCTGGTTAGAAAAGATTTTGAACGTATAGGGGGATCAATATATGGACTTGTACGATGGAAAAAGGAATGGCTTCTGTTAATACTAGCGATGGTGTTGGACCGAGGAGCTTGGAGGCGTCTTATCCTTGTAGCCAGTGCAGCCAGCCTAACCAGTAATGGTGAGAGGTGTTAGAAGAAGAAGATGCTATATAGATGCACTTCGTTTTTATGGTGATTTCACGACGGCTCCATAAATATTTCGTCAAGTCAACCGGAAGAACGCATTTCTAGCAGTATTACCCAGTATTTCTATCGTTAAGTGAATGCTTAACAAAATTTGTGGACCAACAAGCCAGCAGCCAAGAAGAACGAGCGAATTGCCATTTAATCTTCACATCTCATAATTTCATAAATTTTTTGGATTTTTTGAATTTCATAAATTTATATTTTCATCAAATTTGAATTTTGAAATATTCGATTTTTATGCAAAATTTTAAGAAACAAAAAAATGAAGCAAAATTTTTGAATGAAAATTCTATTTTCGAGCAGCATTTATAATTTTTCATGATTTTCATCGCGGTGGTAATTTAATTTTTTTAAAAAGTTTTTAAGTTTTCGTTTTTGAGAAAACTTAAGAGGTTAGCTGAGAAAACAAAAGAGGTTTAAGGAACCATCACTCCATATTCGCTAAACTAGCGAGTGTATATTCGCTACGAAGGAGAGACTGCATAAGAGCAAATGTAATGAGCGCGATAGTGTAAACTGTTTTTGTCGAGCGCTTTAGTGCAACCTTCTTTGTGGTACCAACACTAACAATGATAAAAAATATTAAAATTCTCTCACACTTCCAAGCACAATCCCACTCGATCATTATATAAAACTAAATCTAAGCCATTTTGTTTAGCCAATAAGAATGAATTATCGGTCAAAAACGAAAATATGGGCCAAAACTAAAGCATACCAAAACAAGAAAATTAAGGACCGAATGGGCCAACTACATCAAAGCTACCTAAAACCTTGGAAACAAACGTTGATTATAATAGCACCAAGAATCGAGCTTGTATGGACGGAACGATAGACAAATGAGCCATCTGCGTCTGCAACTGCATGTTAGTATTCCTCACTTGCTTGGCGGTAAATTTCAAATTTTATATAAAAATTGGAAGTCTCGGTCCTTCTGTTTTTTATCGTACTTACAGTTGTTTTTTGGTTTTTTTCCTGTTTATCTCATTCCATTTTTCTTTTTTAATGGTACTGAGTGAAGGATTTGAAAGGTTTGGATGGACGGGGGAGGACTGACGGATTATGAAAGAGGTGATTGGCGATGAATGAAGAGAATGATTAAAGAAGGATTGAAAACGTTTGAGAAAGAGAAGGAAGAAAATGAAGGAGATTGCTACCGAAATATAAACCATGCTGCGTCTATTAATAGTACCACGTTTCACTTTGTTCTTTTCTTTTTATATTCTTTTCATCGCTTTTTAAAAATGATAAATTTAGAAAATGCCACATATTCCTATCGAAAGAATTCTCGAAGCTGAAGAGAGCGAGCGTCAGTGGAAAGAGCAGATCGAAAGGTTACTACTGGAAGGTGCAGAGAAGCTCGAAAAGCCACCAGTATTTCGTCGTGGACGGGTTTCTCTTTTCTCTTTGTTCGCCTTTTAACGATCTTTTAAATTCAAAATGGCAGCTCGACTGTACGTTGATTTTGGTGAGCGAGTTTCCTTCTGTTATGCAATAAAACTGAGAAACAACGAATCGTGAATGCTGCAAGAAGAAAGAGAAAAATTAGTGCTTCAAATGGCGTTTTAATAAAGAAAATTTAGATAAAAATTAAATGATAAAATGAGTGAGGTGAGTTAAATCAAACAAATATATATGCTTTTTGATGCTAACAAAGTTTTTTTGCGAAATTTCGGGATCCTATTTTTCATGGAAAACTTTTTCTTTTTTCTTTTCGTTTCTGGAATGTCCTTTGAAGATTTTGTTTCATTTAAGATAATTTTAAGATAATTTTATCTTTATTATTATTGTTGTCTTTCTTCTTTAGTAATTTTTTGCTTTTTTTTACATATTTTACCAAATTTACCAATTTAGAAGTACGTTAATCACCTTTACGAATCTGATTCTTCGGATGAAGACAATGACGATGATGGCGAACAGATAGAGGAGGAAAGAAAAGGGAACTCGGAGGTTCCAATGGATAAAACAGTATCTGAAGAAGAAGGAAAATACAGACGTGAATTTGAATTGAGGAAACTTATATGCAAAAAACAAAAACAAGTATCTTTAAGATTTTTTTGAACGCAAATTTGATATTTTGATAATCCATGCATTATCCAGTTTTAACTTTTAAAGATTGTGTTAGTCTATATACGAAATATTTTGAGCCAAATATGGACGACAAAATTTATTTCATTGTTTTTTGACAGTGATTTCGTGATTGTGCAATTATTTACAGGAAATTGATGTGCGGGAAGATTTTAATATAGCAGTTGATGTACCACCATCACCGCACTTTAGTGCCACTATTTTGGAAACTTCAAGCCTGTGTATATGTTATTATATTATAATTTTTCTTTAGATTTTATCCATTTTTTTAACATTGATTTATTAGTTATTTGTCAACATTTTCTTTGGTTTTAAGCTGAATCTATTTACTGAATTTTCCTCCATGCTCAAAAATATGAAAAATCATGGAAAAGCCTGAGGCTGTTTGATGGTAGTTATTGTTGAATAGAGGGAGGGGAGGAGAGATGGTCGAGCTGTATGGTTGTTTTAATCTTCATTGAGCAACGTTCGATCTTCTGGCTTGACAAGAGTAAAGCATTTATTAAAGTGATGGCAACTCATCTGCACTTTCGTCGTCAAGTGATTCTCCAACTAAAATTTCTAATCTTATTAACAACTATTCTACACCAGAAATGATGAAACTCGCCACTTATTTAAATATTTCAATCTTTTTATTTTTTGCTTTAATATATATTTTCAGTGGAAAGTAGTGAAGAAACCAAATTAATCAATATTTCGACGCAAGATGATAAACTGGTGGAAACTCGTACAGTATCGCAGAATACCTCCATAGTAATGGAACTTTGTCAGAACGATACTTCTTTTATGGATTGTATAACAGAAACTGCTGAAGAAAATTCTTCCAGAGTGGAGATAAATAAGGCAGAGGATTCAATTTATTAAAGTTTACTAAGCTGAAATAGATTTGATACGAACTACTTTTTTTATAAAATTATTTTCAGGCAAATTCTGACGATATAAAAAAAGATTTTTCAAATGAGAAATTTTCGTCTGATGGTGAGAAAGAATTATTGGTGAAAGAATCGAAACAAAGCTCAATGAGAGATAAATTTGGTCTATCTACAGTAGTGAGTTTATGCGATGAGACTATGCAGATTAATGGTGGACAAAAAGAATTATCGATAAAGCAATCGCCGGAGAATTTTTTCCACGATGATAAGAACTCAGATACCCCAAAAATTATCCCAGATTTTGGCGATGTTTCGATGGAGGTTCCTTCTTTAATGGAGAATTCTTTAAATAAGACTGTGCAAATTGATGAAAAACATTGTGAGTTTTTCAATTTAAATTTATTACAACGAATTTGAAAAATTGTTTCATCAATTATTTCGATCAAAATAAGGCGAGAAATTTTATTTTCTGGTCTTTGAGTTTATCTTTATTGCCTATTCTATAACTCTTTTCAAAATGATAATTAGGGGAGAGAAAATCTCAATGAATTAATTAATTAAGTATTTTAGCTGAATTCGAAGAACTTTGTTGCAAATTAACCAAAATAAATTTTCCTTTTTCAAATCTACATTTCATGGCTGGAAATAATACTACGAAAATCTTAAAAAACAAGGTTAGAATTTGCAAAATTTTTGAACTTTTTTGAAATTTCAGCAAAAATTAAATAAATTATTTCATTATTCTTTTTAGCGAACAATTTTTTTAGCATTAAATTGAAAATAATTTTTTTTTTGGTTCAGAATTGGTATTTTGATTTATTTTCAATTCAGTTTTTGTTTATTTATAGGCTTCAGTTTCATCTGAATGTAACCAAGAATATAATATACCTGATAACAGAAATGTTATTTTTGATAAGGACAACCAAAATTGGAAAAAGAAAAAAGGAGAGCCTTTAATATCTTTCAAAACGCCAAGAAAATCGTGTATAATGATACCAAAATTGCTTCATAATGGATCTAACAAAAACACTCCGATATTTACCAGAGTAGTTTTTTTCTGGAATATTCATTTCATTTAAAGTAGGTCTAAAGTATTTATATGTTTTTTTGATCATTACCTCTGTATGAAGTGAATATTTTAGAAATCGATATATAATCGAGAACAGTCTAGTCCTAATGAACAACATATTTGCTCTCGATATGCTGCACATCATGCTTCATTTGCTTCTCAGTAAGAAAAAAAGCGTTTTTATTTTAATTATATTTTAACGTTTCCAGTTTAATTGTCCTCAGGCCAAATAATAAGCTTAATTACAAAATAGAATTCTGGTTCGAAATTCTGGATTTTTTCTAATAAGAAAGAAAATTATTATTAAGAATGATTATAAATTCATAATTTTATTACCGGTTTTTTAGACAATTTGCTAAGGCGAAAAGTATACAAGATATGGAAAAAAGCACTCCTACCGGATATCAGGTTTATTTGTTATTTGGGAATATAGTGTTTGGCGGAGTGGTGATTCCAAATTCCAAATTTTTTTCACGCATTTATTTTTAATTTTAATTTAAGAATTTAATGAACTGATTTTTTATTAATTCTATCCTTGATTTTCTGGATTAATATATTCAGAGCCAAATTTCTTTTATTGTAACTTTTTTGGCTTTGCCTCAAATCAAAAATTTTATAGAAATTGGTATCCAAGATTCCTTTGTTATGTTCAAAAATAAATGCGCAAAAGGAACCAACTAAAACGACGGAAAAACTGGCAACTGGCGGCAAAAAAATTAGCTGTAAATCGCCATCGCTACCGGTGTGTTTTCCTAGAGTTATTTTATCCACTGGAATCCACTGAACTGAAACTGATTTTTTGTGAATGACATTTGCAAATTTTTGTGAATGACATTTGCAAAATAAATTGAATAATGCGTGCAAAAAGTATAGGAATTTTCGAATTAAATTTAAATTTCCAGAATGGAAGTAGTATTACTCGGAAATCACAAGCTTTGAAAAACATCATTGATTATAATTCTTCATATGAAAAGGTTCTTATGAATTTATTGAAATTTATTCTTGAAATTGTTCCTGAAATAACTGAAATGTTGTATATTTCATTAGAATCAAGTCATCTAATTTTTGCGGTGAATTTTTTATTTTCTTCATTTTCAAATTCAGTGGAAGAATAACTGTAATGTTTTTGAATATTTTAGAAATTTATCTTTTATTTTAATTTTCTCCATCGTAATTATTTTTAATTATTCAGACAGATGAATCAGGCAGGTCTCCGCTTATGGAGCGATTTAATATTACTAATACTGGCCAACCAAACGTGTCTTCATTAGTGGGAACTCCACCGGTAAAATCGTGCCATTCAAAACCACAGTTGCCAATGACATTTTATGCGTATAAACATTTACAAAATGGTGGCACTCCTTGGAGTAACAAAAAGATTCAGAAAAATTTATCTCATACTTCATTGTCAGAAAATCCGCTCCACTCTGAAATAAATCTAGAAGTACCCTCAGTGATTCCAGTTAAAGATGAAAAAACTGACGAAAAAACTTTTGAATCGGTTGATACACCAACATTTATTGCTGAGAGTAAAAAAGCTAACAGTTCAACGGTTGAGTCAATCACATTATTTACTCCAATCCGTCCAGCTAACGGTAACTCATAACTCATATTTGCAAATTAGGTCATTATCAAATTTTTTGGCCTAATTTTTATTTTAAATACAGCTTAAATTCCCTAAAAAGTTAATAAATAATAATAAAAAGTTAAGTTAAAAGTTAATAAAAAGCCTGATTTATAATGATGTTCCAGATATAAGTCACTTGGTATTTGATGGTACTCCCTCTAGCGGATTAACAGAAAAGCACAATTTAAGCAGAAAAAAGAAAATTCTATTGCCGAGAAAATTGTGTGAGAAATCTGAACAACAGCCTGATACGACTGCAGTTTCGAACAAACCGTCAAAGATACTTGTGGTATTAACATATAAGTTTTATACCAAAGAATCTATTAATAAATGCCCGCAGTTTACTTTTGATTATTAAGTTTGACACAACAACCACTTCCACAAAAAATGGCGAAGAGAAATCGTTCATGATGTATATGATGGACACGACTAATAACTGTGGTTAGAATTTATTATTTGTTCGTTATTTCATTATATTGCGAGAAAAGTTCTAGTATTGAATACAAATGAGTGGAATAACTATTCAGATTAAATTAACCAAAGAAGTGCATTAAGTGCATTATAAAAATATAGAAAAAATTATTTTTTAAAAAACAGTCAACAATAGCAAACGAAGCTCCTCATTTCTCTTTCTCAGATCCCACACATTTATAAAAGTACGGAAATAAGCGTTTTTAGATTTCGAAAATAGTCCTCTAGCTAACCTAAAGGATTTGCGACAAAATTTTTATTCAAGAAAAATAAAAATTACTACTTTACAAAATCGAGAAAGTTGTTTTTAGATTAAAAAAATGACAATTGTTATAATCGTACAATTCATATATATATAATAAATAGAGCATATTTTATGAATTTTTATGGTAACTGGATAATTTATTAAATTAATACATCCAGCATAACAATGAAAAATTTGTTTCACAAGAATTAAAGATTTGAATTAAATTTTGTTGCGATTATAGTTGCCATCCCATGAAACGAATTCATAAAATATTCAGTTTTACAGTGTTAGGTGATTCTTTGCAAGCAACCGATTCTTCTGAAGTTTTGCCAGAAGCTATATGCTCGTCATCCCTCAATGAATCAGGCGATGGATTATCGAATGTTCACGTGGTTGCTAGTAGTAAAAAAAAACCTGTCATTGCTCGGCTTATTCCCCCCAAAATTGGTATTGGTTAATTGATTAGCATTCTTTTCTAACAATTTTTACAGATAATTTGCAAAAAAAACTGTCAGAAGCAATAAATTTTGGTTTTTTGTATCATTGGGTTCCTTGACGGATGCAAATCTCATGGACGATACTATACTGCTAAGAAATTTTTTGGAGAGCATTAAAAAATTAACAAATGATCGGGAAAGTTTAAAAAACTTGCTATCCTAAACTTGCTATACCTTAAATGAAAAGGTTCTGTGATTTCAATTTTTATAGTACACCCAGCAAGTACAGAAGAATCAGGTTTGCGGAGATCTAATCGAAATCGTGTAAGGCGATTAAGACATTGGCTTGGTGAAGAACCGGTATATCGACGCGATGAGCAAGGAAGTAGGGTTCTCATATTTTATATAAATATAATGAAATGGTCCTTTTGTTTTAGTTTAAATACTTAGAAGTGGAATGGAATAGAAAATCCTTTTTTCGAGCTTCAAAAAAGAATTTTAAAAAATTCTCCAAAATATACTAAAATTGCTTTAAAATTATTTTAGATCTCGAGCTAGTAGGTGTCACAGACGTCGAAATAACTGATCCACTTTGTGTGAGAACCAATACTATTGATGCAGCACTCGCTCTAGAACGAGAAAAAAAGGCTACAAGTAATCGCTTATGATTTCATGCTTTTGTTGAGAGCTCGACTTATCCTTATACTTTTTAGATTAAATTTACAGTGCGAAGAAACCGACTTCGTCAAGAACGGAAGACTCGCAAAATGCAACGTATTAAAGAATTAAAAGCGAGACATCGTATGGGCTTGGATCTAGATAAAAGCATATTCGACATCATATCCGAATCGAATGATCCGAATGAAATAACTAATTGATAAACTTTTCATTAAGTATAACATCATTCTTAAATATTATATATATATATATATATATAATATTATATATATATTAAAAATAACAAAGAATTGTATAAATGCTAAAAATAAGGAAGTTAAAAAAAAGTTAATTTTTTTAATATTACTAACTAATTTTATTAGATATTATGATTTTTTCCCTCTCGTTTCCTCATTTTGTTTTTGAAATTTAGCTTTTAAAACTTTTTTTTCGAAAGCTGATTAACAAGTAAGAAATTTATCAATCACGTTTGCGTTAAAATATGAGGCCTTAAAAATTAACTTAGAAATAAAAAGGAAAAATTGAATAACACTAAAGAATAAAATAATAATAGAGGATTATTTGATGGTTTCACATTTTTTCCACGGTCCTTATTCCAAGAATCTTGAAACAATCTGCCATAGTATCAGCTGTAACTTGACATAGAACTAATCGATGATAATTTATAACTTCTTTTCCTGAAAATTTAATTAAGAGTATTCTAGGGTTACCCATAATAATTTGGAAAAAAAAACTTAAAATAAAATTACCATCACTTTCCTTATGAATAACGTAACATTCATTATAAAAGTCGTGAAACGTTGTAGCGAGTCGATAAGCAAAATCACAAATCTGAAACATGGAAAATGCAGAATGGAATAATTATATCACCATCATCGCCAAATAAAATGAATAATAGGTCAAACAAATTCCAAGAAAATGATTGGAAAATTAGAAACAAAAAAAACCTGGTGAAGCATTAGCGAATCGAGGACTGCCAAGATGCAGTCGGAAAATTTTAAAATCGTCTTTGCTAATTTGATTTCGGCTTCGTGCTGGAAGGGTAAACCTGAGGGCAATTGCTTGATGTATTCTTTAATTTGATCAGGCGAGACACCGGAGGTGCGACAGATTGAACTGAAAATACTTAATCTGTAATAATTGACGACATTAAACTTTCCTTTAATTTTCAAGAATCCATCAGAAAATTGAAAATTGATAAAATTATTAAATAAACTGAGTAGAAAATTTGCGGAATCCTTGTTTATGAAACCTTTCTTTATTTGAGCATAATATAAACAGGAATGTTTTTTACAAAAGATGACTTGAGCGGTAATGATAGCAAGAGTAAAGGAATTAATTCGATCAACTCTGAAATCAACTAACCGTATTCGCGTATAAGCATAAAGCAAATAAACGGCTGTGTTCCCTTTATCATCTAACATCTAAAATTTTTGATTTGATGAAATTGAACAATAATAGTTGTATATTTAAAATATCGTGCATGAAACAAGAAATATTTTATAAAAAAAAACTACTTTGTCGAATGAGAAAATATAATCTTTGGTGCGAGTCTGAGAAAGATCAGCATACTTTATACAGCCATAAGCAATGGCATCGCGCGCTGAATTCATCTCTTCTACAGTCATGACCTTGGAAAATTCAGAATTTATAATATATTTGAAATTAAATTTCATCTAAAAATGAGTTAGAAAATTTCAGACAATAAGAAACGACAAGAAACGAACGAAACCGCTTGAATTTGCCGGAGGCTATAAGCTAATTTAAAGAAATTTAAAGCAAATTAATGAACGAAATATATTCATCTAAGGCAAAATTTGGAAAAATCACCTTATCTCGTTCTTTTTCGAGAAGTTTCATCTCAGATCTTCTTATTCCTTCATCTAGCAAATCCGTTAATTTCACAGACTCGCCTGATCTAGTTTTAAACTTTTTCCTGAATTAAAAGGTTTAATATTTAATTGAAATAATTAACAAATAATTTCAATATTTTTTTGGCATTTTTACCAATAATTTAAAATTTGCAAACTATATATTACATTAAAAAAACTCAGATAACTCAGATAAAATCAAAAGAGAAATAAAACATTGGAAGAAAGGTATGGTGGCAAAATCGCTTTTGATAATTAATAAACAATAAATACATACACAAATACCCCACAATAAAAAATTTTAACGCCTACCTATCATCGCCCAAAACGAGACCGAAAGCAACGTGCAATACTCGCTTTTCTTCTGGTTTATACCAGCCCAACTGACGAGCTGCTGCATAAATATTCTGAAAACATAATTTTTTCAAAATCCAAATCCAAAAGGTTAGTCGTGAAATAAAAGAGGAATTGACAACTAATTTTATAAAGAAATAAAAAATTAAACAAAGAAATTTGCATTGTTCTATAAATAAACCTCCAAATGAAGACTCTGACCAGCATCAACAACATAAATCAACCAATCAGCTTCTTCCACTTCCAATCTGTGTTTGATTGTAGCCAAATCAGATGTATCATAAGTAAAACCACCATCAGATTTTACTATAGTTAATGGTATTTCTGAACCATCGACGAACATGACTTTTCTACCTTCATCGTCTTCCAGTACACCTTTGATAGTAAAAGTGCGATAAAAGATCACATTGGATTAAACTGGTTCAACTTTTTAACTTAACTTTTTATTTTTTCACGAATATTTGTCATAAAGAACCGAGAATTACCACGCTCTTCCAATTCTCTCACAGTTTTTTTCATTAGATCTTGATAAAACGATTCGCCGCGCTCGATAATTTTTATATCTAATCGATCATAAATACGATTAAAATCTTTTCGAGATACATCACATATCATTTGCCAAGCTTTTACAGAATCACCGTCAAAATTCTGTAACTTTACTACACACTGATAAGCTCGAGCTTTGAAATTTTCATCCTTGTCGAAGCGCTTTTTCGATTCCTGAAAAATAATTCATAACAAATTTCAAAATTGAAGCAAAAAAAACACCAAAAATTAGCCTTAATAGGAAGGATGAATAGTAAAGTTCTTCTGCACTGGCTTTTATTTGTTGCTCGTTATTAAATAAAAGTTAAAAGCCATCAAGAACAGAAAGGGATATTAGGGAAATTTTATACCTTATATAACTTATAGCAGATAATCTTGAAGACTGCATTAAAAAGGTTTTTAATGATTGCCATTTATAATAAAAATTATTGCTCTTAAATATGCCATCCGAAAATCATTAATCATTAATTATTAAAATCACTAACCTTGTAAAATGTTTGCAAATCTGATATAGACGGAGTTTCACTTAAGTAATTTGGAAAACAATCCTGAAGGTGAGCAATAAGCATGCCAAACTGCGTTCCCCAATCTCCAATATGATTGATTCTGACTACCTTAAAAAACAAAAAAATAACCATGGAGCATGAATAACATCATATCTGATCTATTGTTTACACCAATCCAACCATACAGAAATGGAAAAGAATATAAAAACGCATAAAATCGAAGTTTTATTAAGAATCCATCCCACCTCAAACCCGAAGTATTCGAATAATCTGCAAATTCCGTCACCAATAATAGTTGACCGAAGATGGCCTACATGCATTTCTTTGGCAATATTAGGCGAAGAAAAATCAACTACGACTTTCTGCTTCATTACACGTGGGACAGGAATTCCCTAAAGAAATTATTTTTATTATAAAATTATTTAGATTGTACGACCATAAATTTATACAACAATAAGAAATTATATATTAACAAATTTATATAATAATCGAAAAATCATTTCAACAAGCCTTTATTGTACAACTGTCACCTTTCATTTTCTCCATTACTAATTTGCTTAAAATGGAGAAATACCTCTAGTGCCATTTCACAAATTTTTTTGCCAATCCATTCGATATTTAAAATGATATTAATATAATTGCCAGCGGTTTCAACCTGAAATATATAATCAAGTATTTATATGAGGAAAATCATGTAAAAAATGAAGGCAATAATATGGTCCAAAAGATTTATCAACTCTATCCACATTGAGAAAAGATATTTGTTTATTGAAAAGAAATCATTTACGAAATTTACGAAATAAAAATTTTTACCCGTTTTATAGCTTCATGATCCTCTACATTATTCATTATCAATCTCGAAACGGTTTGAGGATCAGTTTTCTCACCCATTTGTTTCAATCTCTGAAAAAGATCTGTATTGCTGATAGATGACACTCGAAAAATAGAATGAAAATAATTTGAAGGAAAAAAAAATGTACAACCTTAAAAATGACCATAGCTGAATTAAATTGATAATCTCCGAATTTAGGCAAAGCTGTTTCGCTGATTTCAACTGGAAAATCAGCAATTTTAGGGAAAGTCTAAAAATAATCAAGATTAAAAGAATTTTTAAGCTCCAATAATGAAACTTTTATAACAATTCTTCTTTAGTTTAAGGCTAATCAAGATTATTGAAAGCAATAATATTAACATTTCTAATAGCAACTGAGAAAAGTGCTTCAAGGATAGTTTTGATTGAACAGCCATAATTTTCAACTTTGACATATTTATGTACCTTTGCTTGTCCCAGTGAATTACTGTTCCTTAAAGTTGATGAATTAGAACAATCCCATTCCAGTTGAGAAAAAAATTAAATTATTTCATGTTGAAAAATTTATATCAATAACCGTTTACCAGTTATTTTCATGAAAGGAAATATGGTCAATGAGCGATAATTTAATGGAACGAATAAAAGAAAAAACTAAAATAGAACTAAAAAACTAAAATTAAAACTAAAATTAAAATAACAAATTTGAAATCCCTAACATAACAGTTTTATCATTCGTAATTCTGCCGATCTTTGAATCAGAATGCGGATAAATGCCACTAACAACTTCCGTTTTAAGGGAATTCATTTTTTCCTGCTCAGCAATTACCTTAAAATATTTAAATTAATGCTTTGGAGCAACTCTTCACTTGATAGAAAAAAATGTGTCTCTAATTCATTAAACTATGAAAGTGATTAATAATTTAGCATCAAATTAAAATATGAATAAAGCAGACCTTAAAGAATTCATTACCATCATAAAAAAGAATATGATAAAGAAGAAACAAAATATATACAATATATATCACAAAAAAAGAAAAACGTTAACTTCGCGAACCTTTGAGAAAAAGATTTATAAAAAAAATTTTACTTTACGAAGAAATTGAACTCTATATTCAAGTTTCGAAATGTCAGTAGAAATTTCCTTAAGTTCTGGGCAATATTCTAATAACTCCTCCGTTAAAAGCGAATGATCCATAGCCTCTAAAATTTTCTTATAACGATCGAATTCATATTCCTGTAATGAAAAATATTCCTTATATTTACATTTTAGTAATTTATTTTTAACTTTTAATGTACTGAATGACTGAAAATTGGAAATATTTCAAAAAAAACACCGATTTGTCGAAGGCTTTTTGCAATATCTGTAATTCTTGTGCTAAATTTTCCATGCATTTAATTTTTACAAAGAGAGACCAAAAAAGCTGGAAAATGCACCCAAATCTGAAGAAAAAAATAGTATAGAAACAAGCATTTATTACACAAAATTTTGAGCTAAAAATTATAGAGCAAATTTGTCCATCACAAAAATATTTTATAAATTTAAAAAAAATTCTATTATTGAAAAAAAATTAAATTAAAGCAAAACCAAAATCGATTTGCGAAAGCACACACAATAAAGAATTGAAATTCTTTTACAAAAAAATTTTTTTATTAAAACGACCGTCTCACAGAAAAAATATGAAAGCATCAAAATTTACAGTGTTAACTAAACCGCAAATTTCAATTATTAAAATTATCAAAAAAATATTAAAATACAACTTTTTTCATTAATAAATAAATATTTGAATCAAGATCAAATCCATGCAAATTATTTGCATCACCTTTTAGCCTCATAAGCAAGCCACCAAAAGAAGCATAAGCTGCGAGAGTATTTGATTCACTACTTGAATCATCACCCTCAATTCGATAAACCTTTCCAAACATTGCGTATTCAAAAGGGTCCAAACGTGGATAGTGTGCCTGCAAAACTGGTACATGTACATGGTAAAATTAAACATGCCATCAAACCCTGATTTAAATGAATTAAATGAAATATTACTAATATAATAGTAGTCATAATTTCGGCAAAATATGTAAGAACTGTTTTTATTCTATTTTTATTTTACATTTTATGAAAAATGGTTGATAACCGAAATATCATATAACTAAAGAAGCAAACTTGACTATCATATTCGCGTTCATCAGGTAACCCATCATCTCGAAGTGTTGTTGTTAAAAGTAATCGAAATTTATCATTCAATTGCATAGGATAACTAAAATAAGCCAGTAATATCGAAAAATAAATCAATATATGAAATAATGGTTCTCTACTAAAAAAAGAGGTTTGCGTCTCACGACGCGCATGGTATTCCCAGCCTGGTGGTATATGCTATAGGTATAAGATTCGAGTTTAAAGCGATTTCAGAGCTTGTAAATAAAATATGCCCGCAAGCCAGAGTCGAAACCTATCAAGAGGAACAATCCTCTGCACGCGTGGAGAGGTATTAGCCGTATCAGCGATGGTCAAAACACTTATGGACGTTGCAAGTCAAGCGATCGTTGCCCACATACTTTCTAAATATCGTGTGGATATCACTTGCCTGTCCGTCTTCCTCACTTCGGGTCTTGAGTAATTACTAATCCTGATTCAGAGAAGAGATACTGGCTATATCACTGCGGTGCTTCGAATAACTCGGTACCAAATGGCGTAGCGATTGTCATGTCTGACAAAGCCCATTATGCTTTGACTGAGTGGAAACCGATAAGCCACCATATGGCCTATCCCGTTTTAAGAGTAAGTTCTGCAATATCTCGGTCATCAGTGTCTATGCTCCAACTCTGTTAGCAGATGATTGTGATAAAGATAAGTTCTGTGCAGAACTTTAACTACTAACAAAGTCTTCACCGAAATCACTGACATGATCATAATTGGAGGACACTGGTATGCGCGCGGTCATAATGCCGCTGCGATGATCTCGACAATTGGCAAATATAGCATCGAAGACCGGACGTCTTCTTCACTATGCCGAAGAGCATGGACTTTTTGCTACTAATACCTTAGGCATCGTAAAAACATCTAGTAAAGTGGAATTTCCCGAACAACCAACACTTCCAGATTGGTTCCATCTTAGTCAGTCTCCGCTGGAACAGTTCCGTATTAGATAATCGTTTCTATCATAGCAATGAAACGGGCAAACTTCATGGATCTGAACATATTATGGTTCGAACAAAGATCCGCATAAAGTAGACAACTCACAGAAAACAGCATTTTCCAAGACAATCTCAAACTAAAAAATTTGGAGACAGTGAACGCATTTCAAACTGAATTACTGAAACATCTCAATGATACAAATATCAATGATTTTTCTGGAAGGGGCAAACTTAACCATGAAGGATCATTTATTGCCCTTGATATAGCTGAATACTGGTCTAAACTAAAGGAATGTCTTCGAAAGTCAGCCACTTCTACTCTAGGACAAACTAGTAGGAAGTGTGCAAGTTGGGTATAGGATGCAATTGTCCAACTGTCTGAAAACTGTTTGCTGCCAACGCAAAAATATTAGGAGATCCTGACTATCGGATACTTCAAAGAATTACAGCACGGTAGCATGGCGAGACAGAAAAATAGCTATTGGAGCGATATGGCCTTACGAATGGAGACGGTGGCTCGATTACAAAATAACTATGACTCGTGGAACGATCAGTAAAATGGTAAGAGATAGCAATGGAGTACCGACCAAGAGCATTAGGGTCAGCCTCATAAGAAAAGTATTCTTTGAGGTTAAACTTAACCATGAACTGTCATCTCTTGCCCTTGACATAGCTGATACGTTCACCGAACCATACGCTTGCAATTGCAAGTCTCCAACAGAAGAAGAAATAATCTCCGTTACCCATAAGCTTAAAGTCAATAAGATTCCGAGAGAGAATATTTTTCGGACTGAACTCTTCAAATGTTGTCCATCGTAAATGTTGTCATTCATAACGCACCTTCAACAAATATACTCTCTAGTATGGAAAAAAGAAATATTACCAGATGATTGGAGTAAAGAAATTCTGCTCCAGAGAAAATCATTCGATTCTCACAAAGGCATTTATGAGCGCACGTCGGCACAGGTCTGTGTATATGAGGAACTGACAGATTCTTTCGAAAAATGAACTGAGTCCGTCCGTCCTTTCTTCATATTCAACTATTCAACTATATATAATATTCAACTATGCGATAGATTGGATAATGGACATCGCTTGTCGGCATTCAAGAGGTGTCCAAATCAGTCCAGAGCATAATTCGTATCACAGATCTTAAATACGCTGACGATGTCCTTTTTGCTGATAGTTTGCTGACGAAATGAAAGTAATAATGCTAAATAATGTCAGAAATTGCAGCAAGAATCGGACGCAAGGATCAATGTGAACAAAATGAAAGTATTTTCGTCTTTTCAAATGCTGTCCATCGTCCTTCATAACGCACCTTCAATAAAAGTACTCTTTAGTATGGAAAAAAGAAATATTACCAGATGATTGGAGTAAAGAAATTCTGCTCCGAAGTCTCAAGAAAAATGATAGGATAAACTGCGACAAGAAGAATCAGCCTACTAGACATCTCAGCGAGAACTTTTGCTTCCCTTATCTATTAAGGGAATTATGGAAGTACCAAAAAAAGTCATAAAAGTGAAAAATAGAAAGGCTGTATAATAGCAAAAAAACTAACAGTTGAGTATTAATATCGAGGATAAGTTCCATTTTAAAAGACTCTGAGTCGCAAAATAACCTCGAAACACGGTCGAACTTCTTACCATCCGGGTCCACGTCCTTCACTAAGAACATATCATCGAACAATATACCCGTCGACATGCTCTTAGAGTTTTGATGGCTAAAATAAAGACAAGGAATAAAGGAGAATTTGAGGGATAACTGAAGCCGACTTATAGCACTCAGCAACCCTTTTTGATAAATAACAATTTTTAATATTATTTTAATTATTTTAATTTAACCAATTTAATTAATATTCTTTTTACAATATAAATTTAAAAAAAGGGAATAAAATAGCAAGCAAACAAATATTCACTTAAATAAGACAAATATCTACTGATCGAGTACGAGAATTAGTATTCTCATTTTAAATATATAGAAGGCGGGAAAATTATTTTGAACAATTGCAGCTCTATTTAATAATTAGTAGCATTTAGCGCATTTCTGATTAAGCTGGCTGGTTGCTGCGGAAATTATTTGGTGACAGAAGTGCGGATGGACCGCCAGCAGCGCTCGAATTTTGAAACGACAGATTCGTTTCCATTGCGATTCGAACCGTTGTTAAACGCGAATTCAGTAGCGATTTCACTCGATCATTCTTCCCTTCTTTAATGCAAACAAAGAGATGACTGCGTTAAAATTATGGGATGGGATGTTCCTCCTAGCAAGAAGAAAATTGAAAAGAAAGTCGGAAGAAATCTTTTTGGTGCTTAAAGGTTCAATCATACGAGAAAACATTATTTTGAGGACAATGTGCAATAACCCTTTCACCATTCACCGGCGAATTATAGGAATTTGAGCCCAGCATGAAGCGATTTTAGCTTGTGTCAGTAGTAATCAAAAATTGTAAACAGTTCATGAACTGAAATTGTAACTGTAATAGTTTAGGTGAAACATTTTAATAACCCCTTTTCAACTCTGCAAAGTAGTCGCATGGGAAGGGGCTGGGGTGTGGGTGGAGAGGGGAGGGTAGAACAATGGCCATTGCCCAAACTATCGTTGCAAACGCTAGAGTGAAACTGCCATTAAATTTAGGGAGCGGCGTGTGGACCAACTTCCATCCCTAATTGACCATGGCAAGGATTTTTCGTCGAACTACCTGCCAGCGGAGTAAACCTAACGAGAAATGGTGTTGCCTCTCACTCACTCGCAATGGCCAATGCAGCAACAGCAAAGCCCCTAGCTTGCCTGCAATAGCCAATGGAGGAGCAGCCAAATCAGAAACGGTGAGAATGGTGCCGCAGGCAATACGCACTGCCGACGATGGATGCAGCGAGTAATTTTCGTTCCTGCAAATGCCATGTGAAAATTGCTTCCGTCTTTCCAATTAATGCGGCGAACAACGATTATTCAACAAAAATATGCACAATTTTTTGGTTAAATTTCGGACAAAACCATAAAAAACTTTTTTTAATGGATGAAATTTATTTATTTAAAATAAAATTTTAGAGAATTCCCTACGATTTAACTTTCATTTTTTTAAGCAAATTTTTTATTCACAAATTTTTTGAAATTATTTTCACGAAAATCGTTTTTAAATTAATTTTAGACAATTAATTTATTTCGAGTCGAAGTGTTGTTCGAATTTTTATTTCAGCCGTTCCATTCCATTTATACTATTACTGTCGAAAATCGTACTGCACCGTGCGAAATATTTCGAAAGATTTCGGCCAACACCGTTGGCTAAACTCTGTATTTGAAGAACTGAGCCCGTGCTACGTCGTCTCGTCTCCTCTTCCGGTAGAATCAGCGCGAGTGTATTAGCGAGCTTTTTCTGCTATCGTCAAGCAACGTTATGGCTAAATTTATTCGGTGGGACGAGCGCAAAAAATACTTAATGACGCCACCTTTCGCCTAATTTAACGTGGCTTTTGGCTTCTTTCTTCTAACTACACTTTTGATTCAACTGCCATCAGACGAAGAGCCAACTGGAAATAGAATTGGAACAAATCGCACCATCCGCACCACTCGCCTTCCATTTTCAATGGTAATTTTACTTCCTTCGAAGCAAATTTGCTGTAGGAACGATAGTTTGAATTTATTCTGAAGCATCCCACCGAATTCGTAGCAACGATTTGGCTCTCCCAAGTTAATTTCCGCCATTTCCAGAATTCTCTTCTAAGCATTTACCATTTCAATGAACGTAAATTTCCGATGACCGTTTTTGTACGAAAAGTTCTAAAAAAGTTATAAATGTGAAATTTTCCCTTTTTTTCTGGAAGCTATAAAATGTGTGAAATTCGCTTCACATGAAATTCTATTTTCTTCACGTGAAATAAAGTTTTTTGAAGTGATTGCACAAAGATGCATTGCAAATGATTTACAATGAACAAATATTTAAAGAAATTTCACTGTTTGTTGAAGGAAGTAACTTTGTGCAACGATGAATTCGCCTCAAAATTAATGGATATTTACGGCTAACCTTATTTATTTATTTAAACTCACTTATTTCCTAAACTTATTAGAAATTTATAAATTTTGCAAGAAAATCGAAGAAAATGGCTGATTTTATAAAAAATAAATAAATAAAATAAAAATAAATAATAAAAAAATAAACATTAAAAAAAAGTAAGAAAATTACAAATTTACGAAAAATTGTTTAATTAATTTGTATTTTCGCATCATTTCACTCGATTGTCGACATTAATTTCGTCAAAATTGATGTTAATTTACTGCGTCATAATCATCAATAATATTCGAAATTAGTAAAGTTGTTCATTTCATTAATTAAATGTTTTTCGAACTAACTCGAATCCGGATGCACCGTTTCTGCTTTGGTTTCTTCCATCAACTAAAATTACTGGAATGATACATTTTCATCAGAGAATCACTTGAAAACTGTTGATCTCCAGCAGCCATCTGGACTTCATTTTTCATGGTAGAATAAGATTGTCGCAGTGTATGGAGGGAACTGAACTCAATATGGCTATACTTTTAGTTGAAGCAGCATACGATTAAAAACCATTTTAACCCTTTACTTACTTATTCTAATGTAAAGGCAATCAAAATTTTTTTGCTTTATAAAACGCCAGAGTTAGATAATCGACAAGAATAATCACTTTAAAGCCGGTTTTTTAAAGAGCTGTTTATAAAAATTTATGGTAAAAAAGTTCATTTATTATTTCCAATAGCAAAGAAATTAGAAATAACGTAATAAGTTTGAAAACATAATGAAATACATAATGATTTAAATAAATCCCAGTAAATTAATTTCTTTCCGTGTTTTTTTTCAAACAAAAAGTAATTAGTCTTCCTTCTGATGCAGCCTTTCTTTTCTATCCTAAAGATGTTTGAACAATTCAACAAGTACTGGCAAAGCAGGAAACTCTAGCCCATAAAGAACATGAGATGCAATCAAAAGGCTTTCGATAAGCCGACTAATATTGCACCAGCAAGGGTAATACATATAGCGCAAGAAAGAATCCGCATGTTACGAGCACCTCGAATTTCTCGAAAATAAAAAACGCTCCATAAAGCACCGCACACACCAGGCACCATGCTATTAATTGGAAATGATATCGACTGTGATATACGATCATTGGCAAAAAACCTAAAAAAAAGTTGGAAAAATCACAATCTTTATTCGCAAAATATATTTCACCATGACTGTAAAATCTCTAATTCGCAATTTAAATGATCAGTTAAGCCCATAAATTTGTTATTAATATATGCCGCTTCGATTATCAAAATAACCAAATATTCATAAATTTTAGTATTTAAAAAAAAGCCATGTGACAGCAGAGAAAACTACCGCGAAAATTGCAAATGCAGCCTAAGAAAAGCCAAAGTACAAGAAGACTTAATATCAAGACGATAAATATTTTCATTTTCTTAACATAATTTAGAAAAAATAATTCATGGAGGAAATTCATGAGAACAGTCAAATGATAGTTGAAAAATGAGATCAATCAAAAAAGTATTATTGCCAATTTTCATTTAGCTAAATGAATTTATCAAAAAAACCATGAAAGTTGAGCGATTGACCACAGCGTTCCTGTGATGCATGCGGGTAGGAAGGTGCGATTATTTATGAACGGACGATTACGTTTAAAGATGGAGTAAGCAAAAAATATAAAACTCGTTGTAACCAATATTCCACTAAAGTGAGAAAAAACATAATCCAATCCATTTTGCGAAACCTTAAAATTTTCAAAGTAAAATTGGAGTCAAAAAGGAAAGAAGAGGAAATGTAAAAGATCTATAAAAAAAATTATAGTGCCAACTTTAGAGATTTAAGAAAATCAACCTAAAAAGAATTATAAACCAACCATATAACCATGCTGCTGAATATAAATTACGGGAACAAATGTCGTTCCATAGAAAACACCAGCAAAAAGCGATAAAGCAATGCCGCTAAACAAAATTTGAAAAATTAAAAATCTAATATGTGCAATCCTATTAAACATGTGATTTTTCAAAAAAAAATATAAGTATATAAAATATCAACAAAAATAATTCAATAGAATAATGAAAAATAAAAAATAGTGATTCTTTTTAAATAAATAGGCTAATAGAGAAAATCTCGATATTTAGAAATGATATGCCCGTAAATGCCTATGATAGTGAGAAGAAATGTAGAAATTCTCATTGAATCGACATAATAAAATTTAAATTATCTTGACATAATTTTAAAAAAGACTATTCGCATTAGATGAAAAAAACGTCGGAAGAAAACAAACATTAATCTCTTATTAGGAAATGACGATGATTGATCATTTTTCTCGCATTTTTCCTGAATAGTAGTTTGGACTGTTTGGTCCTTAGGAACAGGCGCTTCTAATGAATAGGATACATCCGAGGAAGAAGATGATCGGACTTGTGAGAAAAGTATCCCGCTGAAAATAAAATATCTTGCAACTAAATTCATATTCAAGAATTTTCAAGAATTTTCTCTTTTTATTCAAAAATTAACCCTATAATGACGCAACCAAGGCCCATATAATTCAGGATGACATTATTAGGAACTTCTTTGTTCAAACCAAAAAGTCCGTATCTACTACTTGCCCATCCACATATACAATTGGTAACACCCCATAGAAGTATGCCCATACCCATACCAATCATGGATATAATTGGTATTGCAGTTGCATTTCCTAAAATAAAAAAATTCGCGAAAATTGTATTTAACTCCTTCAAATAGTTTATAAATATTAGTGTTGAAAAATGTTAAATTTATTTCGTTTAATTTATAAATTTCAGTTGAAATATGACTAAAATTAAATGAATGAATCCTGAAATGTATATTTAAATAACTAAAACTTGCCAATAGCCCAGAACATTCCACCAAGCATGGCAAAAGGCTGAAATGTAGGAAAACCCCTGATAGCATTGACAGCCATTCCAAACAAGAATATCGTTATACCCACAACCCACTGGATGAAAATACCTGTTAAAATGAAATTATTAAAATAAATTCTTTTTAGTAAAATTGAAATAAAATAAATTAAAATTTAAAATAAATTATTAAAATTCTTGAGAATAATTCCACAAGTTTATTAAAATATTTATTATACTCAAAGAAAGAATAACAAGGAAAAAAGAGCATACCATCACCAATATCGAACTTTTTTAGTGGAACAAACATTGAACCAAAAAATACAGATGAAATAGCACAAGCGATAAGACCTTGTACAATCTCCAAAGCCATCTTCTGGAAATTCGCAAAGTTTTTCAAGAGTTTTTAACAAAATTTTTTTTATATTACGACTTGATCACTATATGTTACCATTTAAACTGCTCAAGAATTTGTTTTCTTGAATGTAATATTAAAATTTTATTTCTGAGCTCTTTTCAACTCTTTTCAAACCAGTTTTATCTTGTAATACTATTATTAATTTATTTAATATGATTTCTTTAAACAATCCTGCAATTTATTCACTGCACCACCAGTTTTTTATTTTTCATATTATTACAACTGTTACTGGTAACTATTTAAGAATATAACTGATTTAAATAAAATTATATCAAAATAGAATTTCTAATAGTATAAAACTGTTTAATAATGAAATATATGGAGAAAATGATTTCACAAACCATAGCCATTTTCGTCCCTACAAAATAGAAAAATTACTAATAAACAAGGAGGAAAAAATAATTTAAACGAAGATATCTCACAGCTTAATCTCATTTGAATCATGCTGATGATAACTTATTTATATTTAGTAGTCATAGTTATATTTAATAGTAATCAACAGAAACTAGACAAAGTTTAATATTCAAATATAAAAATTTACATAACTGATTTAACTGATAAGATATAGAAAATTGATGAAATGTAAAAATAATGAAATGCAATGTAAAATTATCAACATCTCCTTTGTTTGACTTTTTACTTTCCTTAATTCTTTTTCAAATATGCTTATAATAATCCATTCTTTAAAATATAATGAAAAAGAGGCAATAAGACTTTGATGAATTTTACTACTGATAAGTCAATTGTTCTTTTTTTTGAAAATTCTCCCTTTATCAGTAAAATTCTCAATCTTATAATCTCCTCTTTATAATTACCATCTTTAAGGGGACAAATGTCAATAAAACGTACAGAAATGAAAAACCACTCAAAATTCTTTAGAACAACTAAACAAATAACCCAGCAAAAATCATTGCACTGACTGTAGGCAAATAGGGCGTGACGATGATTGTTTCCGCCCGGCTATAAGCGAAAATTCCTCTCAAAAGAGATTATCTGCACTGCCTTCTTTTGCACCATTTTAAAGGACCATCTTTGTCGTAATTCGAAATTTATCGAATCAACGTTCTGCATCTATAATTTACAACCCGAAATATTTTTTATCAAATGAAAATAAATGAATTAAATGACAAAAAAAGTAAAAAAATAGATAAATTATAGATAAATGTAAAAAATGACAATTGCTCTCCATGATAACATACAACAAAAACTGATAAGATCAATTGAACAACCGTAACAATTGATGAACTGATGAACTTTTGAAATTCATTAATCGACTTTTTGAAAATGAAAATATTCATTGTCAAACAATCCATTTCTAAGGTACAAAAAGAAATTTTAGCAAATGCTTCAATGATAAATCAATTTCGCTCAAAACGATTCTCGAAATCGAGTAAACTTATAATTTTATATTCGCTTTAAAATCAAACTTCATTGTTTCAAAGAAAACTTGAAATAAAAACTCGTTTAACAAAATCTGACATTTTTCAAATTGAAAATAATTTAGTAAAATTTTGTCATATAAAAATAAAAAATGTTGAAAATGATAAATGTTAAAAAAATGTTAAATAAAAATTTTTGATCAAAAAATTTGCAAAAAATTCAGTAAAAAGTTTCAAATGAAATTTAAAAAATCAGCGAAAAATTCACTTTTAAAAGAATTTTGGAATTTTTTGGAATTCCATTTCGAAAAATAAGAAAAATTCAGATTTGGGGACTCCAAAAAGAGAAATTACGCAAATTGCAGAGGAAATTATAAAAGAAAATTTCAAAAAGCCTTTATAAATAAGAAATAATTTAAGAAACGTAAAAGCGTTAAAACGCTTCGCTATTTATTTCCGAAAATCTAAAAAAGTTGGTTTTTAAATAAAAGAAAAATGCAAAACGGAAAAGAACGTTTCTGCTTTCACTTTATTTTTATTTTTCAACTCAATGCTTTTCTACAGAATTCTATCGAAAACATTTCATTTCAATCAATTAATATTTCTAATATTTTTAACGGAAATTATTTATTTTATAATTTCAGCAATTCCAAAAACGCGAAAATAAAACACAAAAACTTACAAATTAGTTGTAATCTCGCGGAAATTAAGCAAAATAAAATAGAAATCAAATAAACAACAATAAAAAATTAGAAACATTTTTAGCCAATGGATTCTGTCGACCGACAATTAGTAATTTAATTTAAATTCTGGAAAACCGGGAAATTTGTGTATGCGCTAATACAGCCCGATAATAAACTGTGCAGCTCCATACCGGTCAGCAAAATCTTATGAACATTTGCAAATGTACTAGAAATATAGATCGTAACAATGAAACGATTTTCATCACAAGTGTTCCCAAAAGTTCAGCCGGAAGGTTGGATTAATTGCCGTGCGGAAGCGCCATTCATTTCCGCTTGCGCTCGCGAAGTCTTCAAAATCACTGTGAAGCGAAAAGGAGTCGTCGAAGCGACTTGCAGTAGCAGCAATCGAGCGGGCGAAAGTAATTTGGCAGCAAGTAGGTGCCGTGCAGTGAGTCTATTCCGCACTGACAATTGCTGCAGTGATCGACGTCGATTCCAACTCTCTCCCTACGACTGCTGTTGGATATTGAAGGCGAAGTTGTTGTGCTTGTCGCCGCCGCAGTTTTTGCCGGTTTTCACGATTACTTGTGCTTTCGCGGTTATTCGCGATCATTCGCGATTATTTCACTGAAGAAAAATCCCATTGGCTCCAACGTCAATGTTTCAACAGGCACGTTTAACAGACTCCACGCTGAAGTGTTTGTGCGACGGTCAGTCGGATAGGAGTCATCGATAGAGTCGTTAAGCGATGAAGTGGTGCTTTTTAACGTGTCTGCTCGGAATATGTGATTTTTCGTTTTTCCCCTTACATAGCGGAAATATTGTCGCAATATATAGAAATATTTTATTTGGTCGTAAATTAGGCGATTTGGCCAGTGAGCACCTTTCGATATCTAAGGAATCAGATTTTCCTCCACTGGAAACTGGAAATCTGTAGCGAATTTGCAGACTGGCGAAATCCCCATTATCTGTAGGCTTTTCTACAAATCTTTCTCCCGCAAAGCTTTATGAAATTCAGTTAAAAACTGATTTTGTACAAATGAAAAATGTCAAAAGACACCTTATGCTGTCAGATTACGGTAAGTCGTGTGGGCCTAAAGGCATTTTCGCTGAATGTTTTTCAACATTTTTGTAAAATTGCGAACCAAAATGGCTAAAAATAATTTATGTTTAGAAGATTATTTACTTATTTTCTCTCCAAATTCGTTAGTTGTATGGCGTTTTTATAAAACAATTCGGTTATAAAAACGGGTTTTCCTTCATTTTAAAATTCAAAGTCAAACCAACCCTCTTATTTCTCCAAATTTTTCTTAACTGTGCGATTAAACATAATAAAAATAAGAAATTTATTAGCAATGCATAGGCTATAACCTATAACTAAATTTTTCTATATTTTTAATTCGACTCTTTTAAGCGCATTTCCCGGTCTTCCAGAGATTAGATTTTCATTGGCCTTGGTTTTCTTTCTGTCGCTTTCTTCATTTTTAAGAAGGAAAAAGGCGAAAATTTTAGAGTTCTGTAGCGATAAAATGCAGATAAAATTTATCAATCGAAGAACTTCACACCCATTCCCATATTTTTCAAAATTTCCATTATAACGCATAATTAATTCCTAATGCGCTAAAGTCAGAATAAATCGCGAAGTTCTGCAAATAACGGGAATTAATAGCAATGAAAACGGCCTCTCAGCCTTCCTTTCTTCTTCATTTGCAGCGCTTTTAGCAGAAACATTTTTGCGAATTGACCGTTAACCGATGCCTTCGGTCGATGATTTGTCTTTTCATTAATTTCCAAAGAAAAACATGCAAATCTGAAATAAATAATCGGTTTTTTTCATAAAATAATTCAATTTTCGCCAAATTTTAATATGGTTCAGATCGCATTCAGCGTTTTTCAAAATTTATTCGTAACTTTGAGTGGAAAATTTGGGAACATTAACAGTTGAAACCAGAGAAAAAGCAAAAAGCTCTGAAATGGAACAAATCAGAACCAACGGAAAAAATTGACCTGGAACAGTGGAATATAAAATAAACGAGAAAAAAGGAGGAAATTTCCCTTCGAAAAATAGATTTCTGCAAAAATTTTTTTTCCTCATTTCTTCAAAATTCCTCATTTCCCATAAGTTGCATTCATATATTATTGCGATAAAAAAAGCAAATTCTTATTTTTCTTAATTTTTCAATTACCCTGAATTTCCTACCCGATTTTGATATATTTTAAAATGCATTCATTTTAGATATACGCTAATAAAAATGGATAGCAATAACGAAAACAAATCCCTAAAAAGAATCATAAAAAATAAATAGCACAGAATATTTGAAATGTTTTGTGCTATTTATTTTTGACAAATCCATTATATTTTTTCCTTCCTTGAAGAAATGATTAAGATAATAACTATGAAAATAACGAAGATTTTGGAAAGAAATCGAAGATTCTAAAGCGAAAATTTTGGTGAAAACTGAGTTGAGATCATCAATGATGCACTTAAATAGCTTTGGACAAGCCAACAAGTATTGCGCCAGTAAGCGTAATGCCTATAGCAGAGAAAAGAATTTGCATATTTCGAGCACCTTGAATCTCCCGGAAATAAAAAACACTCCATAAAGCAGCGCAAACGCCAGGTACCATGCTATTTATTGGAAAAGATATTGACTGTGAAATACGGTCGTTTGCAAAAAACCTATAAAAAATATTTTAGGCAAATTAGTGAAATTTCTATAAGTTGCATTATATCGAAGAGCTGCCTATAATTTTTTTAAATTGGATTCCTATTCTCTGCAAAATCATTCAAATAAAATAATTATGCATAAAACTTGAAATTAAATTCGATTTTATCTAATTAGAATAAATTTCGGAAAAGCTACCATGCGAGTTGTGCAACTGACCACAGCGTCCCCGTCAGGCACGCTGGTAGCACGATCTGATTATTAATGAAGGGGCGATTGCGTTTAAATACGCAGTAAATGAGAAATATAGAAGTTGTTGTAATTAATATCCCACAAAAATGAGAGAATACGTAATCCAATCCATTTTGTGATGCCTTAAAATAAATTCATTTAAAATTGTGCTAAAAATGCAAAAAAAAAAGAAAAATAAATGTTTAATGGATTGCATGAAAAAGTTACAATTATAATTTAATTAAAAAATATCAGTAGCAAGACTCGAAAAAAATACTAAAAAATATACCTTATACCTTATCATATACCTTATCATACCTTATCATCGTGCTGCTGAATATAGATTACGGGAACGAAAGTGGTTCCATAGAAAACACCAGCAAAGAGCGACAAAACAATACCACTGAAATAATTTTATTTTGATTTCTTGTTTTTAATTAATTAAAATTTGGAAAGTATGATAGCAACATTCTAATTTTCAAAGTTTAATGAAATAGAAATGGAGTGCTGATAAATATCTCCGATAAATACGATATAAAGAAACATGCAGAACACAATTTCACTTTCGAAAGAACAAATTTTTTTACAAAACACAAACAATAAGTACTCAAAAAAACAAACAGAAGCCTTTTATTAGAAGGTGAATTTGGCGAAGGTCGAATAAATTGAGTAGTTTCTCCCTGATCAGCTGTTTCAATACGAACAATGGAATTAGACAAAGTGATATCCCTAATAAATTTATAGTTTTTTGCAGACGTACATGACGAAAATTTAAAACCGCATATAATTTTTGCTTTACATTGGAACGCCAGTCATAAAGACAAGTCATGTTAAATGTAGCGCCTAAAGCACGTTTTTGAATTTAATGGACGATCGAATAAGAAAAACGAACCGAACTCTTTTATTAAGAGGTGGGTCACGCCGAAGTTGGTCAAATTCACTGGCTTCTTCTTGATCAGTTGTTTCAATGTGAATAGCGGAATTGGATGAGGGCGCCAGACGTGAAGTTGACTTAACTCGGGAGAAAAATATACCGCTATAAACAAAAAGTTTTGATAAACTTTAGAATTTCGGAAAAACTTTCTTCAAAACAAACCCCAATATGACAAGACCGAGTCCAATATAATTCAATAAAACGTTGTTCGGAACTTCCTTCTTTAAGCCAAACAGACCATATCGACTACTCGCCCAGCCACATACACAGTTGGTTACCCCCCACAAAAGTACGCCCATACCCAAACCTATCATCGATATAATTGGTATTGCTGTCGCATTACCTGAAACATTACACAAGAGTTTGTAATTCGATAATGTCAAGGGTGCTGTCAATTTTCATATTTTACTTAATGCTACAGTGAAATGAAAAACACTGTCAACTTCCTATCATAAATTCTTTCTTAAATATAAATAAATAAGGTAAATAAGGTTTTATAAATATAACAAAAATTTATAAAACCTTATTTAACCAAAAAACCAAAAAGCAATTGAAACAAAAGAAAGAAAAAAGCAAAAGATCCGACAGTGTTAAACATTTCATTGACATTACCAATATGAAACTCAAATCTTTGATACGACCGACAAATGAATTGGAAAAAAATGTTTCAAAAGTTTTTTTTATCGTACGAATTCTCTTCAATATTTATTTTCCCCTAAACAACCATTAATTATAAAAATTCAAACATATTTCTGAAGGATAATAGATTTCAAAGAGAAAATTTTAAGCGATGCTTTAAAAAATTCACCGATAGCCCAAAATATTCCGCCAAGCATTGCAAAGGGCTGAAATGCAGGAAAACCTCTGGCAGCACTGACTATCATTCCAAACATAAATATGGCCGTGCCAGTTACCCACTGCGCAAAGATTCCTGTTAATTTCAATTTGAATATTATTCAGAATTTATTTCTTATCGATAATCTAAATATGCATAAAGTGATTGCACAAAGTGATGAAATAAATTTCGATGACCAGTTCTTCAAATAAGAGACTTCAAAGAAAAGAAAAGTACCATCGCCAACATCGAACTTTTTGAGTGGTACAAACATGGAACCAAAAAAGGTAGATGAAATGGCACAAGCAACGAGACCTTCAATAACGTCCAATGTCATCTTTGCTGAAAAATTTTGATGAAAAATTCCCTTTGGAGACAAAAGCAAAAAAAGACTTAAAGCATAATTAAGAAAATCAAAGGTCTTTCCACTGAGAGATGATCAGATAGTTTGTAGCCCAAATATCGCACATTATTTTGCCAATAAAAACACAAAATAAAAGCCGAAAAAATACCCGCCAATACATAGTGAAAAAACCCCCTATAAGACCCTTAAAATCCGTTGCCTCCGTCTGTTATACTCATTCTTAAGTCGTATTTTTTGCATTCTAGAAACTGCCATATTTGTTAAGCAAGACGATGCAAGAAACCAGGAAGGTTATAATCAAGACTATCGTTCCAGTGATACGGCCAGGAAAAATTTTGAACCAGAAAATGGCTCAGCCATATTTGGAATTCGACAGTGGAGAAATAAACGGTTTACTCCAAGCAAGGCATCGGACTTCGCGGTTCCAAATCGAACCAAAAGTTCCGCATGCCGTTAAGTGTTGTCATACATAATAATTGGATAATTTCTTAAAATATTTATTTTAATTAGTTTTATAATATTAATTTCTTATTCTTATCTTAGATTAACTGCCACATTTCACTGGAATTATTAATATTAAATATTAATAATATTATTCTATCAGTAATTTTTCATCGAATTCAGTGAATAGCTTCACAATTAAGAAATATTTCTTATAAAAGAAAAAATTGTCGAGTAGCGATAACTAAAAGTTATGTTACTTAAAGTTACTACATCCTCGTGGTTCCTCAGTAAGATTTCGGGGTTCAAAGATCTGCTTTCTTCATCTGACTTTCGATATTTACCACGGAATTTACCACGGAATCAACCATTATAACGAAATAAAATAAAATAATAAAAAATCCGATAACCATAAATGTGTCACTCAAAAATCGGAGTTATTTCGAGGACCCTTCTAGGTTTCTGTCTTCCCCTGGACCCCAAACAATTTCTCATCGTGCTAACCACTCAATTACTTAGATGTAAGAAACAAATAAAGTCTTAAAGGTGCGACACTAACGCTTCTCACTGAATCATTAGGCGAATTAAAAACACTTTCCTTGCATCATCTTCGCTCAGTTGACAAATTGTTTAAGGCAGAGACCTTTCCAATTAAATGATAAAATGATCGAATGAATATGTAAAGAAAGGTAGCGAAAAATGCAATGACAAATACTAAAAATGAAGAAATTCATCGCAAAGAATGCAAGTAAGTATTGCTAATTGATTAATTATTTCCGCAAATATAATTTTTTAAAGAAATAATAAAAAATAGGAAAAAATTGAGCTGAAAATTATAAAATGAAAGTCTTAAAAAGTATAATAATAAGAGAGAAATAGCTGAAGGCATTTGCTAACCAAATGCCCTCGTTTCAAACATAATTTTTCAGCAAATCTTTGCAAAAAAATACTTTTACCAGACAGTAAAAACTTGTTGAATAAAAAAACTTTGAATCGAAGCACGGTGATTCCACTCAATGTTCATGACATTTCATTTAGAGCCACTGAATAAGCCAATTTTTATTTTTCAGTTTCATTTTCAGTGAAATTTTTTTTGCTTCTTCTTTATTCGACAATCGTTTGACTAAGAATCATATTTTTTTCTTCCGGAATTTTATGGCGATTAAAAAAAATTATGGAAAAATAAAAATTCCAAAATCCTAAAAAATAATTTCACGGCGAATACCTTCACATATTCAACAGAATTATTGAATGTATCTAAAACTTTATTGAATATCATAAAATCATACACTACTTAATCATGATTCAATTGAACAATAGAAAATATTTGCAAAAAAATAATTTCGACCGTAATAAATTTTTAATCATCCATTCTGGGAAGATGGAATAAAGAGGAGTCTAAATGGTACCAAGCGAGTGTACTGGAAATACAAAGCTCAGAGCTCGATATTCTGTTCAATTATTCAAATTATTATTTCTCTAAGCAAGAAATATATTTTCATTTAATGAAAACTAACGAAAATTTTTTTTCATAATTTTTATAATTGATTAAAAATATTGAATGGAAATCAAAAAAAAACTAAGACCTCATCTCGTCCTTTAATTTAACTACTGTCCTCGAAAAGAAGACTTCTCTTTTTCAATTACTGAAAAAAATAGATGATCCCGAAGCGAATCCAAATTCACCATAGTGAAAATAACAAATATCTGGGATAGACATAATGAACTGCCATAAGAAAACAGCAAGGCTTCAAACATAACCAAGAGGAAAAACAAAAGAAATGCGATCGGTCCATTCGTACCCTTTAGCACGTTCAATTTGAAAGATGATCTGCCAAACAATAAATATCACTATCCAAATTGCCGAACCAATCATTGAGCCAAGCACATCTAAAAGTTAAATATCGCAGATATTGTTTAATAAAAAATTAGCTCTCATTTAATAAAAAACAACTTATAACCATTAAGTCAAAAATTAAAAAGTTAAATAAAAAATGTGGAAGCAATGTTTCAATATTTATTACAAATAATTTAAGATTCTTGAGATTTGACATTACTACAACTTTTTCAACTTTAAACACCTGATTTTATAACTTTACTAGCGAATTTAATGATGAACAAGCGAACGAAATTCGTCAAACGCTATTTATGATTTTTAATCTGCTCAAGAATTTTCGACCTTAATGTAACTAACATTTCCTGAATTGCTTTTGTATAGCAAATGATTGTTCAAGAAAAGCACAATGAAAGAAACATGCAACATTCACGATCCATACCAAAGGCAAAAACGCAAAACCAACATAAAAATATCGTCGACATAAATCCAGTTTATCTACCGCCGACATCTTTGATATATCCATTACGTTGGTTCTAAATTCTAAAGTTCTAAAAAAGATTATAAAATTCAAAGAAAGAAAAACATTTAAGCGGCAAAAAAGATTTCACTAATTTATTTCCTAATTTCCTCTATTTCTTCTTATATAATCATCTTATGCAACGAGTAGCGAACACATGTTTCTGGCAAATGTTCTTTTTCCCATTTTAATGATAAAAATGAAATCGTTGAAGAAATGAAATAAAAAATATTATATATATAAATAAAAAAATTGCATATATAAATAAAAAATAAAATAAAAATGAAATATTCTTTTTAAAAAAGTTGACGAAACCGAAAAAACATTGCTTAAAAATAATTTGCTATATTTATTGCATTTATTTATAAAAACAAAATAAAAGGAAAGTATTAAAAAAATACTAACAAATATGAGACATCAAAACAGTTAAGGTGGCAGAAATTATGAATACAAAAGAATAATATCGAGCAATCAACAACTGTGAATGATAAATAATTTTCTAACTTCCGATTATATTTTACAGAAAAATTTGCGCCTATGAAGGCTATTTTATTATCACTTATCTCTTATTATAAACAAAATCCTATAAAAATAAAAATCCGATTAATCATCACCGAACGTCGTTTCTTTAATTTCTTCATTTTCGCTATCAATGTCTTTGATATTATCAAACCTGGTCAATATCGAGGTTGTCATTTTGCGAATATCACCTGATGGTTTTACACTTATAGTACCTGCAGGAATCAACTCTCTCAAGATTCTGGAAAATAATGATCTTATTTAAAGAAAAATCGACTAGAATAAAAGGGTATAAATCATTTTTCCAAAAATATTTGTAACTACAGATCGCATGGTAACTATAAAAGGATAAATGATTTTAAATTTTTAAAAAACCATTCCAAAAAATCATATTTTCCATTCTTTTATTTGTGTTTTTACTATTCATTAGTCCAATAATAGAAATTAACAGATAAATTATTTCAATTTCTATTCAATTTTTTTCCACAGAAAATAATTTAAGGATTTTATTCGACTTTTACCTGTTTCTCCTAAGCATTTTCCAGTAAAATTCTTTTCCCCCATAACAATGATCGGGCGAAGTTTGAGCAGCGACTGAATCCGCATGAATATTACATACGAATCTGAAAGAAGCGAAGGTAACCAAAAAAAATTTACAGCACGACACTTTCCATATGTATATTAAAATGTGTTGCTCAAAACCCAAAATTCATAATTGTGAAAAATTTCACAAAAAATATTCGACATGAATTTCGCTATCAAATAAGGTAAGGTATTTTTTAAGAATAAGTTCAAAAATATTTTTTAAAAAGGCAATATAATTGATACAATGTAATTGAATAGATGATTGAATGGTACTTAAGAAAACATTCTGAAGTGGAAAAATAGACCGATAAACTAATTAAAAAACTAAAAAAAAGTAAAACTGACTTATACAATTTATACCACTGTAAACTACCAAACCATGCGAAAAGAAGAAAAATAAGATAAAGGGCTATAAAAGAATGAAATGACTGCTGAAAAATTTTCCTTTGATGCATCCAATAGGTAAATATTGAAGAAAAGGTAGAAAATGTCGCCCAAGAAAGTGCTCGAGTTATATATGCAGCGTAACCATCATACGTACAGAGATCACGAAGCACCAGGAATTTTATTTCCTATAATACGAACGAATAAAATATATTTCTTATAGCATAACATCCCCTGAATGCTGGAAATATAAGGTTTGATTCTCATTTCTAAATGAAAATAAATCTAAGAAAATGAAATTCGGATGGTGTTGAACCTTTAACTCTGTTAAAGAATAATTCTTAGAAGAAAAAAACTCATTCAAGAAAAAAGTTTAGTCCACAAATGATAAGCATTCTTAACAAAACTAACTTGCTCGCCCAGCACAAATGTTTTCGCGATCTCTGTACCGACATTTGAATCCCATAAAATACGAACTGGTTCTCCAATGAAATTTAATACTTTTAAATTACTTTTGCAATATTCAATAGCTTCATCTAAATTACGTAGTTGAGTATAAAACGGTAAGGATATACGAGCACCAAATCGCACTCCCATTGAACCATGTCCAATTGTGTCCATTACTAAAAATAACATCATTTAGAAATTTTTGTATATAAGGATCTTAGAACAGATTTTTGGATATTACCCCTTAATGATTTAAATGAACGATTCTAAAAACGGCTTGCCAAAATCATTGAAAAAACTTCTAGAAACTGTAGACCCTTCATAATCCTACCATCTGAGGACGAACAACTAAAATGGACAACAGCATCCTTCGGTGATCGAGATTCCCTGTCCAGCCACAATTTATATTGCTAAAAACAAGCATAAATAATTTTTTAAATAATTCTTTTAAATAATACATATTTATCAGAATCCTTTAACTTTTTATATAAATATTACCAATCTATCAATAATCAACAACCACTCAAATAAACTAATTAATCTATCAAAGAAAACGTACTGAATCAACGATTGCGCGAAGATGTTCAGGAAGATCACTACTCGTTTTATATCTCCATGAGAAGTAATATTTCAAAAGTGGTCCATTAAGCAAAAGTGTTCCGATGGGATATACCACGATCGTAGCACCCAGAACGCCAAATTTTCCTATCCTTCCCCATTTTGTATTTAACCAGGTTTTCGATTCAATTTTTCGCTTCATTTTCACAAAACTTCGCCTTGATAAGAGGAGAATTTGGATTAAAAACAAAGTAGAACAACATTATCCTAACTCAGCAAAATTTCTTTAAACTTTTACGCTTCGCGCTTCAATTTTCACTTGTTTTACGGTAAAAACAATAGGGAAAGAAAAGATTATGCAATAAAAATAATTAAATGATGAACTCAAAATAAACTTGACGATGCAAACTGAGTAATAAATATTGTCGAGTCTTTTATTTATTAATATCAAAATATAGTCTTTTAAACAATAGTATAAATGTTCTTTTAATCAACAGCTATCAAAACAAACGCAAAAGCTTCAATAAAAATTTGCAAATAAAACAACTCTAAATAATTTTTTAAGAATTCTACTATTTCCATTATATTATTATGCTTGCTGAATAAGGAAATCGCAATTAAATATAAACTAAAAGAACTGAGAAAATATGAAGATAATGACTAAATATGAAATACCACTACCACGAAAGGTGAACAACAAAATTTACAGATAAATTACGAACGATTTAACCGCACAAAATAAAGGACAACGATTAGAAATAAATTTACATGTTTTATCTTTCTATATATATATATATATAAGTTAAAAAATGTGAACAGAACAAAACTAACTAATTAACAAATTTTTGAGCATTTAAAAATGTTTCAAGAACTTTAACTCTTTGTGAATAAGGCCATGGTTCTTTCGCTATATCACCATTTGCTTTAAAGAACGATTTATTATCCATTACTGAGCGTAAAAGCTGATTTAATTTAATTGAAGATTCGAAATATTCACGAGCACCAACGATATAATCATTAGACCTTAAAAATATTATGTTAAATAATATTAATATTAATATTATTTTATTAATGCAAAAATTTCATTCCTTCCTTTCTATTCTTCAAATTCAGCTATATAATTCAGATGAATATAATTTTCTTCCAGTTTTTATAAATAATATACAATAAACCATAATATCCAGTTTTATTTACGGTATTTTGGATAAAAAAAATCAAATTCAAAAAAATTTACCACCTAAAATTCAAAATTAAGAAAACTGACTGAAAATTAAACGACAAAATATTAAAAAGAGAGAAAAAAAATTACTTTTTATACGTCTCAATATCCAATTTCTTTTCCCTATAAACGATATAACGAGGATAAAAGCTGTAGAAAGCAGAAACTGCCAACATGAATGAAAATAACAAAGATAAGTAAGGGTCAGTAAGTTTCGATAAATTCGAAAATATCACGAAACCCGCAATAAAACAAATACACCATATGAACATTGGGAGCAAGAAAAATTCACCGCTAAAATATGATTTATTTAAGTGATTAATAATCAATTAATTTAATGATGATTTGAAAAAAAATTATATAAGTCTGAAAAAGATCGATGCCGATATTTATGGTATTCGAACTCTCGAAATGAGTAAACTCACTATTGAATGAAATATGGCTGGTTCATAGGAACGAATTGTTTTTAATGATAAGCTTCGATGTTTTTCTCATACTCACTTTAAAAAATTCACTATGAGAACGGCTAAATCTAAGAATTTTTATGGAGAAATTTACCAATTAAGCTTCAAAACGTTATTTAAATTTCATTCTCAATGATTTCGACTAAACAAAGAAAAAAACCTATTGGCACGATGCAGTTCTCGCTGAATAAGAAAACGAGTTGAAGCTTCTGTCAGTGGCAAGTTATCAAATATTTTCTGACCCAAATTTGTTGATAAATCGAATACCTGCTTAGTTCTGCAAAGCATATCTTATTATTTGTAAATTACGAATGGCTTCCTTTTCAAATCGAAGTATTCTAAACAAAAAACACAATGAAACAAAAACTATGACCAATAGTAGATCCACCGAATCAACCGAACTGTTCTTCAGACCGAGCGATTAAATTGTAAAAATACAGATAAAATTACAAAATAGCATTACTTTAATGCTCCTGAACTTATTGCAACGACATTCTTAAATTCATCTTGTTTTTGCTCAGAGCAATAACGAAGAGCCGTTCGAAAAGAAAGTTGCATATGTGCTCCTCTACTCAAAAAGAAACCACCATAAGTGAAAGCATCTGAATTGCTCGATAAACGAACAGTAAACTGAAAGAAATGAAATGAAAAGGTTCCAAGATCTGCAAAAATTTGCATATTGTAAACTGCAGATCTTAGTGTATTATTTCTTCCAAAAAAAATATACAATTATATACTAAGGAGAGCAATTTATTTATCACTGCCAGCAACCGTTCCTTGTGCTCCTTTAAAGTCCCCATAATTCTTTTATTTCCCTCAGTATCTTCTTATTATAATAGTAAATGCCTCTTTTCTAGGGAGCTGAAAGCTCGGGCAACATTTAACATATAATTTCAACTTAGTCGTTTTGAATTCTGAAACATCTAGTTGCAACAGCCAGTTACATTCAAACTTTTAACTCAAATGAAGAACAAATCTTGAGCTGCACCGATCATATGCCAAACCCAGTGGAAGCCCTATAGAATCTTTTTCCTAGTTTTGAGGTCATAACCCTTGGTGCTTCTGCCACCTCTGGGACCTGGCACTAGCACCTTGGACTAATTTCGCGATAATTAAATCCCCAACTAGGCATTCTTCAATAGAACACTAATAAGCACTTCAGCGCGTTTCAAGCTGGAATTTTTATCCAGTTCATCTTCGACAATTTCGATTAACTGCACAGGCAACGGAATATCCAAATCACCAACGAACATCCACGAAATCCACTTTTTATCCCTAAAAGAATTTTCAAGTCTTTGGAAGTGCTAAACACAAAAATCTCGTTGTTGACGAAGAAGGCCGTACAGACAACGATTTAAAAACAAAAACGCTGCTGATAATAACGACTAAATGAGCAGTAAGAAGAGAAAATTAGCAAAAAACTGACCTGAAGCCATGCACAGCAACATAAGCCAACGGGAAAACAGGGATCGAGGCCGAGAACAAATGTTTCGTCCAATGCCATTTCGCCATCGCTAATAGCCGAACTCAACGGAAAGAACCGGCGATGTCAACGGCAGTACGGAAAAATCGTCACCGACAACTTTCATCTCTCACTTTGGGATGATCGTAAATCTGCCTATTATTTACAAAACCGCCATTTAGCATTTGGCAATGTGCCAATAAAATTTAAACTCACCAATTGACCGCGAATTTTTAGCAAAAATTATGAATAATCCACGAATTATCCGTGATTTGGAATTATAAGGAAAAGGGGAAAGGTTTTTCTAGAAGAAATTCACCAATTTCATCGAAAAACAATGGAAAGAGAGAGAAAAAGTATTTCAGCCATTGAATCTAAAATTAGCAGCGAATAGCTTTTCAAAGGCCATTCGTCCACTCATTGGCCACGTTCTCAAACGTCGATGGCTTCTTAACACTCGTCCACTCTCATTGGCCACGTTCTCAAACGTCGATGGCTTCCTAACACTCGTCCACTCATTGGCCACATTCTCAAACGTCGATGGCTTCTTAACACTCGTCCACTCTCATTGGCCACGTTCTCAAACGTCGATGGCTTCCTAACACTCGTCCACTCATTGGCCACATTCTCAAACGTCGATGGCTTCTTAACACTCGTCCACTCTCATTGGCCACGTTCTCAAACGTCGATGGCTTCCTCATTGATCATTGAGATGTCTCACAGTCGTGTAATAGTGTCGATTTTTTATAAACACTATAAACAAAGACAATTTATTGTGAAAAATTAAATGAATTAAATAATAATGGTTAATGGTTCGAAAATTAATGAAAAACAAGTCAGAAGGTTGTAATAATTATTTTTTAAGAGAATTTTTCTGGTTTTTTATCATTATTTACTATCACCAACTGTTAAAATCATTAACAAATTATATAAAAAATTCTGATTAAATGAGTAGCGTGGTGACGAATTAACGATGATTTTATCACTTGAAACTATTTGTGCTGTGATGAAAACCCTGCCCTGTGAGAATTATATTGCTGTGCTATTTAATTCTTATCAATTAAAATAACTTAATGATTATACGAAGCTAAATGACATAAAATTATCGCAGAATCACGGCTAATATTAAGAAGAATAATTATCACTAATGTTCTTTTTTTACGAAAATTTAATCACTGATAACAAATGATGATGAGTAAAGAAAGGTGCGATAGTTCTTTGCCTTCTAAGATCTTCGCTCAAAATATTTACAACGACTTTTTTAACAGTCACCATTTCATTGCAATTAATTAGCCTCAGTTATCAGCGGTGGTACGTGTACGTGGTTTATGCATGTGTTTATAAGTAGTATGCATGTGTGTGTATGTGCATTTGTGTATAAGTATGTGTGTGTGTGTTGTTAAAAAAGAAAAAGAAATTATCCCTAGCAAATGGAAAAATTTTTTCAATATGTAATATCGAAGTTAAACAGCAACCATTGTGTTTTAAAATTTTTATTTTTACTTTAAATATGTATCATAATTAGCCTTTTAGTTTTCAGTTTTGTCATTAATTTTTTCGGTTGTAAAGATTTTTTTTCAAAAACATATAATTCAAAAATGTATAAATTGATGTACAAAATTGTAGGTGTATAATTTAAAATATTTAGTGGGAAGAAAAATTCCTTGAATCATTTTGGCTTCGATTGTTTAATCCGATAATCCTCATTAATCTTTTTTTTCGGAAATCGTTGGATATCTTATCTTTTCGATGAATAATTATCTTTTCATAGCGTCATCGCTAATTTGCAACCGAAGGAAAACTTTTTATGAAATAAATGGTTATAGGCTGAGGCATGGCGCTTGGGGCCTCGGTGGTTATAGGCTGAGGCCTAGGCATGGCGCTTGGAGCCTCGGTGGTTATAGGCTGAGGCCTAGGCATGGCGCTTGGGGCTTAGGCTTGCGCCTTGAAATGCAAAAATATAAAATGATAAATCAATTTAAAAAATTGATGGTCATGCGAATGTTTTTCTTCCTTATGATTATTGCTCTCGTAGCCGTTTTTTTTGTTTGATTTTTCATTTTCATTTTATTCATCATTCATTTCGTTTAAAGTTATCTGGCAAGTGATCCAACGATTTCTGCGATTTCCGAAATCTTTTCAGACATATTTCATGAAAAGTTATAGAAGAAATTGGAAAATTATGTTATATATGTTAATAAAAATTGTAAAAATAATATTTACAATGTCAGAATGCACCAAAAAATTTGATAAAGTATGGGGAAAATTCAATTCATTATAATCATTATTTGCATAATTTTCTGGATTTGAAAATTTTCTTTTTCTAACCATTTCTGATTTAGAATGGCTCTATTGACTAATAAATTGTTGCCTGGGAGCCAATTAAGGAAAAAAGTATGATTGGATGCAGCATTGAGATTTCATTCGCGATAGGTTTTCCTCTGAAGAGATAGGAAACGAATCCATGATAGTCCTTTAAACCAGAAAAGTGTAGCGTTGCGATTCGACTGTGCAATTAGAAATTGAAACGATGAATTAAAACGGTGAAGAATAGATAAAAATACACGCGAGTCGCTAGCATCACTCGATTCTTGGACAATTTGTTCTGCTACGGGAAATAGAACCTCAGCATTCCAAGTTGAGAAACATCCCATTTAGCCATTCTATGCCAAATTATGGCCGTTAAATTTCATGTCCAATAATATCCAATTATTCCTCCTGTCCAACCGCTTTTTTGCCTTTCCATTCATTCATTTTCGCATAAACTTTGCATAATTCTTTGATTTTTGCACAATCTGCAAATTATTAAAACATAAATTCTTTAATCTGTTTCATCTTAAAATTTATTATCATCGAGCATTATGAAAATTGAGCTGAAGAATTCCGGATTATAAGAAACTGAAAAAAGATTCGATTTTCGCTCACTTAGAGTAAACGAATTTGTTGTAAAATCATAAATAAAATGGAGGAATTTAACTGAAAAGGTGAGGAAAATGCTGAATATGAATACGAGAGCACTCTGGATGTTGTAACAAAAGTGTTGCTGCACCTAATCCTTTAAATTTTCCGTCCTCTATTTCTAATCGCCAGCCCATCTTTACTATTTTTACACAGCACATTAAAACCAAGAATGACGTACATTTACACCAGATGCAGCCCTTCTATACGAACGTTTTTATTATAAGAAGCCTTCGGAGTTATTTATCTGCTATTTTAACATCTCACTGAATTTGTTTATTTATTAAATTTTAAAAAGTTTCTATTGAAATTCCTTAAATTCTTTGAATTTAGAATCACTCGTTCCTTAAGCATTGACTAATTTTGTTCCTTAGTCTGCTCTCCTTTTCTGTTTTGGATTTCCACTAACACTAAATTACGGAAAATTCTGCGCTGCTGGGTGATCCCCTATATTTCTGGCCAAGCAATCCGCCAAAAATTTACGACCATTAATGTCGGCAGACATTCGATGCATTTTTTTGAATTGTGTTCTGTTATTGTCGTTATACTTGAAAAGTATCAGTGGATTTATTTTAAAATTTTACTTCATTGCATTAATTTGAATTTCAGAAAATTTCAATGTCGGATGAAGAGGAGCAATAGTACGTTTATAAATTTCTTTGAATTCAAATAAACTGATTTCGTTATCAATTATCAGTTGTTTCTAAAATATACTTGATGGCCACAGTAAAAATTTTACCTAAAGGTATCCAGGATTCAGGATCAGGATTAGAAATCTCGCACAAAATGGGGGTAGAATGGTTCAATGAACTGTTGTTCAATTCAGAGCTCCAATATTAAGATTCTATTTCCCGCAGGAATGAAATCCCGTCCAAAAATCCGGGTGATGTTGGCGACTCACCTGTATTTCTATTGCCAAAGGACTCCCTGGTACAATTTTCTAGTGCGATAAACCAATCGAGTGACTATAACCAGTAATGGTGATGGCTAGAAAAAAAACCTTGCAAAGTGCATTCATAACTCTTGGAAAAACTGGTATTACTGAGGATTTATCACAAAATTGAATGCAATTATAAAACTGCAAAAATTTTTAGTACAGATGAAGAAGAAGAGGCTGAAGAAGATGAAGAGGAAATAGAGGAAGATGAAGAGCCGAATGTTGAGGAGCAAGAACCAACAAAAGAGATAAAACATGAAACGTTGATTTTTGAATCCTTTTTTTCCTTTAAAAAAAAATTATTAGATGCAATTAGATGAAATGGGATGATTCTGTAATTATAATATCTAATTGTGATTGATATTCACAAGTTCCATGATGAAACAGTTTTACTACAGTAATTTGAGCGCAAAAACAGAATGGATTTTCAGCACTACTCAGATTTCTTAAAAGTAGATTCGCCTCTGACGAGAACGACGATACTAAGCTATAGACTAAAATTAAATAAAGAATATTTCCATCAGTTATTTTTCCTGGAAGTATTGATATTCTTTCAGAAAGGAAACGGAAGTAGTTGAAACTACTGAACCAAGGTGTGTTGCGTTTCGTTTGATGAAATACTGTAACTGAAATTAGAAATCTCATTTACTACTAAAAATATTAAATATTAAATAAAAAATAAATAAATAAATAAAATAAAAAAAAATTAAGTTGAAATTTTTGAAATTTGCCATTCAATTAATATTTGATAGGCAAATAAAGACTTCATTGATAAATTAATCGACGATTAACAGCAATTCTTATCAATTATAAAGAAAAAAAGGCCTTTTGATGAAATTTTTTGATAAAATGAAAAACTTAAAGAAAAACTTATTTTAGACTTCGAAAAGCACCACCGCATGAGAAAGAAGAAAAGGAACCTGAGGAAATGTCTGAGGCTGCTAAAGCGATGCTTGTACTTTTCTAAATTTTTATATATACATATATTGCAAAATTATTTTTTACAATTCATTAAAAATTTAGGAATTTAGCAAATAAGTCAAATGGGCAATGTTAGACTCATTTTTTTCTGGAAATTCTGCTCGAGGAGCTCAAATGAAGATAATTAAAGATTTTTAAATCTCGCAAAGATTAAAGAGATGATAATTTAGAATTTTGCTTCGATATATATCAGGAATAGAGATAGAATGGAATGCTGCCCTCATTTCAGAGCTTAGGTGCTGAAGCGTCATTATCGGCAGAGAACCTGTCCTTCGAAAATTCCCGATGATTGGCGATTTGCTTTGTCGTCAGTCCTCTGGCAATATTTGCCTAATCTGATAAGCCAATGCCTTTAATGCCAGAAATGGTGAGAAAAAAAATATCATCATTATCATCGGAAGACATCTGCCATAGCAAATCCAAGTGGTGAAAAATCCAACGATGTTTCTGAATAGATCTTTATCTTTATCTTCATAGAAGAAATTTTATCGTACTTGCAGAAAAAACATTCGCAAGTTTAGCATAGTTATTACTTACCATTATTAGGCTGCAAAAAAGCGACATGAAGAAGAGGAGGCTGCAAAAATGCAAGATTATGAGGAGAAACGACGTGTAGAGCGAGAAAAAATTGAAGAAGAACTAAGAAATTTACGAGAAAAGCAAGAACGTCGACGTCAAGAAAGAGCTGAAGAAGAACGTGAATTCGCCGAAAAAATCAGAATGGCTGAGGAGCGTCGGCGTCAGGAAGAAGTAAGAATATTTTTTTGATAATAAGGGCAAACTATTAATTTGTCAGAAAGATGATAACCATAATTTATTCTTAAAATTTAAGGAAGACAGTAAAGCACGAATAGCGGCACAGAAAGTTAAGCGAGATGAGGAGCGTAAGAAAAGGCAACAAACGATTGCTGGTTCTTTAGCAGGTGCAACCGCATCCGGTGAAATTCGACCGAATTATATTGTTACTAAGAAACAAAATATTGATAAATTTGGTCCTATTTCACAGGTTTTTCTTTTGAAACGTAATTTTAAGAGAAATCATCCATCTATGCAGTCATCGAAATACCGAAGAATCCTCTCTTTCTTTTATATGCATGCATTATTTCTGGCGAGCTGGTACCATTAAATACCATTAAGCTAATTTTTCGCCAGTGATTAATTTGTAAATTTAATTGAAGGTGAATCCCTAACAATGGATTTCACTTGTAGTGACAGACAGTTTTACTCCATCAAGCGACACAAATAGAATTAATAGAAACTATTTGATCTGAGCGAAAACAATATATCGCTGAAGCACCGATCCTCTTCTCATGGCAAAATAATTTTTAGAAAACTGAACAAACTAAAGAACAGAAGGAAGAAGCTAAGCGGGCATTTATGGCGATCATTAACCGATTCCCTGACATAACAAATATGTTAGCCAACGACCTCAAAAATAATATAAAACAACTGTATCAACGTATTTGCAAACTTGAAGCTGAAAAATACGATTTGGAAAAAAGACATGAACGGCAAGAATACGACGTTAGTTCTCACTGAACTTATCAAATTCCTTAAAAAATTACGAACTGAAACTTTTTCGCCACGCACTGAAGCATACGATAAATACATTTTGTCCCAAGGAAGCGAAGTTCGATGAAACTGAGTATCAGTGCCAATATCTTTTCATTTTCATCAAAATCGGTATAGTCATATAATTTGATTTAGCCGTTCAATTCAGATTCAAACAGATTTTTTTAGCTAAAGGAACTTCACGAGCGGGAGAAACAAATGGCACGTAACAAAGCGCTCCAAAAAGGCCTCGACCCTGAGGAAGCTGCAGCCTCAATTCACCCCGTCTGTTAATAAATCGTCCTCTTTTTCAATATAATAAATCTCTATAGTATAAACAAATATGCAATTTCTTCTAATTTATTAATTAATCCTATAATTTATTTTGTTCAATTTTAGAATATTTATAATTATAAATTAGGGATTGGACGTTTTTAGCCAAAAGTTAACGTCGCTTCTAAATTTGATCGCCAAATTGACCGCCGCTCATACGGTGATCGACGAACACTTTTCGAAAATGTAATTTTTTTAAAATAATTTTGTCGATTATGCATTTATGCATTACGGTCAAGTCGAAGGCTATACGCTTTTTTCAGTATTTTTTTCGATATTGGATAAATAATTCATTGGTTCGATCTATCGGGCCGGAAGCGTAATAAATTAAATTACTTTTATGCGTTCCCTTTTCATAAACAATTTATTTTTTGTCTTCAAAAATAATTTGTGATTAATGTCAAATTCACTTTGTGAAAATTATTTCGAATGATATATTGTCAGGAAGAATTTAACATAGTTTAAGAACACAAATCATTCACAGGAAAAATAACAGGAAGAGAATAATGATGAATTTAAGCCCATTATTAAAAAGCCACCGAAAATCGTTCATGGAACTGCTCGGCCACCACCGGAATGGGGTCGCACTAGCAATGAAGAACTCGAGCAATTGCGAAAAGTTTTGGAGCCACCGAAATACGTAGAACAAGTGAAAGTCGAAGGAGCGAAACCTCCTGTTGAACCTATACCTTTATCTATTCCCGAAGTAAATGAGATCGACGTACATACATAATATAGTGCCTCCAGTGCAAGTGATTATTTAAATTATTTATCATCAATATGATAAGAGTCTTGGCCGAGAATTTCTTTAATGCGAAACCTATTAGCCTTTAATTTTTCAATAGTTCCTTCATTTTTAAAAATACAAAAATTAGTTGGCATTTAGTTGTATTACAATGAATCTTATAAATAAAGATTTATCTTATTAACATTTTGAGAAAAATTTTGGAAAATTTTTAAATTCCATATAAATTATTTATTACATTTTAATATAAACTTTGAATATTTATAGTCGATTTATATATCTTTTTTTGCAGGAAAAATAATTTCGACATATTTCCAACGAATTTTTCGATGAAACTTCTTAGTTTTTGCAAATTTTTCTTTATTTGCGCGAATTATTATTTTTTTCATTGCTATTTTTATAAACTATTAAAATTAGTATTGTTTCATTGTGAATTTTTTCAATGCCTATTCCTATTTATTCGAAATTAATAAATGAATAATGAAGGGAAGAAACGAAAAATTATTTAGCTGAAGTGAAATTTTTGAATGAATTTTTGATTTTTATTTTAATTTTTTTTAAAAATTTTTTGTACAAAATTCTACAATTATTCTTCAGCTTCGAGAATTTTTTCTTCGTTTTCAGCTTCGTCATCATCTTCCTGCAATTCTGATTAATTAATAAACGAAAGTGATCCATGATTAATATTCATTGCAGTCTGCATGATTTTTTCTTTCTATCAGTCTCCATATCGCTCCCAGCATTTTATCAGACAATCTCTCGTAAATAAACCAACGATAAGGCCGCTATAGATCACATTTTTTGAGAGGATGGTTAATAAATAATTTAAAAAGTCAATTTTAAGGTAAATTTCGCTAAAAGGTAAATTTCATTTAATGAGAGTCAGTGATTTGCTATGGTATTAGCCTTTAACAGTTCTTCATTTTTCAATAGTTCTATCTTTTTTAAACACAAAAAAATTAGTCAGTAGGTTTTCAACATTTGGTTGCATCACAATGAATCTTATAAATAAACATTTATCTTATCTTGAAAAAAATTTTGGAAAATTTTAAAATTCCGTATAACATTATAAATTATTGAATGATTTGATAGCAAATAGTTGGGAAGGCCTACTTTGAATATTTCACTTCCGATAGCAGGAATAACTCGAGCATATATCGTCGGTGGTGGAGGCACATTGGGAAAGCACGGATACGCGTTCTTCTAAAACATATCGCAAATAAGGCAAAGAATTCTGAATTTCACCCTTCAATAGAAAATCGAAATCCATAGCTATGATGGAGTACATCAGTAAATAAGAGAAATAGAAGGGACCACCGTATTTCTATAATTTTTTCATGGAGATTGAAATTACTTGGTCATAAACTGCTCGGCGTTCACTGAACGTTCGCCGATCAATTTGTCGTTCAAATTTGCTAATAACAGCTACTTTGGGCTGAAACACTAAACTAATTATAACAATCTTAAAACAATATATTTACTGGCAGGAAAATAGATCTCAAAGGAAGAAAAGTCAAAGAGTACAAACAGGATAGCGGGAATTTACTGAATCCGGATCGAGGCCTTTCTTCGCCGCTTTGCTACGAGCAACTTGCCGTTGGCGCTCATTCAATTCTCGAAGCTGCAATTATTGCCTGCAGCGAATAAAGAAAAGTTGTTAGCAAAACTATAAAGTATGTCCGATCAATTTTCACCTTATCTTCGATAGATTAATAAGAAATTTGAAAATAGGAAACGGAATTCAAGCCTTAGGAAACAGAATAAAAAGGAAATGAGCTGAAAGAGTTTTTAAGCATGTGGGCTTAATTTCGACTTTTTTCAAATGATTAAAGTTCGCTCTGAAGTTGATTCTGGAACTTAACGTGTGGATCTGACTTTTCCTAGGGGCTCTGTGAGAGCCCATAAAAATGATTGACGAGAGATCTTTTTAAGCGGAGAGCGAAGACTAATTATATTGGACAGAAAATGACGAACGAAAGGGCCCTATCAAAACTTTACGTCGTATTCTTGTCGTTCATGCCTTTTCATAAGATCATATTTATCAGCTTCAAGTCGACATATTCGTTGATGAAGTTGCTTTATTTTCTCTTTAAGGTCATTTAACGAAAGACCAGCAAAATCCAAAGTTTTTTTTATCGACTCCAAATGCGATCTTTTCACTTCCTCTTGTTGCTCTTTTGTCATTCCCATTTCTTGTTTCGCCTAAAATTCTCCATTGAAAAAATTTGTTGAAAGACGAAATGAAAATATGTTAAGCCGCTTAAAATACTAAAAAAGAATTTTGCAGCTCAAATAATTTGCATAATATTTTACTTGTACAATATTGCCAAATTTATTAGTCGCATTATCGCCAATTTTCCTCGGAAGAACGAAACTGCGTCCACCAGTTTGTGCGACGCCCACAAATGATCCAACGAGCATTTGCCGTTTCTTCTTTTCCTCCTCTTTTCTTCGCTTATCAGCTTCAATTTTGGCTTTCCTTTCTTCCTGAGAAATTCAATAATCTATCAATAAATTATTATATAATTATAACTCTTCCATTGAAAGTGTCTCAAGTGTTGGAAGAGAATCTCTTTTTCGTCGAACATCCACTTCTACTTTGGTTGGGTCCACCGATTATTGGGAAAAGCAATTTTGTTATTTGGGCACTGCGCATTTGGGCAGGTCCCTCCCCAGTTAGTCACCTATGTTTCACGTTTGAATGGCTTTCGCAAAAACGATCGAACTTATACTGCTTATGCTTCAAACGAAGCCATTTACCACTCAACCACAATCTTTAAAAACTAAAATCCAAAAATATTAAAAAAACCATATAACTGAACCTCTTCTTGACGATGGCGCTCTTCTTCTAACCGTTGTCGCTCAGCGAATTCTCGCTCTTCTTCCTCCCGTTCTTGCCTGCGGCGCTCCTGTTTCGCCTTCAGATTTTTTAGCTCCTGTTCTACTTTTTCTCGCTCGACTTTTCGATGTTCCTCATAATCCTGTAGCGCAGCAGCTGCCTCTTCTTCTTGTCGCTTTTTAGACGCCTTTATGAATTTATCATGAATATTTCAAAGAATTTAATCATTTCATTACAATATTCATATATATTTGAAGAGCTTTTTAAAATTATTGAGATTATTATCACTTTGCTGATCACTGCTTCAGTTGCTGAACTAAGCAAAATATTTTAGTGGATATAACATGGAATCATTTTATTTCTCAGGTTTTTCAGCCGACTGTTTATTATTTCAATAAAAAATTAATTTTACCAGCATTGCCTTTTCTGCTTCTGTTAGTGCCTCATTTTTATCTTTTTCAATTAGCTGCACTGTAGGACGATGCCTGAAATGAATAATATTTGGTACATTTTCATCGATCCTACAAAAATGGAATGCTTCAGCAACCTGGATTAATCGTCTTATTTAGTTTGAGAAAGTTTTGATTCCATATGAATAAATTTTCTGAGTGCTTTGTTTAAAAAAAGTGAATAATGGCCAAGCAAGGTTTACAGAAAAGGAAACCTCGTCTCCTCATTTAGTAATTCACCATCGGTTTCTTTTTCCTTAGGCACCGAGTTAACTCTGCTTTTTTCATAATCGTGTTCACTTAAACTTTCAGCTTCTTCTTCTTCAACTTCTTCTTCTTCATCTTCTTCCTCTTCTTCGTCATATTCTTCTTCATCAATCCTTATAAGCAAATATTATTTATTTTTTTCCTATAGAATTATCCTGTGCATGAAATATTTTCATTTATTTCAGGTATATTACTGTCTTAGGTCCTTGTTTTATAACTGAATAAAGAAAAGGAAAATAGGCAAGAAGAGGAACAGAAACTCTTTTAATTGTCCACAATACAATAATAAATTGAATAAACTATAAACAGCAAAATACTTACGATCCTTCCTCGTCAGCCATTTTTCCTCCTTAATTTTTTTTCCTATAACGATAAATTAAATGTGAAAAAAATCGATTTGATAGATTGATTATCACGAAATAAGCAAATTTAAAGCAAATAGTTTTTTAACGGTAAATGGAAATGAAGAAATGAAGTTTTGCTTAAAAGTTTCTTTGCGAAGAAATTTTTATTTTTTGAATGAAATTTTCACCAAAGAAAGATGTGAATCTTATCGCTGCTAAAATATTCCCATGAGAAATATAGTCAATCCAATTGGGAGCAAATTAAATCAAAAGTGGCTTAGAATGCAATATTCCATAAGACTTAAGCCAAGAGACTTCTCGACATTTCGATTTCCACTCGGTTTCTTTTTCCTCCTCGTTTCGCGAACCTCGATTTGAAACTTGGCCTATGTGTGCGGATCGCATGGTACGATACTTTCTATTCGAATAAATTTGCTTAACAGCCATGTAATGCAGGGCACAGCCTACATTGCGAACACACTGCTGTGCCTCGAATTTCGCTAACCCCTCTATTCGCCACTTTTGCTGTATGGAATTCACAGAAATTTCAGAATATTATTCATAAAATCACGGAGTGCGATGTTTATATTATTAAACAATAAATTAATATTTATTGATATAAATGCATTCAATTTCATTATCAACAAATTTTATTGTTAGTATTGTATTTGTTTAAGAAAGATACACTGCGTATCTTAGCCTCTCAGCAAGTTTCAGTCAGGTATTGGCTTATTTAGTTTAGTATAAAATAAGGAGGACGGAAAGCCGGCTGCTGGAGTAAATGATAATAGAAGAGGTCGGGACAGTGAGTATTATAAAACAAATAGAACAAAATAAGAAGTGGAATAGGAAAAGAAAAAAGACGAAACGATACGATATTGAGGCTGCAATTTTTTTATTATATTTTGTTAATGAGCTTAGGATTTTTTTTGAAAGTGGCAGATGGGACAACATCGCCTCGAATCTGCCAATTTCTTCCATTAGTTAATGTTTCAAACGAAAAAATTGGAAACATGGAGGATGGAACATTTCCTAATGATAAGCGCAAGCAGTTAATTCTCATGAAATTCTATTTGAATTCATATATTTAATAATTACAATTGAATTTGTAATAACGAATAAAATCTTGCAAATAGATTTTTCTTCTTCAATTCAGAATTATATAAATTCGGATTTTGGATTTATAAGTAGAGTAGGCACTAAAATTTAAGCTCCATAGGAAGTACTTCCGTAGACCTTCGATTAACTTAACTTCGCTAATTCTACATATGGACAAATATCGGGAATTTTTCAAGTTTTTGGCTTAAAGCGATTCTTCTAGAGAATTTTTAACGTATCTGCTAACTCAAAGCCAAATTCCTGGTCGATTAATAGACCTGAAAATTTACTTAAGCCGGTCAATGTATTATTATAATTATCATTTGGTGTTGATATATAAAATTTATCTATGAATAATTAAATTTCTCTTTCCTTTCCTGGAACCAGATAACATATAGTTTTCATTTAAGTCTTGTTGAACGCCTATCATGCGAGAAATAAATTTTGCAACCATTTGCATATAAATAAAATTGCTTGAATTCAAAGCAGTATTAATAACAACGTATAAATAAAAAGTGCAACAACTTTGAGTTATACCAAGCTTAACTATAATACAGTCAAAGCATAGTATTCAGTTAAAAAGTTGCCCATGATTCATTGACGCTGCTACCAGTCTACTACGTGAAAAAAACTATCGAAAGCTTAAGTTAAGTCCAAATTGACAGCTGAGACCATTTGACGACGATCAATGGATTGACTAGCCACCAATATTTAATCTTTTTCGTAAAATCCTGCACTTGTCGCAGAAATTTTTTTCTCTGTCAGCTATGGATCCAAATCGTGGTGTTCCTTGTGCTATAAAAGTATGTCAAAAAGAATGCTATAAGAGAGGAAATGGATAAGTAAGTGGAACTGTATGCTTCATAGCGGGATATCTACGAAAGCCATTGGTAGTCTTCATGACTCGATGTCTTTATGAGAAAGATGCATCAAGAAAAAAGGGAGAAATCTTGTTGCAACTGCTCTACGAAATCTTAATTTGGGAAATGCGATTTTTATACGGATGGCCATAAAAAGGGTTTCTGATAGTAAGCAAAGTTGAAGCTATGTACTTTAAAGAAATGAGAAGATAAACATAATTAGTGCTCATAAAAGTGCAAGCCGAAGATTGGCAAATTCAAGCTTAGGTATGACAACGTTAAGAGGAAATCTCCTGAAACTTTAAAAAACATTAAGGAGAAGCGATATAAAATATGAGCATGTTTTTAATGCCGATGAAACACTGCTCCAGAAAACAACGGTGGAGAAGGCTTTCATAACGAAAGGAGAAAAAAAAAGCTACAGGAATATGTAGAAATTGATGGAATTTGTCATGAAAATTTATTTATTACATGCGATTTTTTGGTCAGACTAGCGGGCAAAGTTATTTTGGATTTACGATTTGTTGGACCTTGCGAGTGGCAACGCTTCTGACTGTATTGTAAGTATTCGATGAAACTAAGAATTTCGTTTTAAAAAAGTTAGTAACTAGCTATTGCTCTGCCACTGAGAGGTGAGGTGGTGGGGGAGGGGGGGGGGGGTTTGCTAGGCAGATAGACGAGAAGTAGAAGGCACAGCGAAAGCTTTTCAAAGTTTAGTTCCGCCGAGTTCATAAGGGTGAAAGTTTATGAAGTGGTTACGCGAGTTATGCGAAAAAAAGTATACGGTAAAAAATGATTTCGTTGATGAGAAATGATTCTCAAGGAGGCAAATAATAAGTAAAAGACAGAACGACTTGTGGGATTTTCCTTGGATTGTTTGTTAGCAGTGAAATTTATATAATTCGTTCAAAAATACTGAAGTAGAGGAGAGGAAATTTGTAAATATGAAAATATTCTTTTGATTCGCTGTAAATTGAAAAATCAGCGATCGCAATCCAATCCATTTTCTTATTGTCAGTGAATAAATAAAAGTGTAATTTTTGCAAATACAATTGCGAAAAATGTGCTTATGAATGAACAAAATACCATTAATTCCGAATTTTATTTGAAAGAAGGAATGAAGAACAACGTATAATTTCGTGATTTCTCACGGATATGGATATTTGACCAACCAGAGCGGTTCCATCAAATAAACGCTCACATGCTTTAGTCCTTTAGAGTGCAAACATAGTGCATGGTTTTGAAACTGAATTCTCCCCTCACCCTGCATCTACTGGCATTCAAAATATCGACGGAAGAGGGATCTCATTGCATAACATACATTAGGGTGAATTTTTAAGTGATCGAGCCACACGTTCCTTTTCCTGTGGGCGAAGGAACAGGTTCGATGGGAGGAGAAAATTTGTTCTTAAAAAAGGAATGAATCTCTGATAAAAAGCAATCAGTTAAAATAACCAAATAAAAAGTGGTGCGTGCTGTTGGAAGAAGAAAAAGCACTGAAGGAGCGAAAAAAGAATTCGTTTATTTAGTATAAATGTAAAGAAAACGCGAACTATCAAGTAAATATCTGAGCAAAATTATGAATATAAAACTAATCATCTGTTGAATAAAGCTGAGATTTTTAAATTTCTACTGCCAAACGAAAATAACAGGAAAAGTAAGGATGAATCCGGTTTCGTCGAAAAGTCACTTCAAAATGTCTCTTCATCGTTCTTAAGCATTAAATAACATCTGTATTGGAGTCTATTTTTTTGTCGTTAAGAACTAGTTGAGTTCACATTCTCAGTTAAAGCCTCTTCAAATAATCAAAAACTGTAATAACTCTTCTTTTGCGCAGAGACGTTTCGATATTTCAGCATTTCTGCCGCAAAAAATTCCTCGGATATCGATCAAATTTAATGGATTCTATGCAACAACACGGCCAATTAAATTTATTCAAGAAATCACAGATAAAATATCTTATTACTGTTAGTTTTCAAGGCAATTTCAGGACGATTCATTCGTCTGTCTTTTATCCAATTAACTTCATTAAGACACTCAAATTTTCCATAACGAACGCAGAACTAGTCCGTTATAAATTTTCCAATGAAATCGGACTCCTGAATAAATGAATGAATGAATAAATATAGTTAAACATAAACATTTAGAATAGAGCACAAGAAGAATTTATTCGAGTAGACTATAGAATAAAATAATAATACAATAATAATTGTAATAATAATAATTAATTATAATTAATAATAATAATTAACAATAATAATTAATACTAATATTAGTAGATTGATAATAGAATTAATAAAAATAAAATAAATAAAATAAAATTAATATTAATTATTAATTATAAAATATAATATTAATTATAAAAATTAATAATAAAATTAATTTGATCCAAATTTAATAAATATAATGAATTTTCGAAAAGTGAATTTTTGCAAAGAAACGAAATTTTACAAAATACTCGCCTAGTGCAATAAAAAGTGAATGCAATAAAAAGTAGCATTTTGATGTAATTTTGATGTAATTTGAGTATAAAAACGGTATTTTTGCAAACCCTATGAAATATATTTGCCAGTTAACGAAAGAATCAAATATTTATAGCCAAATGGTTTTTATCGCTTATGGCTAGTTGCATTTACGTGAAATTTCCCACAGTCATTCATTAAGAAATTCTTTTTGGTACCTTTTTGGTGAATTTGATTCATCACGAGCTGCCAACAATTTGCACCTTTTAAACCCATAAATTCATTGCATTTTTACAATTTTATTGCAAAATCTCTGAAAATTGCTAATAAACTTATGAAAAAATTGTGAATCGAAATTAT